CTACTGGGATATAAAACTCCCGAGGCATCTCCCATAAAGCCAGTACAAACATGTGTACCAGGTCAGCCAGGCAGATCCAGCGAATCAAAACGACCCAGATCAGATGAAGACAGACGAGCCAGAATCACCGCATTAATTCCGAAAATTTTGGAAGCCATCAGATACGCCAAGGAAACTCAAAAGACACGCCCAACACTATCCGTGCTCGAGGGTATTTACCGCACTCGACTCGGTGGTTTACAGGCCAGTCTTGCTGAATTCAGAGAGGCAGTTGACTTAGCAGTTAATACAGGCAGAATTGTACGCACCTTCAGCAGTGGAAATAATCAGTGGAATACAGAGGCAACTTACACAACTCCGCAAGTCAGACGCAACCAGCATCAGGACAACCCACTCATTTTACCGCGACAGTTTCGGTACGCGGTAGAGGCAGCGATAAACGAGATTCATGACCCAAATGGATCAACAAATCTGGAGATCATCCAGTACATACAGGCAGTTTTCCCACAGCCAGATATGACTCCAGCGGAAGCTATCAGAACTATACAGGCAGCACTACGTGAATTGGTCCAGAGACGGGTAGTTGAAGAATTACCCAACCCTGGCGCCGTTCAACCGCCATTTCACCGCTATGCACTGACGAGCACTCATGCACAGAGAGTCAGCGCATTAACAGGAGAGCCAATTAAAGACATACCGGCAGTACCACATCAGAATCCCATGCCACATCCCAATGACATTTTACTTGTTATTGGTCAGTTACAGGCACAACTACGACGACCAACACCAGATGCAGTTTGGCAGTCCTTGTTCGAGGAACGGCCAGATTACACTGTTGTGGCAGTCTCATACGTATTAAGGCAGATGACAATTTCACGACATATCATACGCCAGTTTCACGGTACAAATCAGCCAGTTTACATTACGCCAGCTAACACAGAGTCACGCTTATCAGAACTACGGCAGAATAATCCAGATCCCTGGAGAGCGCTCATTACGCGAGCTATCCATGAGATCGCGGATCCCAGTGGTACGACAATCAGTGAGGCAGTACTCTATATCAGAGCAATTTTACCGGATATGCCATCCATGCCAGCACCACAAACGACAATGTACGAAAGGCACCTCATGGACGATGAGGATTTCGTCTATGACATCGACGTTCATCGCGGAGTGTGTTTCCGACTGACACACCCACTCTCATCACCACCACAGGCATCTCAACCTCCAGCAAAACGGTAGTAGATCCAACAGTCTACTTCCCAGCCAAAACAACAATCAGATCAACGAATAACACAATAAGATCGCATGGTAGTCTCACCTACTATGTAATCATAGCCATTTTCATTTCTAATTATGACAGATCGCATGGTAGATGCAAATCTACTTTGTGATTATAGCCAGCCCTATTTCACAGTCTAGATCGCATGGTAGCTCTAAATCTACTATGTGATTTTAGCCAGTTAAAATCCTTATACAGTTACAACCGCAGATCGCATGGTAGGCGTTACAATCTACTTTGCGATTTTAGCCAGTTAAACCATTACAGAATTACCAGATCGCATGGTAATTAAGGCAGATAAATGGTAATTTAAAAGATCGCATGGTAATTAAGGCAGATAAAAACAACAAACTGGATCATACAGATCGCATGATATCAGTATCATGTAAACTCAGTTTGTAGCCAGTTTAAAATTATTCTTTTTCAGAAAAATTTCAACAACTACAGCCAGAATAAAATTAACTAAATTAATCATTAATTTAGTTAAAAAGCCAGATCTACGTAGTGGGATCACCACTATGAAATACGTTTAAATTCAGCCATTTCAATTTCAGAATGGCCTTCGCCAGACTCTACGATAAAGACTGCAAGGCATGCCACTACAACACAGAGAGACGTCCTTGTATGGATCATCTCTTCATGGATACGCCAGACCTACCCAGCCAGGTCGAAGCACTCGTAACGGAGGTCGTAAATGGCAGCCGCGATGCTTACGACCGTGTACGCCAGTCCAAATATTGGCCCCACGTTGAAGCCAGTTACAGCTTTCATCGGAAAGTTTTCAGCGCCGTTAGCCAGCACATCAAATTCACCGGCGGATGGCGAGATGCACCAGTGCCGCCTGAGCCAAAAATTCCTGACGCTCAATCCACTACTCCTTTGGGAGTTGCAGGATGTAGCCAGCCAACCCCCAGCCCAACAATGATGCATCGCGCACCACAGGACTCACATCCTCAGCCGCGCTATGCAGACGCAACCAAAAAGCCAGCAATTCCCCAGTCAGACCGACAGCAGAGTGGCGCACGAGGCAGTTACAACCCTCGTACTGGCCCCGTTTTTGATCAGCCAACACCCACATCTTCGGTAGGTTGTAATAGCGGCAGAACAAGTGTAATGTCAGATTTTGACGATCAGTTGAACTTTCCACAGGGAAAAGGCAGAAAACCGAAGATCGAAAAGCCAAAAATCATCCCACGCCCGCAATCAGAAGAAGTGCAGGTCGACAAAATCATGAAGCACTTCAACCTGTTTGGGCAGTCTAAGGCATTCCAATACAAAAGAGCCATTCGAACAGTCGTTACTGAATTTAACGACTTTGCCAGTGAAATCGATCTTTATGGGCAGTTGGAACAACGCGACTACAGCGTGGAAGGTCCTCATGGAGAGGAATTGGAGTATCAGTACGCCAACGGTAGGCAGAACAACCTGAAAACCTTCCTCGACTTGGATGAATTGGATAAGCCAATTTCAACCGTCGATTATGAGGCACTCTCACAACTCCAGTACCACGGAAAAATCCATTGGGAGGATTACCTCTTCCAGTGGGTCAGCGCTGAATCCAACCCAGCGTTATTCCTGGTCGCATGTAAGGCAGCAATCCATTGTTTCCAGACACTCCAGTACGACAAGACTCTTGAGGAAGTTCGTTGGAACATCCCGAAATCACGCCAGTACAACTGCAGATTGTTCGCCCGTATGCTGGCAGCCCTACTTGGTCATTACAACAGCCATTCCTACTTGTACGACCGTAAATCAGAAGGACGCCTTCAGAACAACTGCAAAGCCATCGGAAGACCACACCTGCCAGAACAACAGAAGGAGATTTACGAACGAGCCTTAGCCAGACCTACTCCTAAAGAAAAGCCAAAAATCCTCACTTACGTCCAGGATCCCGTCGATATGGTTACTGACCATATCGATCGCCTGAAAACCCGTAGTGAGAAGAAGCGCAAGGCAGCTGAACTAACCTCCAGACAGAACTCCAATGAACGCAGCGTTGCAGCATCACCAACTACGCCAGCACAACCAGCACTCAAGAAGCCAACAGGCGAAAATGAATCAGCCCTATCAGAGGAGATGAAAACTCCACAGCAGGCAGACCTCAGTGATGCGTTGAACGCATTAAAAGGAGCATCCTTGAACGACGACAAGGATGTGGATACTGAAATGCCAGACAAAAACACGGAGAAATTGGAGAAACAGCCAGAACAACCAGCTGATGAACCAGCTAAGCCAGCAGATAATGCACTTGACGGCAGAACTATTGAATTGCATACCGATCAGGATGTGGATGATATTCCAGGTGCAAATTGAGGGGTTTGCGTCAGAATACGCCATGTCCTAAGTCAGACCTACATCAGCCACACCTACTTATCATTCTTACACTCCATGAACAGATACGGTTCATGAGAGTTTGGAATAACTCCTTGGGCAGATACGGTCCTTGTGAGTTTGGAGTTGGAATAACCCGTTGGATTGGATGGATTGTAACCCGCCAGCGGAATTCCGGTATTTTTCTTTTGTTTTTCTCTAACAGACCAAATTCCTGTTTTTGTGATAACATTAAATTGCATCTCGATGGATTTTTATTTTGGTAATTTTAATAATAAGGCAATAAGCCAAATTTTTATCGCCCTTAAGGCTATGTTGTACTTTTGTGTTCTTATTGTAAGACACAGGAAAGGCATTCAATTTTCATAAACTAACCATACAAAACCATTTGTGTAAGGCAATCGTACTTCAATCAGTCCTATCGTTTAACCAGTCTTTACCGTTTCGCCATGGTAAATTAAGAGCCAAAAACTACTCCTAAACAGGCAAACCAGAGGCAAGATACGCGCTCAATACTCAAGTGGTTGGTGAACGGTCGAGAAGTGGTTAAGCTTGAGAATCAACGTGAACTCGGTAACACTGGTTTGCGAGTTGCGAGTGTTGCGAGGAAACGTGAGCGACTTCTGGTGTCAGCCAGTCCTACAGGCAGTGTGTTGATTTCGTTATGGCACAAACTGCACTGAGCAGCGCTATGGCGGAATAGCATACGATCAACATTCAGACCTACTCAGGACACCACAGGGAAGCAACATCGGTATCTCGTACTCTTGCGTTTCTCGTATTACCAGTGCAATGCCGGGAGATCAGCGGGCCTCGCGAGACCTCGGCACCCCACCCAGTGGCATGAGGGAGACTCCGTCAGGATAGTCAGGCTATGGACGCCTTCGTACTATCGGGAGTGTACGCGTGAGCCAGCACTATATCGTCAGGCAGTACTATTGTTTAGAGCCATTCTCACTGTTATACGGCATTGCGAGCCATAGCACGGCAGCGTATGTGCTTGTACGAGTTTACTCGTGCAGTGCACTACGTACAACTCGTACATCAGCCACTCTCACTTCAGGCATAGTACTTTGCAGGTAGCCAGCACAGACTTCACAGTCTGCACAGTCATTACGATATTCGGTGATTTCCGTGCTTGGCATTCCCACCTGTGTCATAGGATGATGTTTATGTTGTGATTTATATATTTATGAGCCATAAATATTGATATTTACGTCTTCCCAGTGCGTTTTCCCTATTTCCGGTAGAGTCGTAGGCTCTAGGCCCCTTACGTAGTGTACGGCCTAGATCGCACCACTTGTATCTACGTTGACTACAGCACATTGAAGAAACTGTTCTGCTTAGATTTTCCGATCGGCAAACTTAGTTCCAAATTTTTTTGCAGGCTTTCTATTGGTTAGCCATGTGTGCATATGGAGCGGATGCCTTTTTCAAATTCAAGTCCTGGCGAACTGGGCAAGCTGCACCAGGTTAGACGGGTTTAATTCATTAGACTGCAGTCACTGCACTCAAACACATATATGCTTGCCTTTTGCGATTTCGATACTTCTAAAAATTGTTGCTCATATGTATTTTTACTTCTGATAAAGCTGCTTCGTGCCTGTAGTCGCATCATATTGACTAGGGATGATTGAAAAATTGCCCTGGACGGAGACGCCAATCATAGTAACCGGAGTACAACCTTACTTTGACATACATGTACGTTAACCTTATCTCATATCAAGCCAGTTTTGCGTTTGCTTTTTTTCGTTGATGCAACATGGAACTCAACGTGTGCGGGTGTTTATCAGTTTACGTGTACGTACTCCAATAGATTATGATTATCAGCTTATTTTCTAGTATCTTAAAACGCTTCCCGGGATTTTGAAAATTATAGAACTGGTAAGAGAGTACATAATTATGACAGATCTACACATCTATATGCACAGATCTACGTAGAGTAGATGCAATGCAACACATTAGTTAATAAAGTAAATGATAATACAATGTACAAATGTCGTACGTTTTCTAATGCGTACGATGCACTACGAGTACAGATAAGTAATCATGAATATAAAAAACATGACAAACAAGCTTGTATAGTACGTATTACGTAACCATGAAAATTAATGTATTTTTTTGCGTCTGTAGGTGTGCACAGCGATCGCATTTGTTCTTGGTGTCACCACATGGTCATCACAATAGCAGTATGTGATATATTTCGGTGCAACCTATATTTACAAATCAGCCTTGGGGATGCAAGTTACTATTGCGATCGTTTGCATTACCACGCTTGTACTTCTCATAATGCATCTGTTTCACATCATGGAAGCATTTTGTACACTTCCCTGGATTAAAATCGTAAGAATGTCATTGCGTTCGCAGCCGTGTACAGAGTTTCCGTTACTTTTTTATTCATTCACTGTATTTTCGTTTCGACGGAAGTATCCCACATCAGTATAAGCCGCAATTCTATATTTTTAATAATAAATAATGCACGCTACACTCCTGTATACAAAATGAAAACACAGTATGATAAGGTATCCTGCGGCTGCGTATGTATGAGGATTTATAATGACATGATCGTTCCAGGAAACGGTATATTACATATTTGCCGTACTCTGTTCGCTGTCCTCTGGAGCAGTTATGATACCATATGCCAACGAAAGAGATGCCAGCAGAGGGATGTGTGTGGTCGGTACCAACGTTCAGTATTGGTTTGTATATCAGCTAATCACAGTTTGTAGTTGACACAAGACAGTGACCTATGCTACGGCCGAAAAACAAATCTTTTTTTTTAACAGCGCACCCTTTACGTACGTATCTGTACCGCATGATACATTGTACGTGCGTAGTGCATACTTTATAGATATTTTTCCCTAGCGGTAGAAACTTTTCATTCTTAAAAGGGTAATTTATTTATCACAGTAAATTACAGGGTGATGCGATGCAAATTACAGAATGATGCGATGCTATGCATTACGACCGTAGATATATGTACAGAATGCTTATTTGTGCAGTAGCGCTTACTATCTTTAAGGTCCAAATATTAAAAGAAAATGGCTATTCTCACCCCCTCTACACCCCTTTTGACTATTATTACTCCCCCCATCGTGCACACCCTTTTAGCTATTATCCCATACCCTTTTTTTAAATAAAATAAACACCTCTTTAGGCTGTTGTCACCAGCTTTCTTACCCCTTTTGACTATTGCCACTCCTTCGACATTTTTATTAGTCATTGTTACTAGCTAGGTTTGACCTTTCAGTCAGTTTAAGTAAACGTGTCTTATATTGTAGGAGGTACAAAGGGTTACGGTGATCACTGGGTGCTGTTAATGCTGAAAGAGGGGCAGCGTGCAGCACCAAAGAAACTGTCATAATTGTGGACTTTTCGCGATAACATTCTGTGGAACTCATTAGCTAAAATTCTGAAGAGGTTAAGTTTAATATCGTAAAAATGCGACCGCATCTAATGGTAAGCGATGCATTAAGTGTCAATAAGCTTTGCTTGGCGCCTTTCCCTGTCGGTAGTGGCAGGAACAGAAATGAAAACAACCGCACGTGGCAAAATTATAAGAGTAAATTGGAAGGTGGTGGCAATAGCCAAATGGGGGTGCGGGGGCATAGGGTTTAAATTGACTGATCGCAGCAACTACGGATGTACTATGTACTTGTACTACCCAAATCGACTGCAAGCACAGAACTGTGCGCGCAGATATACGAGTATTGTACGTATTATTCCCTTCTTAATTAATACTCGCTTTTTTGTTTAGTTTTTCTGCTGGACAGCGATGATTGCGTATATCGTAGATGCCCTCCTTACCAAGAACGAATACAGAACGTTTCGTACAGAAGCCATCAACCAGCCCAAGGTATTGCGGTTTAGTAGCCCATCGAAATTGAGATTTATAAATACTTTGACGTACAACCATGACCTAGACCTTTACCAGATAACACATTTAATACCGGCGTTAATGCCTGCAACTGCTTTACACCCTAGTAAATACTCTGATCGATGGAAGATGTAACAAAATTGGTTTACAGTATATCAAGCCGCTGTCCGAAATCTTGAAACTTATTGAATTGGTAAGGATACACACGGGAGCAAGGGTGCTGTACTGCAGTGAGTATTAAAAAAGCCAACCCACCCACGTATACGTACGGTTGGGCGAGGATAACCCACTTTTGTGGTTTAAAATTATGGCATGGTGCAAGATGAAAATTTATAATAAAAGCTTTCGAAGTACTCACAGCAAGAAATTGCAATAACATTTTGACCACGGTCGTCGCCATATGCAGGGATTTATGCTGGCCGGGTCCATTCTGGCGACGTTTGCCTGGAACAGCGAAAGGTGGCCTTACTCGCACTTTTATTGGATGAATTCTGCTTATTGGATGATTTTCATCACGATTATTGGGTCCATCATTACGTTATCATTATTGCTTTTAGAGCCACCGCTTCAAGTTGAGTGGCTGGTTGTGGTAAGAAACTGCAATTTCTGCATTGTAATTACCTCCAGTACACAGTGTGGGTTAGCTGTGTGTGGTATTGCATAATGCGCATTCGAAGCCTGTTCTTTTGCCGGTTATAAGGAAGAGATTTTCTGCATCAGTGGGGCGATTCTCTTTTGTGCTGCCGGGAGTGCCCTGATACCTGATTCCGTCGGTGATATCTATCATGGAGCTTGTATGGTAAATTGGGTGTGATTTTTCGTTCCGTTTCTTATATGCGTTGTTTGTTTTGAAGTACGACTTCCGTTAATTACTGTTCACAATTAGCAGTTGCCCAAATTTCAATAATACAATTTCACTTTTATTGACACATGGGGAGATATGGTTGCAATACAACTTTGTTGCAGTGGTTCTGCTGGTTAGCCATGATGACGTACGGAGTGGATACGTTCTTCAAATGTGAATTCTGGAGGAAAGATTAGCTTTATGATTTTTGCTACCACTGTTGCTTTCAACGAAATGCGAACCACCGTGTTGTTGCAGCTACGCTACTTTTTTCTCGGATTGAAACACTGAGATTCCCGGACACACTGAATAAATCTGGTCTCACTGTCGCTGCAGTTGAGCCTCCTTTTTATAAACAGGTACAGCACAGTATTAATACTGATCACATCGCTGACAATTGTAATATACTCTGCTGATCCATTTCTTTTGTTCGACTTCTCTCTCATTTTTTACGAACGTATACGGAAGTTGATACGGTTGTTTAGGGCTGTCTGACTTAATTTAATGGGTGTTTTATTCTAGTACTTCAAGACGATTTCCAGAATCATGAAGATCCTTGAACTAGTAAGACTGTAAGAGTACATTAATGGAGATACCGAAACTGTTAATAACCCTAAAACGAATATAATACAGATACACATCTTCGAGCGCATTAGGATTTTTTCATGGAATACGAGAATATTTTTAAGGGTTTGAGAACACACGCTTAGCTGGACTTCTGCAGCAACCATATTTTGATTCACGCATGTTGTAGGTATTTATGCTGATTGCGCTCATTCTGGCAGCGACTAGCTGGAATTCAGACTGGATTCAAAAACACTCGTGCCACAGCTGTACTAGTATACAAACTGCTGCATGGACACAATTCGTCACAATTACGGGATTTATCATTACACTCACCCTGTTATTTCTGGATTTATTCCACTTATTTAGTCCACTTCGCCAAGTTAAGTTGTTGTTCATAGTAAGTAATCCGGTCTCCTATTACGAAGTCCATTATCAACCTGGAACATGTTTGGTAATCCGCATGACCGATAATTTCGACCGTTAGGAGGTGATATACTGCGGTATTGTGTCTATTCTGCTAATCACGGCCGGAGCTGTTATGATTGCTTATACCAAAATTGACGACACTGGTGGAGTCTGCACGGTAAACCGAACTACCTATATTTTTTTCCAAACTATCTGTTCTCGACAAACCATAAAAATTTACTGTCGGCGCATGCGCCGTTTGTCTTAATTGTTTGTTGTTATTAATACTTTCCTGCGTAAGTTTTCATAAAGGCTTGTTTTCATTCAGTCGCATAACTCTACTTTCTTCAGTAGAAAATCGCACGCATTCTGCCAACAGCTTAATATTCAATACAGCAAAAACATGTATTCTAATGCGCGAATGTACAGTATATCGTCTGCAAGAAAATCCGCGAATATGCAGTATATCGTTTGCCAGAAAACCTAATTTTTCTCTTGCAGTTTTTTTGCTGGTCGGCTATGCTTACATATGCAGCCGATGCGATCTTCAAATTCATATCGTGGCGCAATGGACTCGACTGAACAGCGTTATCACATTACATCGTGTAGAAGAAATTGTGACTTACGTAAAATTTTCCATTTGTTTGGCATAACGATTTCCTTAATAAATTTGTGAATATCAACCATTAACTGTACTGCAAGGAAATGTAGCGACGTACGGATCTTTAAAAAATAATTATCAGTCTATACACTGTACAGTGTACACCGTAGTTCTGCCGTATACAATACATCGATATACTGTACTTTACCGACTAATTCAAAAGTGATTTAGGTCTAAAAAGAAACCAAGATCGTAAATATTAAGTGATTGAAATTTGATTAATCGGTGGTTAGTATTCATAAAATATTCCCAGTTTCTGCAAGAAACACCTCAAAGTACGCGTTGCACAGAATTAGAGTTCTGGGAAAGGGATAAAATTTTTTTGAGGAACTTTCCAAAATCTAGATTTCTTAGCAGAAATAAATTGTCACGTTTCGTATTTGTTTGAAAGTGTTGCGAGTAGATTTCTTTAATTGAATGTATTTTTGGCAGTTGAAAATAGTACTGTTAAAGTGTCTGAATGGATTTTATGTCGAAGTTGTTTTATAGAATCCCTTTATAATCGTTTTAGTCCAAGATTTTCTCCGTTTCCGGTGATTCTGTTCCACAAAATTTTTCTGTGTAAGCTAAAACATGGATACCAGTGCATCGCCGCTTTTTATTGCAACATTGCGACGGTTTGTGCCGGCAAAAATAACTCAATGCAGCCCGGCTACGTGCATCCCGAATCTAAAAAATCGGACCTGCCGGGATTGCCAACTAAATTAAGTAGCAACGTCGAAACACAATTTTACTGTGACAAAATGGTACGACCTTTACCTGACCTATGAGTGACACAAGATTTTTATAATCTATAGAATATTATTCCGAATAACGCATATTATATCGGTGAATAACGCATGCAGCTGCTTTATACATACTCGTACATAACGAAATAACGGGGTTGATTATACTGTTACGTAATGGACATTTTTGTGTATGATTAATCTACTTACTCACTTAGACCTTGTCATCTGTTGCACTTTTGCCTATTTATACCGGCTTCTTTACGCTACTCACACACATTACTTTCATTCCTACATTTCTGCTCTGCCTTATTTCTTACTTTGTCGTATAATTAATAAACACACTACTACGCGGATGACCTTTGGCCTGTAATACTTTACTCTGCCTAAGTTTCGTAACAATACAGTACATCAAGACGTTTTGCGGAATCTTGAAACTGATGAACTGGTAAGGACACATACATACGATTACACGGTATGCATTGTACATACTGTAGCGATAGTATTTGTACGAACGATAAGACCGCCTAGTTATGATGAATCATTCCACCGCGGTATGAATTTGTCCACTTTACCGGCTAGTTTCCTTTCTCATGAATTTCTAGAATTCAGTCTTGTGCTCAGCTTGCTACAGCTTGCATCTACTTGATTGTTCCTCTTGCTGAAACCCTTGCTTACAACCTTGCTGTGTTCTTGATTCCCTTGTCATTAAACATGCCTTGAGTTACGTTGTTGCGTTTGACCGCTTGGGATGAACTAGCGTCATCCCAATCGGAGCCACCTGTGTAATTGTGTACATCAGTAAGAGCGTCCTCGGCCAGCATCGTTGCCGGCCGTGCCACCTTTCACACCAACAGCCGTTTAATCGTGGTAAAGGCTGATCGCCACCCCACTAGAACAGTAGCCAGATAGGCCACTGTTACATGGCGCTCCTGTAAAGAACACCTGGACGCCTGCAGCCTGTACCCCCGACTTGCATACCATCGACAGTTCGACACTTCCCACACCAACCAACGGAAGTCCCGGAACGGATCGCCGTTTCGTGAGTGTAACTGTGTCAGTTGATGCAGTGAGATTTGCATTTTTCGGTTTCGGTTTAGTTTTACACCGATTAAAATTTAAACGAACGTCAAATTAATTTACACTCGTATCCTCGTTCCTGTTTTACTGGCATCAGTTTGTTATTAACAAACGGGCATAATTACGTTGTTAGTTTAATCCTGTTACATTACTTGTTAGCACTTTCGTTGACATTACATTAACGTTGTTCACCCGGCACCGCTGTGTCGCCGTGCTTTTGTTCGCGCCAAAATTTCACCTTGTTGCAGTCAACAACTGACTGCTGGGAAAGAAAACATTAACCGTCATGGTCCAACAGCTAAATGGAATCTCACAAGATAACTCTGCAGTCTCAACTTGGTGAACTCACCAAGGCGCAGTTGCAGGACATCAGCAACAGTCTTCACGTCTACATTAACCAGAAAGTCTCTAAGTCAGGTTATGTTGATAAATTATCTTCCTACATGTTAAAGCACAACATTACTTTGCCGAACACTTGTATCATAGTGCCTTCCCTGCCGACTTGTATCATAGTGCCTTCCCTGCCGACATCACACGCAGACAGCGCAACGTCAACGTTTGCTGTCCAGTCTGTGTCCTCTGCTCAACCGGCCCGCAGCCTTACACATGCACCGTCAAGGGAAGACAGTGGACAGAGCGCAGTGCGTGGAACTACAGCATGCACCCACATCAGCCACACAGAACCGGTGCTTCGACACGACAGACTGGAGCAACGTTATAAACAGGAAGAAACATTAATAACCTTTTCAGATGATGAGCCTTCCGATGAGTCACTCACTCAAACTGCTTTGCACAGAGCTCATTTAGCAACCGCACAGGGAGAGCATGCCGCGCACACAGCCGCGCAGCACACCGCATCCGCTCATACCGATACAAACATTACTACTGTACAACTGCCGCTTGATATTAACCGCTTGGTACAAGCGCTCGAGTTACCGTCGCGTTACGGCTATGCTGCAAAAGATTTCAATATTAAAGTTTTTAATGATACTCCTGATTATATTATCACTGCGTTCTTTCAACAATTCGAAAGAGCTGCCGACGCAATTGGATGGAGTTCAGAAGATAGAATTTGTATCTTACCTACATACTTTGGTGATAAAGCACGTCAATATTTTGAGCGCAATTGGCCCACATGTTCGAAATTAAATTATGAAGAGTGGAAATGCAAATTAATTGACCGCTTTTTCCCTAAAGATTATTTAATGAAGAAACGCATTGAATTATCAAAAAAGGTGTTTAAGAAAGGGTCGGATATAAAGACATTTCTGATTGATTTGGAAATTCTGTTTAACGAAATAGATCCTCAAATGTCTGATTCGCATAAACTTGTTGAACTTCACCGCGCATTTTACAGTATGCCAGAATACAGGAAATATCTTATAGTTTCTCGCGCAGTTACCTTCTCTGAAGCTCGTTCTGTACTTGAAAAAGTAGCTGCTGCCGACACCGCAGTAAACATTACTGTACAATCCGATCAGACTGAAATTAAACTCTCCGACACTTGTAACCGTCACAGTGACAACAAGGGTACCGACGCCAAGCGACACCGTACTCGCCAGGAACATTATAATGCTTCAGATGACCATCGGTCATCCAGCCCGAGACGGCATCTTGTACGTGCTGATTCCTATCACAGCCGTAGAAATACTAATGGCAACCGGTCACCCAGTGCGCACCGCCGCCGCTCACGTTCCCCGAATTACCGTGCTCAGCGCCGTCCCTGCTCGCCCGACAGCGATTACAGCGCTGATAATCGCCGTACACATTACCGGGAACACCACAACCACACACTCGAGAGTGATCGTCGTTACACACATTATCGTGACAAGCACCGTAGTCAATCGCCTAAACGTGACTACACAAAATATTGTAATCGGAAAAATTACAATGCGGAAAAGAGAATACATCCTAAATTTATTGATTTCGACAGCTATAGATTAAACAACGGAAAATTATTTTGTCCAAAATGTCTGGATTTTTTCCATTCGTATGGAGAATGCACCAGCTACAGCATCAATGACAAACATATCATACCGCGCCTATGCCCTGATGATATTAAAGCCAAAGTTCAAGCAGAATACGACGATTACATTAACTGCACGTTGGAACGCAAAGGAGCTGCATTCCTGTTCAGTAGACAGTGGAAACGACTGAATACCTACAGGAAAGGAGGGACGTACGGATATGACTATGTACCTCCCGTGTTCTACAGTGTTACGGAGATTAACCTCTACAGTAGTCGCTCAGATAACCCGGCATCTCGCTGCAGAAAAATATTAAATGAACAGAAAGAAGAAATGAAAAAACCTGATCTGTTAAAACCGCGTACACCGTATGTTACGAATGCTGTTACTGGAAAACTAAATGAAAATGTTTTGCAATCGACAGATTCAAGCGCATTAGCCACAACGATTCCTCAGAAGGTGGAATTTTGTGAGACATTACTGAGTGAAATTTTAACGGAATTGATAACACCTACATTACAGTCGACGTCCGAGACTATAGAATTTTCGCAGTCAGCACACACTCCGGTCGTACAAGAAGTGCCGAAAATTATATATTCACCACCGTTGATATTACAAGAAAAATTAAAGGAAATGGTTTCCATAATACAAAGTATTCGCTCGTCCTCATTTTACCAGCGATTAATGAGACAAACGCATATTATTTTCCCAAACGTAACAGCACCGACATCGCACGAAAGCTCCACTACTTCCCCACAGCACCGGATAAACGCGGAAAATTTCCGGATACCGTGAGGGACCCCTTCCCAATCCCGGACATATCCAGCGGAACCTGATTGTAGGATTCTTCCGATCGCCGGATGGATTCTCGTGGTAGTTCAACGTGAGGGACCACCACGCCGTACGTTAAGGATCATCCCGGACCATTGTGCTGTACAGCTTACTAATTCCTAACGCTTAATTTTCCTGTTTTCTTATGTAACTTTTGTTTTGTTGTCTTGATGAGACAGGTATATCTCATCGCTACCGTGAGGGATGTAGCGATAGTATTTGTACGAACGATAAGACCGCCTAGTTATGATGAATCATTCCACCGCGGTATGAATTTGTCCACTTTACCGGCTAGTTTCCTTTCTCATGAATTTCTAGAATTCAGTCTTGTGCTCAGCTTGCTACAGCTTGCATCTACTTGATTGTTCCTCTTGCTGAAACCCTTGCTTACAACCTTGCTGTGTTCTTGATTCCCTTGTCATTAAACATGCCTTGAGTTACGTTGTTGCGTTTGACCGCTTGGGATGAACTAGCGTCATCCCAATCGGAGCCACCTGTGTAATTGTGTACATCAGTAAGAGCGTCCTCGGCCAGCATCGTTGCCGGCCGTGCCACCTTTCACACCAACAGCCGTTTAATCGTGGTAAAGGCTGATCGCCACCCCACTAGAACAGTAGCCAGATAGGCCACTGTTACAATACCGTTTAATTAAGTGTTTATTTTGTAGAAATCCTGAGTGAGACTGGTGACAGAAACATATTTTTTCATGCTGTACGAATATTTGCAAGCAATAAGGGCTCACAGCTACCTATACCGGTACAGTACTAAAAGTTGAGAACTTTTAACGTGCTCTCAACATGAATAGCCATGTGCCATTTGTAGGGCCTTTTGCTGGTTGCGTTTGCTTTGGCGACGAAAGTGTGGACCACTGAAAAAGGGGGATACTGGTGGCCTTGCGGGCAGAGTTACTGCAAAAATACCATTTATTGGGCGTTTTCCGTCACCCTTATTGGATACATCATTACGTTCATATTACTCTTTCTACATTTGTCCCATTTAATTAGCCACTGCAACAAATTAAATGGCTATTTATGGTGAGCAATCGCGATTTTATTCTTGTAACACCCAATAATGATTCGAGGTTCTACGTATCTGCATTGTATAACTAGCATCGACCTTTTTTCCGGTTAGGAAATTACAAAGTATTTCTGCTACACTGTGGCGATTCTGCTTTGTTTTGCCGGCGCTATCTTGGTTCCTTACGCCAACGGTGATACCGTTCGGGGAGCTTGTACGGTATATTAATGACACTCGACCATATTAATTTTTTGTCCGCGTGTACTATGTGCTTTTTAATTTTGTAAAACGAATTTCGGTGTAGTGTAGTTTTAATAGTTTCAGATGAAGTTTCAATAATATTTTCTTGCAGGGTTTCTGCTGGTTAGCTATGATGACGTTTGGAGTGGATGCGATTTATAAATGTAATTTCTGGCGAAATATTCAAGTTGCTTTCTATCAGGAGAATCAGAAAATTTTTTTGCATTTAATCTAAACTGCAACTGATGTTTGCATTTTTTCTGACAATGGCAGCCCCGGACCGTTTACAAATTCTCTTGTTGCAGCCGCGCTATTTTTTTCTGCGATTGGAAAACTGATTTGCCCCGAAATGCTGCTTAAATCTCCAAGAGCTGCTGAAGTTAAACCTTACGTTGACAGACAAGTACGATAATATACTACATCGCTACGGTAAGCTTTTTTACCGTTCCGGTGTCCTTCGTTCTCCCTATACTCCTATAATACTTTGTATATTTACAGATGTAGCGTATGTAAGTACTCGTACAAAGGTTGTACGAGTATCTCGTGAAATGGATAATGGCCTATGGCTAATGTGCCGTAGCAACGGCATTGTTGTTGTCCGTTATTGTTGCCATGTTTAGTGTTTAGTTGGTTGTTTGCTGCTGTCCCGAGCGGACATAATAAAAGATTATGCCGTTCGTTTCATACATGACAACAGAAGTTGGTGCGTTATATCTTTTTGTGCGACTTAATTCAATGACAGTATACTTTTAATATTTCAAGACGTTTTCCGGAATGATGAACAATATTGAACTGGTAAGAACATTGCACACGGGCCGTAAAATTAAATACTGTAACATATGTTCAAAACAAAAATCTGGAAACATAGGCATCAAGCATCTCCAGTTGCTAGCTATCAATCGGTTCGCCTTTCGATGAGACAGTACGGTCATTTTCCACTTTGGTCTCTTCTAAGTCCTGCAAAACAGTGTTGCATCTGTTAAAAAATCCCGGTTACTACGCCCAATTTAACTACGCCTATTTTAAGATGACAAAATGCACTGCGTATGAATGTATGCTGCACATGAATGTGTTGGAAAATGATTATTTTTCTGTTGGATTTTTAACCACAATACCTTGGACTGATCGCTGGATTCTCTGAATATTTGTATATCTTTAAGGAAGAGGAAGGCGTTTATTCCATACGCAATCGCTGCAGTCCAGCAAAATAGCTGTATTAACAGAAAAAACGTATTGCACGAGTACGTACGACCTTGTATGCACATTATATGAACCAAACAAAAAAAATTTTATGTTGACGTTTCTGTTTTGTTATAAATCTAGGCACAGGTACCTATCGTTTTTTTAAAACACCGTAGTTTATGCCAATGCCCAGCGCCCTGAGGTGTACTCTGTTATTTAATAAACTTTGACGGCAAATTTTCTATGTGGCTTTTAATGATTACGCTAATGCTGCACTGGAAAGGTCAAAGAAAAGTTTAATCTTTTGGTTGGCTGTGTCGATAATTGAATAAGCCGTTCACAAATTAGAAGTCAAAATTTTACAATGCTATTTAATTTTTTAGCAGAATAAGAAAACTGACCACACATAACAATTTGTTGACAAACGTATGCGCATCGGAGTCAGGGATCATAACAGCTCCAGCGAACAGCATGCAGTGTACTTCCACTAGGGAGTACACTAACTCCTGTAATAAATAATTTAGCAATCAAATTTTATTACAACGATCAACATTGCGAGAAAAGCTAATAATCGCAACGCAGAATTGCAGCTGTATAGTTAATAAATTTGTGTACATAGAGTCGGAATCTTGCAAAACTTCGTCAAAATCAAAATCAATAAAATACCAATAATTACTTAAATTAAATACTAGTATCAAATGACAACAGTACAACGAAAACTTTTATATTTAAGCATCGCGCGACGGCGTCACTGCGTCGAAGTAGCCTTACGATGGTATTCCAAGGAACTGCAGGAAATGCATCCACGAGATGAAACAGTTGCATAATCAGAAGTGCCAAAGTTGCAACGAATGCAATGGCAGTGGTTGACACTGCTGTTATATATCCACAAATATCACTCGTATACCAGAAGCCATGGGGGGACATGCAGACTGACGCAAGAAATGCGATGAACGTGCACTCCTGCATCCATAAAACAAGCAATGCATGTAACATACTTCTACCAAGGTGCACAGGGTTGACCTGGTGCTGAGTAAAACTGGCAAAAAGTTTAGTAATTTTTTTTGCCGTCACAACTCGTTAACATTTTTTCGAAAGATAAAAGAAATACAATGGTAAAACGGCCATCAAGTTGTAAACATGTGACAGTGATTTTAACGGACGATCCATAAAGGCTACAAAATTTTAACAGACAGAAAGCCTTTGTGAAATTCCAAAAAACATCTGAGTCGAGTAAACTAGTAGAAGTTTGGCTTGAATCGGACATGAATACATAAAGGTCAGGGAGGCACTGAACTAACTACATATAGTCTATCTGCGCCCTGCAGTCGCAGTTACTTGGACTGCCATAAGGCCCGCTCATATTCATAGTTCGACTTATGCATAAATCATAATTTTACATCAAATCGATAGCAAGCATGAAAAACTATAATAAGATGTGCAATCCGTGTTATAATATTCCAAGCGGTTGAGGCTGTAGGCCGTGCCACACGTCTGACGCCTTGGACGAAAACATGTAGAAAACTTCTATAAAGCCAGCTTCAGCTTCACTCAGCACCAGGTGTACCCTATAAAGTATGGAATATACATGCAGTACCGTACCATTTCAACAGTTTTCAGTAGTCCGGATAACGTCTTGAAGTACTAAAGATGAGCACACATAAAAAACTGACTGGGATAGTGCATTAAAGATATTATAACAATTCTTTGCTTTAAAATGATGTACATAAGGAAAAACAACTTGGAAATGAAATTTCTTTAAATCAGGCAAACCTGTGTTTCGAAATAAGTTTTAGCGTGGACGATGGATTTGACAGGCGTTTCTGGCAGATCCGATTTTCCAGATTCAGAATACAAGTATCGCGACTGCAGCAAAGTATTTTTTTTGCCGGAAGAAACGATCACGATGTTATATCGATAAAGCGGCAATTCTTTGGTCTCCATGTTTTACAAAAATCCAGAAACTTTACTAGATACCGAAAACGATGCAGATGAAAACTGCAGAGCAAAATAGCTACTCAAAATTAGTCCTCCAAATCCGTCTCAAAACAGAATCCGCTTTTATCACTCAGTCGTTTGTTTTGCTAGAGGACGCTTGTTTATTAATCGATCCGTACAGTCCAAAATAAAAACAAGTAATTTGTTCGATATGCTGCTGCAACATTACTGAACGCTTTCTGCGGTAAACAATATGCCATGGCCAGGCTGGCCAGCTACTATACGTTGTCAATAGATTCATATATCCTTACGTCCTTATTTTTTGGAAATTATCTCCTAAATCAAGATTGATTGTTTCAATAAGATGATGATTTTATAAAATAGAGCATCGCACAAACATTCCTACCTTTATATTTAAAAAAATCTTAAGTTTTGGAGAAGGTCTAAAAAAATTTTTAAAAGCTGTAGTACTTAAAGGTTGTTAGTACTTAAAGGTTGTTGGTTTTGGAAAATATCTCCTAATTCGAGATTCCGTTTGTGAAGCTTTTGATAGTTTTAAAAAATCCAGCATCTCCCACAGCTTCCTGCTGCTTGGAAAAAAATTTTTGGTTTCCGGAAGGTTTTCAAAACCCTTTTAAACTTTCAGTACTTAGCGTTTAAAGTTCATAGAAATTTCCAGTAAATTCTGGAAACGTCTCGAATGAGCAAATACAGGTTTTGCAACTTAGCAACCTAAACAACAGTTATTTAAAATTGTCAAATACATCAAACTTTTAATTATACATTTTTAAATTCTAGAAACCTTTAAGATGTTTCTAAATGCGTTTGAATACCTCAAAATAACTGTAAATTTATCCAAAGTCAGCTCCAAAGCATTTACATTTCCAGAATTTTTAAATATTTCTAAATATTTCGACTCGGCCCCGCGAAGCGGGGCCGTTACCTCTAATTTTCTGAGCCTCCAGAGTTTCTAAATTTTAAAAATATCTAGAAATCTGAGTATCTCAATATCGCACCGTTTAAATGGTCTAATTTATGTGTAATTTCTAAATATCTAAAAGCCGTCTCGCGGCCCGTTTACCGTACTCACTCACGTAGCGGCTCTGTAATTCTGGTGGTAGCTTGGGCATTCACTAACCTACTGTTGCTCTGTAATACTGGCGATAGCTTGGGTACTCACTAAGCTCGAAATCTAATATACTATATGTATTTATTTTATTTTAATAATTACTGAAGAGCTTGACTGAATGGCTGAAAATCTTACAATCTTACATGCAGCGTGCGAGGTCACCTTGGGCAACCGTTAATTGTTTCCCAAAATTTTCCATTAATTGTGCGCTGAAATATCGGCTGAACGGTTTTTTATGGGCATCGTTTAAATGATCCCACTCCATCCATTTTATCACCGTTTAAATATTATCTGTCTTACCAAAAACTACAGGTTTTCAGTTCCTTAGAATCGGCAATATAAAGTTACATTGAAAACGGGAAAAAGAATCGTGAAAAAGGCAAACAAAAAGAAAAATTACGGAGGCTTTCAGTTTTTATAAAACTGGTCGAATTTAACCGGAAAGCTTGAAAACTGTCCGCATTTCCACATGTTTAAAATATTTTCGTAGCTGGCCTCGCTGGGGTTTTATATTTGAAATATTTCTCAAAATCTTCTTTATTGCTGTACGAAGTGTATTTGTATTTCATTCATTTTTCCATACCTCGAACATAACTGGTCGCGCGCTAGCGCGACCGATACTTGTATAAGTAAAACACTACCCTACGTATTGTACACTATACAGTAACGTTAGTAAGATCATGCACCGATCATGCAATTGCAGGCACTGCAAGATCATGCATCGATCAGGCATTTTGTCGTCACTGTAGACTGTACGTACTATATACGCAGCAAAATTTCGAGTACGGTATAATAAACATGACTTCTGGCCTAATTATTATTAGTTTTATTTGGAACATTACGAAGTGGCACACAAGCGTACAGAATGCGTGTTAATTTTCGCCCTTTTTTAAAGTACTGCTAGTGTTGTACTCGTACTAAACGCGTTCCGACAGCACGTTGAGCTAACCATAAAATCCGTAGAGTACCATATAGAGTACTTACCTACAATTAAAAATCCGTAGAGTGCAATGTACTGCATAACTGATGCAGAGTACCAAGTATACTTACTGCCTGGGACTCTACGGATTTTAGGTATGTACTCTATAATTATGGCACTCTATGGATTTTAGCTCCACGTGCTGTTGGAATGCGTTTAGTACGAGTACCACACTAGCAATACATTAAAAAAGTGCTAAAATTAATACACATTCTGTACGCTTGTGCCACTTCGTAAATCGTAATGTTCCAAATAAAATTAAAGCCGATGACCTTTGCGATTTCCTTGTTATGTACTCTTATCACAAGTATAACATTTTGATCTAAAACATTCAAAGGAATCTACTCGTAACATTTTCAGAAGCTTACTACAGATAGTATAAACATGAAATCATGGTTGCTTATGAAGAACTTGGCTTCCAGGATGCAAAAGCAAAAGCTTCACGCTTGCCAGCTTCACGCTTGTTCAGGATCATATCATACGCCATTGTCCATGCATACAGGAAAATAATTTGCTGCATTAAAATCAGGAACATGTATATTGACGATCGAACAACTCTTCCTTTGACAAATCAATATTTTCCGCCTTGCCTTTCCTCGACCTGCAAAGCCACTTCTGTATTGCTGCAATAAACATGCAAAATAATTATAGAGCCGCAATACGTTTATGTCTCATTTTTAGGCTAACATGCAAAACTAAAACGAACTGTTTTGCTAAACAGCTGGAAAATGTTACGATAACCCAAGAACTTACTATAGCTACTGTAGATTCTCACATTAGTAAGCACTTGGAATCTTGGATAACCATAAACACCTGTCGCAGCACCATGGCCTTGTCGTACATCGCAGCCACATCCACTCGAGCCGGAGGTGCTGCAGCGCTGGCCGAGCGGAGCAAGACCGAGAAATACCGCAACATTACTCAAGATTACTGGTTCTCGCCGCTGGGCTTCGAGACTTACGGAGCTTTTGGACCAGAAGCCACCCGGCTGCTTAACGTGCTAGGAAAGATGATCCATGGCAGCAATTAGGCGAACCGCGAGCACTGGAGTTTTTGCGTCAACGGATCAGCATAGAAATTTAGCGAGTAAATGCAGCATCTACATATAATGGAAACAGCGCCACCAGCGGCGACTTTAGACAAATTATTTTCTGTAATCCGCCCGCCTGTGTTCGTACTTCGTAGATGTTGCTGTGTAACTCGCTTGTTTTCAGTTTCTCATGATTTCTGTAGAATGTGGGAAAAATTTTGTTGCGCATAACGCGCATAAATTGTATTCACCCATAAACACCTTGTACACTATATGTATACAGCAGTAAGCTTGTCTAGGTTGTCTGTTGCGTCAAGATTTGAATTTGAACAACGCATCCGCTCCGTACGCCAGCGTAGCCGACGACCAAAAAAATGCAGGAAAATAAATGTATTATAGGTTAACCGTATTTACACAAATCCAGTAACAGTGACAATTTCGCCCAATAAGAACCTATGCAGTAAACTTCCAGCAGTTAGACAACCAGAAATTTTTGCTTTCATTGGTCCGAGGAATCATCGCCATAATGAATGAAGTCAGCTTAAGACCCTACAAGCTGCTGACGTGTACTGGCGTCACTTAGTACACATCGGTACTACTTTACTACTTCTACCCCTACTACTAAGGCCTAGGCTTTACTACAACTTCTACGCGAGTCCTGACCGCGACTCCGAGTATCGACTTCTCAGAAATCTCCAGCAGAGAACGTTGACCGCGACTTGCCATTTCGACGTGACCGCGCTTCGATGACGTAGCTCAACCTATTGTTCTAGTGTATTAGTTGACCTCTTGTTCTTATTAGTCCACGTGTAGTGATGCAGCGGTGTGATTAGTCCACGTGTCCTCAGATGTCTCTTATTGGCTAGCATTTATATCCCTATTGTTCTCAGACCCATACCTGCGCGTACGAAGAGCCAGCACTTGCGGTGCCCAGGGCTATATAAGGCGCTCGTCGCCCACACAAATGTCAAGAGTTGTAATCCCAACAAAAGTAGTCTTGTTACTCGATCTGATTAACTTCAGGCTTTTGCTCTGGTCTTCTCTTTCCAAGTGAGGCTGTTCAAACTGACCTCTGGGTGACCTTTCACCTATTGTCAAGGGTCATTCCTCTACTTCGTCGACGTGCATTATCATCTTCGGATAGTCTCGTGACGTAACAGGTTACCCACTTGATCCCACTTGATTCGCCTTGACCTTTCGGTCCCTTCGATCTTCATGCCCTGTAGCCCCAGGTTGATGGATCTCTCATACGCTTCAGCTACCATCTAGCGTCGGACAGGTAACGTATAACTTCACGCATCCCTTGTGTTTTCCTTTCGTGTCTTCTCTTTCAGCAGGCTTTCGGGTTCCGGATCCTCTTCTTCATCCTTGCATATCATCTCATACTTGTACATCAACATCCTTAACCTTTCGCTCCATGAAATACATAAGAAGTTGAGATTAAGAGCAGCTCTATTCTCCGACTGGTCGTGGTCTGGGAAGTGCATATCAACATCGCACGCAACCGCTTTTATTTATTTGCACGACACTGCATATGTACGAAAACCGCAAATCGAATACGGATGCTGCAGACCTTCCGTATCCGCCGAATCGGCTGCTTGTACATAGCGGTTGCCAGTTGTGATTCTACTAGATCGACATAAAAACGTAAAACATTTTCATCGAGAAATGTCGAATGTGTTGGAATTTCTTGTCTTTGTTACAAGTTCAGAAGTTTCCGAAGTTCAGAAGTTACAAGTTCAGAAGCTCATCAGCGCTATGACTTATACTGTACGTATCTATATATGCCAGTTTGGTTCAATCTGCAAGTTGATAATTAAGTTCCTATGTCTACGCGACATATACTATTATAGCAGTTTATTTCTAGTACCTTAAGACGTGTTCCGGGATCCTGAACATCGTTGGTCTGGTAAGGCTATAGTATGTGGATGTAAACGACGCAGTGCAACGTTAGGTAATTACGGTCTTCGGCCGAATGAGGCTTGGTACTGCAGTTTTGCAGTTGACCGGGGACAATCATAACTTTGTATACCGCATTAGATTTTCTAATATGAACTCCTGGATTGCAGACGTAGCATATGTAGATGCACCCGGAATATTATAGCCAAATTTTGGCTTTTGCAGGTCCTTATATTGGTTGCTTTCCTTTTGGTGGCGCTTGCAGTAACTTCAAGCTGGGAATGCTACATCTGCCATTACTGCATAAGATCTGCAGAATGGACAAAATTTGTCACAATTACGGGATTTATCATTACGTTTATATTGTTGTTCCTGCATTTATCCCGCGTAATAGATCCACTATGCCAGGTTAACTGGTTGTTTGCAGTGAGTGATTTCATTATCTACAGCATACGACATCAGCCTGAATTACGTACGGAAATTGTGTTGCAAACACAGTTTGGTACGTAAATTGTGTTGCAAACACATCAACCTTTTCGCCGATTAGGAGGGGCTTTACAGCTGTATTGTGTCTATTCTCCTTATCACTGCCGGAGCTGTCATGATCCCTTACGCCGATATGGATGGCGTTCGTGGAGCTTGCACGGTATAGCAAATTACCATTTCGAAAATTGCACGTTTTTTATCTACGAATACAGTTTGTACGAAACGAAATGCTTCTGTTTCAGTTTTTCTGCTGGTCAGCGACGCTCGCGTACGGAGCGGATGCAGTCTTCAAGTTAAAATCCTGGCGTATTAAGCAAACTGAACAAGGTTCTCACACTATATTAGTGACCTGTGACTGGTCTTCGTGATTTTTGCAGCATTTCCAGTTTAGCGAAATAACTCTTTTTGCAAAAGGTTAATGAACCGAAAAGACCTGTTACTGTAGCGTACTGCTCTGCATTTTGGTAGTCAATCGGTTTATAGCACAAGCTCTCAAAACATGAGTTCAGTTAACGCGATATTTCGATAATCTTAATGCACAATAAGTTTATCGTCAAATGCAAAAGTGGATTTTGCAGGTCGACACGTTGGCAAATACTAGCAATTCGAAGGATGAACAGCTCCAGGTCCATACTTTTGTTCCCGATGCTAGTGCAGTCAAGTATTTTTGCGTATAAACAGCGCTCGAGATAGATATAATAATTCTGGAAAAGGACAGATGCTTCTTTGAAAAGCGTTTTGGAAGTCAAAACCTAGGAAAGCAAAAAATTTTCATGGTTTTCACGCGTTTGAATGTGTTTACGACTGTTCAAGTATAAATACCCTTATGTCAAAGTCACTTTATATTCTTGTTTTTGATATGGCTGCATGACAAAAGAAGAATGATAAAGGTATCCGTTTTGCGCCTCTCCTAAAACATCGGTAACTATGTGCTTCGTGCTTACAAAAGTGTTTTTTGGTTCTTGCACCATCGTGTGATCCCAAACTGAGTACAGTGGTCACTTCATAACTTTGCGCGGAGAACGTGGCATCCTGCCATCTGACTGTTTCTAACAGTTAAAAACCTGCTGATCGATAGTTTGCGGATACAATCTTGGAAAATATTGAAAATTTTTTGGAAAACGTCCTGCAAAGCGCAAATTAAATTCTTTAAAAGCAACCAATTTTCTGTTTGAATACTTTTGGAAATATGACAAGAATATTTCGTTGGAGATTTCAGTCCAAATAATTCTAGTTGAAGCCGTTATACTTGCTTAATATAATGGGACTACATAACAACGGAATGACAAAGGTCATCGGTTTTGCGTTCCTTAAACCGCAGATAATTATGCGCGCTATGTTCAGGCACAAGTGCAATTGTCATGACCTTTGAAGGTACTCTGCACCCGGTACTGTGATCCGAAACTAAACGCGTCTATAGATGTGCATAGAGGCGGTCATCTGTGTCGCACAAGAACCTAGCTTTTTAGTAGTCTGTACGTAGCTGTACGTCTGTATGTGTCTGTATGTAACTTTTTAGTTCGAACCAAAAATAAAAATTAAGAGTTGAGAATTCAAACAGATTTGCACGAAAACAATAAAATCTGGTAACAAAACGTTTGACCAGAAATTTTTTCACACAAGGAAGGGAAAGAGAAAAAAAGCAATAATAACTACATATAACAAACAATACAGCTCTTTTGCTATCTAATAAAACATATAGATATGCGAGAATGCAAAAGAGATGCCATGCGAGACGCTAGTTTCAACGACAGAATGTCGGTAGAACGACATATAGGAGATACTGTGTTATTGTGCCAAATCGGTATACCGTATACCGGGTACATATTATTATGACCAGGACCGACTATATAAACTTGGTCGTGGTAGTGCACCCCATAATCTCGATATTAATGGTAGTACACCATAATCTCGATATTAAACCCCAAGTAAGCTGCAATAATAAGCCAAAAATAAACTAGAGGTAAACTCGCTTAATAATGCTTTCGGACAGTGTCAAGGTCGTTTTCAAACTTTACGTATTTTTTGTTCCAGATCATTATTTGTATGTATGTATACGTTTTAAAAAACGAGCTCATTAAACATTCGGCATGTAAGACTTGAGCTTTTTCGAAGATTCGCTACGTTTATTGTATCCTTGTGGTTAGATCGAAAGGCATCAATCATATCTACATGTATTATCTAAACTGCTGAATTTACAATTTATAATTTTACTCTATATGTACTTAGCAAGATACATACAGTATCCTGGGCGCTTATTCGGCACTTTGAAATGTTCCCAATCATGATCGCTATATCGTAATTTTGTTGCATACGATTTTCATGTTGTGTAGAACAAACTGCCTGATCGGTGCATGATCGTGTCGTGATAAACAACTTACTCGTACCATGTGCCTTCACTGGCACTTTGACTGTCAGCGTAGCTTTTTAGTTTTACAACGTAGACGTTTCTACCCCAAGCGTTCAGTAGTGTTGCAACAGCAGCACGGTCGCAGATTAAACACATTCTCTTCATTTTGGATTAACCTGATAATCATTTAGTGAAACAGTTATTCTTTACCAAAACAAGCAACTGTGATAAAACCAGAGCTTATGTTTTTTGAAACAGATTCGGTATAAATTTCAGTAATTGTTTCGCTCTACAGTTTGCATCGTATCCGCTCATTTCTATATCCAGCTGCAAGTTTCTGAGAGTTAAGTAAAACATGGAGAGAAAGGCATTGCCGCTTTATCATCAAAACATCGCCATTGCTTGTTCCGGCAAAGATACGCTGATGCAGTCGCGATTATTACATTCTGGATGTGGAAAATCGGACGTGCCGGAAACGCCTGTCAAATCCAGCAGCATCGTCCACGCTAAAACTTATTTTGACACACATGTACGTCGTTGGTCTGCTTTAAGGGCGTTTTCGTATGCATATTATTTTAACCTTAAGATTTGTTATCCTATTTCAATGCACTATCCAAGGCAGTTTATTATGCGTGCTCCTGTTTAGTACCTCTGGACGTTTTCCGGACTGCTGAAAATTATTGAAATGGTACGGTAATTGTACTGTGTATGTACATGTACAATACATAATCTAAAACAATAAAAATACGTAGTATTATCTAACCATGTTCCGCTGTCTAAACAATAATGCTTTACTGCACCAAAGCTGTTAGCTTTACCTACAAAATTTAATCCAGTTCACAGTACTCCTGTGGTATTTTTAAATTAAAAAAGAGTGGCAGCATAATAGACTATATTCTAGCAGTGACAATTTTCAGATGTGTATGCTGATTGCATTCATTCTGGCAGCGACTGCCTGGAGCACAGATTGGAGATACGGATTGAACTACTGCATAAAATCGGCTGAATATGTGAAATTTGCCACAATTACGGGATTCATTATAACACTTATACTGCTAATTTTGTATTTAATCCACATGATCGATCCATTATACCAAACTAACTGGCTACTTGCGGTGAGTAATTCTATTGTATTTTACATGTCGTATGCTATGATGAACATCGTACTTGCCGGTTAAGTTCGGTAATTAGCTTGGGTTACCTTCCCGGTTAGGAAGGGATATACTGCGGTATTGTGGATGTTTTGGTGACCATTGCTGGAGCGGTTATGATTCCTTACGCTGAGATCGATGGTGCTCGTGGAGCTTGCGCGGTACAGTTATATTTAATTAATGTTGTTTTTATTATCGCCATTTTTCGCAATGTAATTTTTTCCGAATCACTTGTTTTACATCAGTTGTCGTGCAAAAGGTTTTCTGTATTGTACAGAAAATTCTTCCTTTCGTTGTTATAACTTGTAATTCCTTAATCATATTGAGCAACGACATAAATTTTGTTCTGCTATAATTGTAAAAAACAAATTTTCTTGTAGTTTTTCTGCTTGTCTGCTTCGCTGTTATACGGAGCGGAATTTCTCTTTAAATCCAGATCCTGGCGAGGTAGGCACGATGTACAAAGTTAAGAATGTTTGATCCCGAGATTTATGGCAATATCATCAAATTGTGAATCTGCAACTATGTACAATTGATCGCTTATATAATATGATTCCAGTAATGACGTCCGCTATGTTTTATTACAAAGATGCCAGCAATCAGCCATGCTATTGCGACCCTGCTGGATTCTTAATAATGGATAAACCGGAAAGGCCGTTTAAATTTACCAAATTCTTTCGAGCCATACTTTACTTTGACGTGGAGGTACGATACACGATATATAGATATCCATATCTGATGCATGTATCGTTCCATATTTTCCCGGTAAAGGGACGCTAATGGAGCCCAACCTCTACAATATTATGAAATTAAGATCTAGACGTGGGTGCACTACTTTTGCAGTACCTTAAGACGCCTCCCGGGATTCGGAAAATTGTGGAACTGGTATGAACACATTTTCGATTATGCAAAGTAAAGCTCATTAATTTTATTTATATTAAGTTTGCTTATCAGATTTTTGGTATATTGTAGTGTATGCTTTTGACAAGAAAATGCAAGTTTTTTTATGGATTCAGGTGTGCACGTTCATCGCGTTTGTTGCGTCCCTCTGCACCTACTATTTGGGGGATATTTATGCAACATTGTGGACGAATATTACCACTCCCATTGCATTCGTTGCGACCCTGGCATTTCTTATTGTACATCTTTCTCATCTCGTCGATACATTTCATGCGATTCCTTGGAACACCATCGTAAGCCTGCGTTCCCTGCGCTGTGACGATGTCGCCATCGCACGATATGCAGAATCGCAGATATAATTATTTTAATATAATTTATCTATATACTTGTACATATACGTACGTACAACACGTACTCTGTACATACCTGAACGAACGTTATCGTTGACCTGTACATGTGTTGGGTTTAAGTACTTACACATTTCGTATTCTGATTCTGATTTGGGTATTAAATCGTGTTTTAAATTTTCTAGGAAGTGGTGTACTCCCTAGTAGCACTGCACTGCATGCTGTTCGCTGGAGCTATTATGATGCCTTATGCCGATGCGTTGGCCGGAACGATATGCGTGGTCAGTATCATTCTGGTGTATTGAAATCTTTATAAAATTATTAAAAGCCACCCTAAAATATTTGCCGGCATAGTACAGTAACTGCAATGTACACTGATTTGACGCTGGTACTTGCACCAACTACGGAATTTTCATTTAATCAGGGAACAGATTTATGAAACGTCTATGTGAAATTTTTATTTTGGGTTCATTTATTAAATGCAATGTCATAAGGGCCGATCATGGCATTGTACGAGTGGTTTTTTTTACAGCTATTCTGCTGGTCAGCAGCGATTGTGTATGGAGTAGACGCTTTCTTTTACCTTCAAGACATGCAAATATTCACAGAATCCAGCAGTTGCAGCAATCAGTACAAGGTAACGCAGTTAAAAAATCCACCAAAAAATAATAATTTTCCAACATATTCGTGCAGCTGTACTCGTAATGCATCTTTTCATCATAAAATGGGCGTAGTAACCGGAATTTGCTAAAAAATGCAAAATGCTTTTGCAGGACTTGGAAGAGACCAAAGCGGAAGATACTCATGATATTATCTCATCAAAAGACGAAGCGACTGATTTTGTAGTTAACAACTAAAAATGCTTGATGCCCATGTGCCCATAATTTGTTTCCTTACATTACAGTATTTATTTGTATTTATAAAAGATGGCGCTGTGCGTTTTAAACCATAGAGACACAACAACATGGAAAAAAGTTTTAAAGAATTTACTATAAAAGCATACTTAGTGGAAATTGTGGGGAGCGTTTCTTAACTTTTTATCTATTCCAGCGAATAAACCAAATTCCCAAACAGAAAACGATGAGTTCTCAACATTCAGTATGTGTACAAACACTCCATGACCTGGGTGTGTTGGTGTTGGATACAAACTGTACAGTGTACAATAATATGTGTTACCAACTGGTGAGCGCTTTCATCCCGTTTTAACACAAACCGGACATCCGAATAATTAATAAAACCAAAAAATTCCTATAACAGTCTTATAACAGCAGTAACAAAACGGATGACCTCAAGGAATAAAGGTTTTTAGCATAAATTAGGTTTAGCATACATTCCTAATCCTTTTTTCACGGAGTAAAACGTGCTGCAGATCCATATTGTGTTACAGGGGCGTGCTACTGATGTTCGCGCGAACAATGGCTTCGCGCTATTTTACGGTGCAGCGGTGCAAATTAAAAACGTAAATCCCACATGTCCAGTCAAATACTGTTTACTGGCAGCTGTTTTGTCAGACATGCCGCGCTTGCACTTTGATTCTTTAAAGTACTTATCATGAGTGCAGGTCACTGCAGACCTGGTTCGTCGTAGTTAACTGCCTGATTGTTGCATGATCATGACGTGATTACAGTAAACAACATAATTCTAACAGTGCAGCAGTACAGCCCGATTGATATTCTGCCGAATGTCCGAATATCGCGCAGCGCCGCAGTACTGCACGATGCCCGACAAATTATTACTCTTACTATCGATTTGGTAACTGTATGAGCATCACTGATGAACAAGAACAATTTTATGGACATCTAAGAGCTGCCACGCAAATGCAGTACATAATCTGGAGCCGAGACAGCTGAATGTTTTTTCAGTATTGACCACCTTTAACACGGTTTCTACCATTGTACGTTTTATGCGTTGTTGACCGTATACTTTATTTTGATTATCTTACCCGAATGAAGCGACCAACGGATTATTGGCTTTTATTAATGTATCCCAGTTGCAGTTTCCGGCAGACGATCGGTTGCAATGCAGCCGCGCTGTTATCATCCTGCAGAATCGAGGTTGCCGGATGTTCCGGCTAAATCCGCAAGAGCTAACCTGCATTGTGACATCCATGTACGCTTTACGCACGGCTAATGTTGTTAGTTGAATACTAATTCTACGGGATAGAAAAACTTGAAAAACTTCTGCATATATAAGTTAACGATTCGACATATGTGAATCGTAATATATTTTATCATATTTCTAGTACCTGATATCCGGGATTTTGAAAATCGTTGAACTGGTAAGTGTAATCAGGTAATGAGCAATTACTTAAATGCAGTACTGTTGTGCAAATTAATATGATTAAGACAAAAAAATTATTATGACCTGCGGATATCTCACATTGTCAGCAAGATCTAAACCAAAAATAGACAATACTTTCGTAGTTTTAGCCATTATGCCAATCTGTTGCAATTCCTCCACGCCTATAAAAGCCTATAACTGCAACAGATTTGCTTGTTTTCAGATCTTCTCTATACTACTCGTACAGTATTTTACTTGTAGCTTTATCCCTACACAGAATGTTGAACCGTTAGGAACTTAGCGACATGTACTATATATTATATTCTGCTACGGTTAGTTTAAATTCATTTTCATAGTTTTAAAAGTTTTTAGGATTTTAACGGTTTTAAGAGTTTTACGAGGGAGGAGGACTTTACCCACTTCACTGTATTATTCAAGTACTTTTAAATCGAAAATGACGCGTGAGGTATACTATTATATTAATTACTACTATTTACTACTACATTTACTTATTACTATTATCCAGATAGCCAGATTTATAGGCACTTACATCTAAATTCAGGAAGTGATTGTGGTTTTTTACTTTCAGATACTCACGTTGAATGCGTTGGCGCTAACCGTCAGTACAAAGCGTTCATTTGATGGAGAGTCAATAATGTGGGCGAATGTTTCCATCGTTGTTGCACGTGTTGCCGCCGCTGCGTTTATTAGCACCCTTTTTCTTTTCGGACTGAAAGTATTACGTTACACCAAAGAAATTCAAACGATACTTTGGACTAATATTGTAAGAATAACATTTCAGCATCATTCTAGCTAGAATAAAATTTTGCTAGGTATGTCTGTACCGATATTAATTATAATTATTTTAACACCTACGGTAGTCGAGTAAATGCAATGTACTCTATTATGTCTCCATATACATAGGCTGCTGCCATATATACGAGTATGTCTGGATAAACTAAAATTTGGTTTTATTACGAATACAAATAATATTTCAGGAACTAGGGTACTGCATAGTGGAGGCTCTTTCCCTGCTGGCCGCTGCAACTTTTATGATACCATACAGACATTTAATCATCGATTACATGAGACTGGAATGCGCGGTCAGTATTTCTGCTGCTAATCAATCACAATAATTATTTGCACCGGTGCTCTTCAGGATACTGTACCCCATGAATGAAAGAAACTGTTGTTCGTTTGCTACGGAAACTTACTAATTCGAACGTTTCCTACTAATTCGAAAACGCGGAAAATTGTTCGTTTATATCTACTCAATCAAAGGTCACTGAGCACTGTTTACGTTAACTGCAATCAGATGGAACTTATACAAACGGTCCATGCATGCCGTAATGAAGGCACATAAGTTTTATGTATAATACACAGATATAACTTTTTTACAAAATATTTTTTGTTGCAGCTTTTCTGCGCAGCAGCGGTAATGGTGTACCAGGTCGATGCCTTCCTTATTATTTACCGGGTGTACAGAAGTCGCCAGCTAGCACAGGTGATTTACATTAAAATCGTTACCAGTTGTGCAAAGCTATTTCAAATCTACCGTACCAACTTTCAGCCGTCCACCGTGATCGTCACTTCTGATAAAAAGAAGTCTTCGGCGCAGCGCTGCTGTTATCCTGGAGCTTTGAATCTACCGGATGCGTACGACAAATCCCCAGGAATCGCCGCAGAAGATCCAGATTTTAGTCTTAATGTATGAAATGGCGTCTGTGGCACGGTTGATTTTTGCTGAGGGCTAATTTTGAAGATATTAGCAACCATGCGGTAATACCGTTTAGGCACGCTTAATACACGATTCTGCAATTTCGAAATGTGTTTTATTATCGTCACTGTTTTTTTAGTACTTGAAAAAGTTATCCGGATTTTCGAAAATTAGTGAACTGGTAAGAGTCACTTTCCGCTATCGCTTACGTGCAGTTATCAAAGTCGATTTAGCGGATACCGGGATACGTGACCTTTATCGGTCTCTAGTTGGCTTATATCCATACATCTTTCTGACGTGGTTCTAAAGTATACGGGGTTATGTTTAATATAAATAAGAGTTCAAAAGTAGATAAAAATCTGAAATTATGTGCTCGTATAAAAATCTGAAATTATGTGATTTTTTATATGTGTGCAAATTGTACCTAGCTACTTTTCGTTACAGTGTTAATTATATTCCTTCTGCAACAGGTGTTCACGTTAGGTGCATTTGTGCTATCGATTGCCATTTGGTCACTGCCTCCGTTAATCGAAGACGTACGCGAGTTGTGGACGAATGTTGCCACTGCCGTTTCCCATGTTACCACCCTTGCGCTTTTCGTTATGTACCTGTTGCGCATTGTCGACGAATATCACACCATTCCCGGGACCAATATCGTAATAATACATTAGCGTAATCTACATTAATTTTTTATTAGCATTAGCTACTTACCATACGAGTATCCCATGTGCAATATCCAGCCGCAGCAGTTTATTTTAGCAGTACAGTTCGTACTGTAGTTTTGGCTTTGTACGAGTACAGATATATAAATAATTTAGCTACAAATTACAAAGTCGCAGTGACTATACGATATAGCCATGTTAATATGTAGTTGTTTCCAGTTCCACCGATGTTGGTTTGATAGCTTTTTTAGACCATTTAAAAAACGCTACACTTATACGAGAGTTATAGTATGCCGTATGTACTACGCACTTGGATTGTGCAAAGGAGTGCTAAAGTTATTTCAAATATTTTTATCTGCTCAGGAGCTAGCGTTCTGCATGGTGGAAGTTCTTTGTCTACTGTCCGCTGGAGCTGCAGTAGTACCATACAGGGACATGGATTTCATGAGACTAACATGTGCGGTCAGTGATCAGCCAATATAAATATTAATAAATCGTTGTTTATGTTCATTTAACAAATTGCGAAACAAATCCCAAATAAAAAAACTATTGTAAAGATTTTCCAAAGAAACCACTGTAAAGATTTTCTTAATTAAATTTCAGTATTATTTTGCTTATACTATTTTTATGTTGTAGTTTTTCTGCTGGGCAGCGATGATTGCATATTTAACAGAGGCCTTCCTAATTATTATTTTCCGAATGCACCCAAGTCACCAATCAGCACAGGTGTATCATATGTTAAAATAGTGGTGTTCAGGTGTTGCACACTTTTATAATTCACCGTTGTTTAATCAACTGCATTGTGAGTGATCAGTATTTACGAGTACTATTCACTGAAGTTCCTCCAGTCAAAACTAAATACTGTGATTCAATGTGTGTATCTATGATTTTTTAATGCTTTTGCTCGATTCCCGATGCGCTTCATGAATGTATGGAATAAAGTTTTTATTGACAAATTCATAACGGTATCTGAAAGTCGATCAAGAAATCAAAGCGTGAACAATAAACTTGTCCTTTATCAATCGTACACGGTCTCCCAGTCAAACAAGTACTCTTAGTGTGTGCAGAAAATTATAACGTTACCACTTCGCACTAACAAAGAAAGCACGTTTTTGTTGAGCAGTTAAGGTGAATTACCGTACTTATTATATCAATAATTGAAGACCCTCCCCGCTGCAGCGCATCTCGAAAAAGAAATACAATCCAAACCTTTCAATATGAAACACTACTCGAGTAGTACGCCTCTGTCACCAACTGATAAAATACGAACAATTTTGTGCTTAATTCACGATCACAAGCCAAAAGCAGCGCATGCAGCGGTAGCTTTTCTCAAATAAATCGCTAATATATTCAAAGTACTCGTAGTACGTAACAAACACGAAGCGTGCAGAGGAACACTGAAAAAGTTGCAAATTATCCCATCCATTTAAACAATATTCCAATCTCGTTGCCTGCGTACATCCATCCCAACTGAACTTCTGCAAATAAAAATTATCAATTATATATACGTCGATATATAAATACTCTATCGCCGGCATATGTCATAGATTTTTGAACAATTTCGACCGACACACTGAATCACTGATAAGTGAGTTCATATCAAAATAAAAAAAAACTTTTTATAAACAAACAGATAAAGAAAAGTATATGCAAAAATATACGGTCACATTTCTGATGAATTCGGCTGCATAGTGAGCACGTATAAAAAACTCATGATTTCTTAATAGTATTTCGGTACTGATGGTAACTACCCGAAGTGAAAAAGTCGATTTTCACAGACGGCTTTTTTACCTTTAGAAAAACGAAATGATGCATGCTATTTCGCGAGACTACATGGTAACGGCACTAACTACGGAACTCCGCATTATTAATACAAAAATAATAAAAAAACAGCAACAATAAAAAATAATAAAAAATCATTCTTCTAAAAAACAGCAGTAGTAAAAAATAATAATAAAATACAGCAATAATAAAAAAATCATTCTTGTAAAAAACTACTTACTCGCTGCGGCGCCAAAATACCATTTAACGGCGTCGCCTGCCGTCCGATTTCTTCTTTCTTCCATTTGACGCCATCAATTCCGGGACATTCGACTTCGGCACCACCTCCTCCTTCCCCGCTTCATCCGGCTCTAACAATTCCGGCATCTCAATCAACTGCATGACATTGGTTTTCAGCGTGGCCACCGATTCCGTCACGCTCAGTTTTTCCGTCTTCGTCGTTATGACGACGTTGCCATTGGACGGTTTCTTGTAGACCACCAGCGGCCCACTTGCGGTCTTCGGATGCACCGCAGCACGGGCGCGACACCCTTCGCACTCTCCGCACGCATCATGCCCCATGGACAGCACCAGCTTCAGCGCCAGTTTATTGGTGAGGATCCCGTTCAACCATTCGTGGCACCATTCCAGACAGCACAGCACCCCGCCACACACCATTAACAGCGCTCCGAAGAACAGGCGGTCGATGATGACAGCCCAGTTCAGGAGGAACGTGATGCAGGTAAGGAAAACGATCTGCATGTCAGTCAACAGCGACATCCACAATGTATGCACGTCAGGCCAGTTCACGGACCCCATTCTGCACTGGTAGAACTGACGACGTGAAAAATTTAAACATCAAAAGTTTAATGAGGCTTTCTCGTTTTGGCCTCGGATGAATTATATGATTAAAAAACGATAAATTATGAAATTACGAAAAATAAGGTCGTTGAAGCGCCGTGAAGTAATGTTTCTTTATACACTTCGTTCGAGCCCTTTTTGCTGGATAAAATAAAATTGCTTATAAAAAATTACAAAATCTGTGTTTTTCTGTTTTCACCAACTCTTTCGTCAGAGTTTTCGCGATCGCTCCTGTCTTTTGTTCGCTGCACGTTTCTAGGGCAGCTAACCCCGCCTTCAGTGCCGCGCTACCAGCTAGCGGGAGCAGTTACAAACAAACGATGCTACTAGCGCGAGCCAAAAAGTCTGTATTCTGTAATTCGTAGAACTCCGCATTTCCGGTCAGTTTGAATCTGACCGGATAGGCCCGGTAATCCTGATAGCCCGATAAGTATTTCGCAGCTTATGACACACAAACTGTTTGCGAAACGAAATGATACGTAATATACACGAAATGATACGCAGTACAGTACAAAATCGAATATTCCAGTTCAATTTCTGATTAACGAAACATCGTATCGGTGTCTGAAACAAGCGATATATACGCTAATGACGGCTGCAGCAAAAAGTTAAAATATATGGATAGATATGTGACCTTTATTGGTCTTTAATTTTCATGTGTGCATATTTTTTTGCGGCATCTCATTGAAGTAAAACGCTTTTGCATACAAAATTATTATGCACCCACAGCGAGTGCTTTTGACAAAATAATTCTTAACAGCAAAATTGTGGTGGTTTCTTGTAGTTATGGCTTTATGCTGCATATCGTGCACGTAACAGTATACGTAATGGATAATGCCGTACCCGCTGCACTTTCGTAGCCTGCGGGCAGTTCGACGTTTTAACATGTAAGGGCATTAGTCACGTACAAGCAATTTTATGGTCTGCAAAACTCAACAGCGGAACAGAGAATCCAAAATAATTATAAAAGACACCTGTGTGTAAATGGCAATTGGTGATGCTTCGACAAATACGACAAACATACCGGCCAGCCTCTAGCACCAAAAAAGTCTAAACGCCGACGAGATACCTGATACGGTATTGGATTTACCCAATGTAACTTCTCTATCGCACATGCACGTTGCTGACTTGTGAAATGCTGCCCACTTTCGAAAACAATCTTCGTGTTAAGTTCAACTAATCGTGTACTAATTGTATCTTTACAGTGAGCAAAATTAAAGTATTTTCATTGCAGCTTTATCATTTTATTGAGATTCTGGTATTTTTTAACGTTTCCGGACAGTAAAGTCAGAAGTCTACTCGATACTTTAATCTGAAACGATGCAGTAACGTCATGAGGGATTCCTGGATTTAATTTGGATTTCATAATTGTTGTGAGCGCACCCAATTGTTTCTGAGATGGAGACTAACGGGGGACCTTCGTATCAGCATACCACCGTGATCAGTACGTCCTACAATGATCCCCCGATGCAGCCGAGTTACTATTCTGGAGAATCGCGCTTACCGGAAACACCTGTTAAATCCACTAGAATTGTCGAAGTGGATCCTTATTTCGACGTATATGTACGGCAATTTCGTTAGCTAAGAATTTCAATTTTTCTGGCATAATGTTTCTGAATAATACCAATTTAGAATAAGTATCGTGCAATTAACTAAACAACATAACGCATAAAAAATATGCTCATTTTACTCGTATAAAGTGCGTATATTGGTGGTGTTGCAATTGCAAATTTATTGCGCAATTTGCATTTGCTTGTGATTAGTATTCTTTCACATTAGAAATGAGAACTTTACTTCTGTTTCTTTTGCAGTATCTCAAGACGTTTTCCGGAATTCTGAAAATCATTGAATTGGTACGTCCGTAAGTCCGCGATGCGTTGCACGTTCACACATCCACCGCGGCGCTTTAAAATTAGCTGAAGGGTAAATTGAGAGAAAAATGTTTAGTATATTGCGCCACTTTATGTAAATCTAATTTTCCAGGTGACTTTAAATATAAACTAATTACTATTTATATAAGAAAAAAACTTGCGGGAAGCACCGAATACTACTTCGACTGCTTTTCACTGTTACCGAACGGCGGCGCCGTATAGAAAACGGATAACGCTGAAATAATCTCCTGTAGCCGATACACTACGAAATCAAGCAGTTCCTATAGTCGGTTAATGAAAACAGTAGAAGTATAGAACAAAATAATACCAGCATACGAGTGAAAACTCGCTGCAGATAATTACAAATATTTTTAATTTCAGGTGTGTACACTGATCGCATTTATTATATCAGTCTCCACGTGGTCATCGCATTCGTTTTACGGTGGACCATCAAAAAAGGCACTAATGTACTATCCGTATGCTTATGGTTCGGCAGTGTGGACGGATATTGTTACCGCAATTGCATTCCTTATTACTCTGGCGCTTCTCATCCTGTACCTGTTTCATATCATTGAGAAACTTTACGAAGTTCCATGGCTTATCATGGTAAGCGCAACTATGAAAACATTAAAAAGTATGCGCCGTGGCATTTGACGCTACGGAGAATTTGCTAAATAATTTGACTTGTTTTATTTCCTTGTAATGAATTTAAAAAACCAGCACCATTTCCAAATTTTGATTCCGTGTTATCGATCTTTATTGGTAAAATTTAATGGGCGTTGTCCAGTATCATGCGACCATATGATAAAATGCGTTATTATAATAAACTTTTTCTATCATCTGCGTCACTGCGTGGAACTTTTCAATGCGACCTGCGAACATCAATACTTCAAGTATACCGAATTAATTGTTTACATGTTTTAACAGCATCGAAAATGAAGTCTGTGTCATCTAATTTTCTTCTTGCTTAACCACGCGTAATCATGAATTAGCGGTATCCAGTTCATATACTGTATGTCTCTTCTTTGTTAAATGTTACCGCCTACTGAGTAGTAAAGATTCACAGATTGTACAGTAAGTACTTCAACTAATCGCGGTTTTTAATTTCAGGAACTTCTTTACTGCATAGCGATAGTTTTCTGTCTGCTAATTGCCGGAGCTGTTATGATACCCTACACCAATCTGGATGGCGCAAGAGGAGCATGTGTGGTCAGTATAAATCTCATTTCTTAATGAAGTTATTACTCCATACTCCATTGTGCCAAAACCTCGAAGCTTCCGGATTTGTAATACAAATGTAAAATTTTGGATTTTTGCGAGTCGTTAAACTTTTTCAGGGTACAGTAACATTGTTAGCGTTTTCAATTCCATTGCCAAGTGTGAATAACTTCTACATACAAAATAATCGAAACTTCTACTGGGTAGCTTGGTACATGAACGCAGTCTTTTGTCTAATATTTTATTTGACTCATATAGAATTCACTCCTTTCGGTTGCGTAAATGTTGCCTAAATCTATTTAATTTATTCTTATGCCATGGAAGTGTGTAAAGACATTGGATACGAAAAATTTTCGTGCCTGTTGTCGTGTTTCTGCTACCATATGCTGATAGTACTTTGTATTATTAAATTTTTCCCTGTTGCAGTTTTTCTGCTGGGCGGCGATGATTGCTTACGCCATAGATGCTTATCTAAAATTCAGAATGTACAGAAATGACCAGCCAGCGCAAGGTAAGTAAAAGCAATCCGCCCTTTTTAAATTTTATGACAAAACTTAATGAATCGCCCAAAAATTGCTATGTAAAGTGGTAGTTGTTTAACTATAATCTGCTGCAGGTGTATAAGGAATGAAACTCGAGAACGTCGTTACGGGTACCGGAAGTCGAAGCGTCGACGGAACTTGACTGGTGTGTTGATTTCGTTCATTTAATAATGCGTCATATGATCCGCTTCTCGTTGATAAGCGAAAATGACGTAAAAATGTCTCGGCGGAGCATTTTGCATGTTATTCCGAGAAATGGTGCATTTATTGTACGAGTGCTACTTTTCAATATTTTGTATGGCATGCAGAGTATCGTGGCTGCGTTTTGTGCTTCTGTTTTATTTTTGTGCTTCTGTCAAATTTCTGATGGAAGTCGTGATTTGAAGTATCATTACATAAAATCGTTTTCTTCGGCAAAAAATTGCCACGAACAAATATCTTCTATCACGTCTGTATGACACATTCTGTACTTACAGCACAGAAATATCAGTCATATTTTTTTGCTAAATGCAACACAATAATATTTTTAGAATATTTTTATAGTGTACAGATACAGATACATGTACATGTATTAAAATACCTATTATGCACCTAATGTTCTCGTATGTGCAATACATGTCCATCCAGTAGCAAATACAAGTAAAGACATAACAAAATAGTTGGATCATGGAAGCGAGGTTAATCAGAAAAAGAGGTCAATCAATTTAATTTCTTAAACTAACTTTAAAATATGTGTAGGTATTATTATTAATATATAAAAAACTCAACGTGGACAATATCCAGTCACAGAATGCAAATGAATATTAGACGCTTCCGGTTGCATTGGCTCTCATTCGTCGGCCAAACGAAAAGCAGCGGGCTTGTATTGTTATAATAAAACAAAAATAGCAGGACAGTTACCTGAAGATCTGGAACTAGAAAATATTACTTATTCCTTTGTTTCATTGCTGAAAGAATTAAACAGCATAAATGCGACTGCATCCCGAATCCTCGCGCGATCGCAGGGCACGCTAACCGGAACTTACCTGACGAGTGGGATGTGCCGGTCGCCGGTAGGACCGCCCCCTTTCATCCAAGTCAATAGCGCCAATAGCACTCACCTTGTACTGCACAATCGTACGGACGGTAGTGGCCACAGCCGTAAATCCATAGACCCGTACACCGACAAGAGCAGGTTCATGACCGTCAGTTTTGCCATTTCACAACAAGACCTTCTTCACCGGGCGTATTGATTTTACAATCAGAATCAAGTGAGGGTACTATTGATGAAATCCTAGCACAATGCTGGCCGATGCAGATGCTGCAGGTGCATAATGTGTGCAGCAGCACGGGATCCATGATCAGTCATGTTTGTTCCTTTTAGTTTTGGCATTTGAATACTGTACTTCTATCAAGAAGAAAAAACAATCGCCATTTCGAGGACTGCCTTCTTTCTCATTGATTACGAATTTAGTACTTATTCGCGTGCATCCCTAATATTCCCCGCGTTGAGGAGAAGGATTTGTCTACTGTTTTGATATATTATATACCCTAGTGGAATACGTTCATCTGGATTTGCATGCGGAAGTGACAGCTAGCAACGTGTTAATATCGCTCTGCACAGCAAGCACGCGAAGGTTAGTTTATTCGGCTTGTTGCGTGATGCGGAAAATAATTCTTCCGAAAATTTTATAATCCGGAGAATTGCTAATTTTTGTACAAATTAACCGGTATCTAGTTTGATTTGCTTGAGGTAAAACTTTCGTTAAAAAGATTGTCGCTGTTATTTATGTAATTCTTTCCGTTCTTCGCACTTTCAGCTTTTTACTGCTGTTGCAAATTCTACCATTGCGCAGTTAATAATAAGCATGTAGTTCTAATAAGCATTTTTTCGTTTCTTTGTCCCTGCTGATCTTTCGCACGATAATCGTATCTTTTATTGACGTTTCGGATGAATAAGTTGTGTTGAAATCTTTATTCAACCTTGATGATGGGCAAAATACGAGAGAAATTACTGGGATTGAAAAGCCATCGCACTTGATGAGATTGACGTTCCGGCGATAAAAACACGCTATAAATTTCCACCTTCTTATCTTCGATCACGAGTACGATTTGGCATTCGCAAGGCAGGCAGCGCGAGCGGCTATCCGGCCATTTACGCAGCACTGACATGAGCCGGTAGGGCCAAACAGCGTAGTGTAAGGGCGCATTTTCCCCCGACCATATCCGGTCAGTTTGTTTGCCTTTGCCGTGACATTCGGCACAGCATTACACACATATGTATATACATAAAGATATCGTTTAGAATCTGATTACATCCGATTGGTTACACAATTTTGTCGAACACATAGACAGACACTTGGACAGCTCAACCGATTTTTCCACTGCCTGTGCGCTTTTCAGATCAAACGAGAATTCTCATACTCGTTAGTATACCCTCTCGCTTGCTATGAGTCAGGCTTGGAAAATGCATCTTTGGGCAGTTTTGCACCGCTGAGGTTTTCCTATACGGGACATACGAATACACCGGTTATTATCGTACATAGTAGAGAAAGTTTTAAATTTCCTCTGGGCTGTTTCACAAGGCTGTTTATGTCTTGTGTACATACACCGAACTGTTTTCCCAACTCTCGATGTCTCTCATGTACACTGGCAGCAAGTGCAGTGGTCTGTAGCGAGCACTGCGGTTTTCGTCGCTTATAGCGTTTTAGATGAGGACATGATTTTCTTCATTACTCCATCGCAGGCGCATAACACTCGACGTAAATGCCACATGTTACATAGGAAAATTTTCAGTCGGCAAAAATTTTTACCTAACAGCTCTTTAGCACAAGCGCAAAGAACTCTCGGGTGTGTGTAATTTATTCAGAAAAGAATTCGTCTCTCTTCTTTTATTAACCCGAACGCGAGAATCTGCTGTGCTGGCAACTGTTAACACGGCGGCTTATATTCAAACGTGGGTGTCAACCTGAAGAGATATTCCGCTTTGACATTGTTTACGGAGGACTATATGATGTATTATGTGTGTTTTGTGTATTATAGTGGATCTGCTTTGATCTCATTGGGGTGATAAACGGTATTATCGCGGACAGAGCGAGGGCTAAGCGGATCGAGGGTTGCCAGTGAGCGGAAGTCGTCAAGCGGAGTCTGCCATCATGAATCCCAGTCAGCCGTATCCTAACGCACCTTATCCCAGTCAGACGTACGCTCAACAGGCATATCCCGCGTCGGCGGGAGGCGCTACGACGACCACCGTTACCACGACCAGGGTGGTAGCGGTCCAGCCCTATTTCGATCACAGTGTAAGTAAATACGGTATTGCAGCCCAATGTCCAACGAATATGTATTGATACTAAAAATGGAGCAATAATTGCAAAATACAGTCATTCGTGCATGATATAGAGTAGATGACATGACATGTACGTGTTGCTGTTCATTAGTTGGACTTATCAAGTACTTGCTAAAACCGATCCGAGATTAAGTTGCAATAATCAATAAGAAATTTTATAGTGTGATGGCATCAGTTAATGAACATGCAGATTCCGATGATACCAAGCTGCTACTCGATAAGCTATTGCAGTCCTAAGAAAATTTTTAATTTTGATGTACTAACTAGTGCAATGAATCCTTTTTCGTTGCTTTCAGAAAGTTATTTTGTTCCTGATAATACGACTACAGATGTGTTTTAGTTTTTTTGCTAATTCTAAGTGCTAATTTTGAGCTTGCAGGCGTTGCATATTCATGCATGTGTTTGAATTATGCTGTTTACAGGCTCTAGCTGTACCGATGAGATGTATACTATAATATATAATTCTACTACTAGTGTTAGATAGGTAAACATGGAGAGCATTAGCAGCTAAACTTATCTTTGGTTTCAAATTTTCAGTATGTCAGAAGCATCCCGGGGATCCTGAAGCTGGTGCAACTGGTAAGACAAAAATAGATGCGGTAATGAAATTGAAACCAGTGTTTAATAATTTACAGTAACGTCTTAGTTACGGACACGATAAAATTAACGTGAATGGTTATGAGAAGAAACTTTTTAGTTGCTGCTTCTATTTAATACTCCACAGCATATACGATTCACAAATAATTGGTTGTAAATAATGGATGTTTGCGATCCATGTACGGGATGTGTGTACGTGGAATGCGGATGGGCTAGCTGTGTGTCATTTTTTTGATACAATCCTGTTATTGCCTTATGTTCTCTATGATTAGCAAATCAATTATTACGATGACGTAAATTTTGAATACTCCACCGAATAAAAGAGTATAATTAAAGTAAAAACTTTATGAAAACGGAAAACTAATTCTAACGCTACTGCTGTTATTATTTTTAACCATAATATTATAAAATTAATGTATCGTCAGTAGGTAAAAATAAGTATTAAAATTTGTAGTAAAGGACTTTATAACGTGTATATACGATAATATTGTAATATTACCAATTTGCAGCTGCTTATGCTGATTGCATTCATTCTGGCGGCGGCTGCCTGGAGTTCAGATTGGAGATATTTCTTGCATTACTGCATAGGATCTGCTGGATGGGCAAAATTCGTCACAATCACGGGATTCATCATTACGCTCATACTGCTGTGTCTGTATTTGTTCCACTTAATCGAGCGATTGTACCAGGTTAACTGGTTGTTTGTGGTAAGTACTGTACGAGTACAGTGATTTACTTTGCGACCAGTATGCAACCGGCATGCTTGTGTTTGGTAAATGATCACTAATCACCCATTTTTTTCTACTGTTTAGGAACTGATTTATTGCGGTATTGTGGCTATTCTGTTGTTTATTGCCGGAGCTGTCATGATTCCCTATGCCGAGGTGGATGGTACTCGTGGAGCTTGCACGGTAAATCGAACTGCATTCTTCTTTATTTATATCGAGCAAACATGATCTGAGAATTTTGAATCAAAATATACTGTACCGTAATGGTAGCTATTTCTGCGATCGAAATTTTTTTTCTTTGCCATTCATCTTGAATCAGTAATCGTTCCAAGGCTTCCGGTATTAAAACCACGAAAAACCACGTAGATCAGAACTTGCTGTGCCAGATTATCACTATAACTTGATGCATTGCACCTGTCCTGAATATAATCTAATTGTAATATAAATGCAATATTGAAAATACGAATTTTCTTGTAGTTTTTCTGCTGGTTAGCCATGCTGGCATACGGAGCGGATGCGTTCTTCAAATTCAAATCCTGGCGAAATGGAGAAACTGCCCAAGGTTAAAAGTTTCATCCAAGCATTTACGACATTTACTTGCACTCTATCCCACAGCTGATGTTTGTGATTTTCGTAAAATTTTTCAGCTGTACAGCAGAATATTTTTTCTTTTTCTTGCTAACATTAGGCCCTAAACCCAGCATGACATCAGCTTCCACTGTGACCGGTCCCGCACGTCCGCCTGCATATCCCGTGGCCTAACAAACCTGTTGAATGTTTCTAACACACTTCTGGCGATCGGTAGGCTTCTTCCCTGAATCTCTGACCACAATCAGACGAATCTTCCCGTTTTCTCGCTTGACTGTGTACTGTCTGCACAATTTGTCTAAGAAACAATTGGTTCAAATTGTGTCTTGTGCCAGAGCGGTGCAGCTTTTGTAATGTTTATTGGTGGAATGAGGGTATTTTGTTAAATATTTCTAACCATGTTAGATGCGCTTAGTTTCCGGGATTAAGATGACTTTATTTTATAACCTGCCAAACGACTGTTTCGTTTCATGGTTGATGGATATTATTCACCGTTTCTTTTTTGAACTATGACACGTGGTTTTGTATTCCAGTTGGTCAAGAATTTTTTCTTCGTGTACTAATGTTCATCGCGATCGCTTTATATAGATTATTCTAACTCGACACACTGTGTAACTAACAATAAGTAAAAAAGAATTGCCTAAAAATCGATTAAAATTTGTTTGTTGCTGATGGGCGGCGAAAGTTTTACCGTGCAGACGTCGCCACAGTTCGTAGCTGGCATAGAGTGCTGCAAAAAAATCGTACAAGCGCCATCTGAAAGTGACACAATGCAGGAAAATGCGAATAGTGTTTGATAAATCAAAAAGCCCAGTGTTCAAATGCTTGCATATCATGCCGTTCAGAAGATGGCGTAACACAAGGTACTTCTACGTGAATTTAAAACGCGTTTTATACAACCTCTGAGAATTTTCTAATGCGAGATTCTTCTGACTGCAAGCCCAGTTGAATGCGAGAAAAACCGTTGATGATGAATTTGAAAAAGAAATCAAAGGTAAAAATACATCGCTTAACAATTACTTAGCGGGAAAAATTTGCGCAACGTAATGCGAAAACCTCGATAATCAAATGCTTTCTGGACATGGGTCATCGCTATAAATTAACTGACCAGCGCATTCTCGCGAGTCGCGATGTGTTTGAACAATATTGTGTTCTTGCGTCTATATATTTCTTTGTGTCGCCGGTCTCATACACGTCCGTTCTTAATGATACAAAAACCCATTGTCCTATGAATGCGGACATTTATTTTTAAAGTCATTGCTTCCTGCGGTATTCCCATGCCGGTGTGCGTCCACTACATACCGCACGCATTACCCGTCCTTACCGGCGACACACACCATAAACGCAACATGCAGTCAAATTGTGAAAATCGCCGGTCGGGTGCTTGACACCAAACACGGGGTGGGTTGGAAATACTGTGTTATTGGTAAATAAATAAACTGTACAATTAAATACATTTATGGATATACACTTAATGGTATTCAGCGGCTGTAAAGCGGCCCTAGTACAATAGCGGTTTGTTGTGTGTATACGTGTGTACGGTAAATGTCGTTGCGCTATCTTCGGACACGCTAATCGTTTGTGCTGCACGTCCACAGCTTGACCTTGCCGCTGTTGGGTTGATACGTCACCGGTACTCTCCATCGTACAGGCAGGTACTGGATCATGGTCAAACACATCCAGTAGCACCGCGGCCGCCGCGTTCAACTCACCCACCGGTATACTAGTGTGTGATGATGGTGGTGTTTTTCAACACTCGTTAGCCACACGATACCTGTTACTTGTTGATCGCATTTTTCACTTCACATATGCGCACGCCATCGTTATGCGTAGAGGCGTCAGTGTTGCTACTGTATCGATATAACCGGCAAATTGTTGCTTTCTTGAGGATGGTTTTTCGGGATTATCATCGTTGTTATCAGTGTCGGCGCTGGTGTTATTGATGGAACTCTTGTTACAATATTTACTATGATATTGATTCCTTTATTTATTTGTCATATAAGCCGGCGCACTTTGGGATGGACTATCTCGATTGTAGCCATTTGGAATTAATTTTATATTCTCAGTACACCATATCGGAATAATACTCTGTATTTTATTTATCATGAGAATCTTCGTATCTTTTTTTATATGGATTCTAACATTTATATACGTTCATGCAGGTCTGTATTTTCCTTGTATGTAGTCAGCATCAAACTCTGTAATTAAATGCTATCCTACTTAAAGCATACTTCTATATGCGCATGTACCAGGCAGTGCTTAATATTTATCAACAGTTAACTGCAGAATTTGGTATTTAATGGCATAATTCTATGCTTGATGGCATATTTTATGTGTGACTTTTTTGATTTGCGTTATTAATGCCGTGTCATGTCGTATCAACTGTTTGTTTTAATTTCCAGCAAACAAGTACAGACGAGTCTGTTACTATTCCAGCTGGGCTATTTACAGACCAACAAGTGGCAAATTTAGTCCAAGCGATATTGATCCAGTAGGTGCTATAGAAATAATTTCTTTATTGACGCTGGCGTATTGCTCAACATAATTTAACAAAGATATTGATTGTAAAATTCAGTGATGTTAGTAATAATATTTCCTGAAGGCTATAACATCGTCATTGCAGTTTTTATGCACACACATCATTTACGCCTTTGCCAAATTAAATGAAGAGTCGTCTATTCTTGAAACGTTCGATCCGTGGGCGGATCTGGAAGATAATTATGGATTAGGTAAGGCGCCGTAGAAAAGCCGGTTTTTTTTTGCAAGAGGAATATCTTACGATCGCTTGCGCTTCTTAAACATCGATCCTTAACAATTACAATTTTATTTTTGTGTTACGTATATTTGAGTAAGTGCAGAAAAGCATAGGTAACTGTAAAAAAATTAATTTGCCAGGTGGTTACCAAAAAGTCACAGCGCTCCGCAATCAGAATCCCCGATTAAAAATCTTGATCTCAGTCGGCGGCTGGAATGCCGGTTCGAGCGGCTTCTCCGAGATGGTCTCCACGCGGCTCAAGCGCAAAACATTTATCGAAAGCGCCCTACGCTTTCTGCGCAAGCACAACTTCGACGGGCTGGACATTAACTGGGAGTTTCCGGGTGTGCGCGGTGGTCGTGATGCCGATCGGAATAATTTCGATCTGCTTGTGCAGGTGCCGATTGAGTGTGAAGCGAAAAAAACCCGTAGACGAGATTAAGTAATCGCATGATGTAATTAAAATGTCCAATGTCAACTAATGTAGGAACTGCGCGATGCTGTTGATGCTGAGCCGGCACTGTCGGGCAAGCCACGATTACTGATAAGTGCCGCCGTATCGGCTAGCGACAAGACGGTGCAGACCGCTTACAATCCCTCCATACTCGGCAAGTAGGTACTTAGCGCATTACGTTAAGAATCATCCAGCCGCGACTCTCATTGATGAAATGAAGTAGACAAGGGATGTCGGTGTATGCCGGTAACTGATTCCGGGTTGCTCGTGTGCATGCCATTTTTTTGCAGATTTCTGGATTTTATAAGTATTATGACGTATGATTTTCACGGGAGTTGGGATAGTAATGTGGAGCATCATAGTCCGATTTATGGGCGGAATCGCGACGTCAGCACCGTTCCAGGATTTAACATGGTAAGAAATATTGGAGGCCGGAAACTGAGCTACAGTATTACTGGTAGTATCTGTACTTACCAAAACTTTGGTCTTTCATATTTTGCAATAAAATTAAAGATACTGCATACTGTATACTATATGTAGTCCGTACAACGGTTTTTGAACACAGTTTAGGAAATCCTAGCTGTCAAGAATATTAAGTTTAAATTCATTATGCAAATCTGGTACAAACCGGAGAAAAATTAAGCAATATTTGTATCATCTTAGGGTGTATAAGTGACCTTTTCGGCCCAGTTCATTATCCTATGTCGTTCTACGCGCACACATAAAACTATAATATCAACATAATATGTATGCACACTAATCGAGACATCTATCACGCTTGGCAATTTTTTAATGAGCTCATTGAAGACGATACTTACAACGTTAATTAAATGGCATTATCAAGATGCGTAAAACGAAACCAAAAGTTAATTATTTGCTTTGGCTGATTATCAAGAGGGAGAACAATTAGCGCTATGCACGACTGCGAAGCGGTGAATATAACTGAGTACTTGAGTTGTTTCCGGTATGTGTAACCGGAAACTAACAGCTTTTGATGGTCATAGGTCAGTGCTATCAAATTGTGGATTAAAGCTGGGTGTCCGGCAGATAAAATTGTTGTGGGCATACCGTTCTACGGCCGCTCTTTCACACTGACTGATGCCCACGTCACGGCGCCCGGCTCACCGGCCGTGGGCGGCGGCGAACCGGGACCGTTCACCCGCGAACCGGGTTTCCTTTCATATTTCGAGGTACGACATCAATATAAATACTGGTATTATTAATATCTATATATTATATTAAGTACTGGTAATTATATATACTGTTAAGTGCTGGAAGTTTTTATATATTAATAAATACGAGTAATTATAGTATGGATCATATAAGCTAGAGTAGTACACGAATTTCACAAATCGCTAAAGTAATGCAAGTGCGCAAAAGAATTTTTAAAGTTGATTGATCATTATGATCGGATTATAAATCAGGTGTGCAGTTTGTTGATGGATAAAACATGGACCGTTGTCATTGATCCCGAGGAAAGGACACCGTATGCATATAAAGAAGACCAGTGGATTGGATACGACGACATTGATAGTATCATCAAAAAGGTAGGCTAATTGATTACATTTGTGACGTAGTTGTGTTTGTGTACAGCCTTTAAGCGCATTTTTTGTGCTAATCGTTCCTCCGTGATTCATTTACCATAAGGTCACCGGTGTATACATTTCTACCGGATACAGACAAATGAATATGTGTTACTATTTATAATCGCACCGATTCGCATAGTAATTAAGGCACAGAACAAGCAGTATTTTTTGCGGAGCTTTGAATTTGTTATTAATTATGCTTGTTCAAATAAAATTTTAAGCGCAAGGTAGCAACTACAGAAGTAGGTGTAACCGAGGCAAGATCAGTCAGTGATCCGATATCATGCAAATCATTGCGCAGTGGAGAAAATGATTATCCGAACCGCAAACAAATTGAGATACGATCCGTAAGATCCTAAACCTGTAAGCCGTAATATATAAGCGTCGACTTCAGTTAGCTTCACGTCTCCAAAAAAAAACGGAATATGAAAATTTTACTTAAATATTTAGTTACTTCGATTGCACTACTTAACAAATTAAGTACGCATGATTGGTTAATATATCCATGGCTTCGTCATTACTTTGCAATTGCTAGCTGTTTATTCATAGTTTATTCCTTGGAGTTTAGACTGTTAATCTTGTAACTTGTTGAGTTAACTACGTCTAAGAATTTATTAACTGAGAATACTATAGCCCAGAAATTACCTGGAGCAGAGAAGTGACCTTTAGCATATATTACTGTGAAGTCTGTAATTAAGCGCTGAGTAAAAATACACAATATCACCGTAGCAAAATAAGAATAAATTTTGTAGACAGTCATTGTGCGCGAATGGGGCCTGGGCGGGGTCATGGTGTGGTCCGTCGACATGGACGACTTCCGCGGCCTATGCGGACCGCAGTCTTACCCCATGCTGCGCATGATCAAAAAGGTCCTGGAATTCCAACCCGTCCGCGTAGTCAACCTCCTGCCCGCCATCCCGCAGGCGCTCGCCCATTCCTTCCCCGCCCAGATGCACCCGACCATCCCACCCCGGCTGCTTCTACCCTCCGAGGCCACGCCCACCAACGCCACCACGCCCACCACCCCGGCCATGGTCATCCGCTACGAGAAGCCCAAACCGTCGGATCTGACCCCGACCATCAGCGGACAGCCCTCCTCCAAGGCGGCGCTGGATCTGGACGCCGTGCCCACCATCCAGGTGCAGGCGGTGGTGCACCCCAAAACCCGCTTCTTTGGCCCGCTACTCCAACCGCCCATGATGCTGCCGTCGCAGATCCTGCCCTTTCTATCGCGCTCCTTTATCGACCAACCACCGCCACCGGGTCCCATGGGACCACCGGATCCGCCCATGTTTGCCAAGCAATTTGACGATAGTATTCCCAATCCACAGCAAAACCAGCTGCAACAATCCGGGCAGCCGTTTCCCATGAATCAGGATCAGCAGCCGCAGATACCGATGAATTTGCCGCCACAGCAACCGCCCCAGATGCCACCGCCACAGCAATCTCCGCAGATTCCGCAACAGCAACCGCCGCAGATACCACAGCAGCAACCACAACAGCAACCACAACAAACCGCGCAGTTAAACACCGCTTTTGATGCTCCCATGCAACCAATGAACAATCAGTTTAATCCCTTAACGCCATTTAACGGCCCGTCCATGTTAGACACGCCCAACAAACCCCACAACGAACAGTCGCCACAGCAACCGCCCCTACAGTTGCAGTCCAATATGAACAACTTTCAGCAGCCATCACAAGGTCCACAGTCCAATAACAATAACAACATTCCGCTGCAAACAGCCCAACTGAATACGGCCATGAACCACATTCAGCAAGGTCAGCAGTTCCCGCAACTGACCAGTGTCCAGCAGACGGGGCCGGCGTTCTCCAAACCGTTTATGCCGGACGAGCAGCGCTTGCAGCAGTCGGTGCAGTCGCCGCCTGTACAGAATTCCAACGGGATAAATAACAACCAGTTACCGATGTTTAATAATGATCTGAATGGGTTTAATAGCCGTCAGATTGACGGCGGTCCCCGCGTCACGACGGCAACCGATATGCAAGTGGCAGATTCTAATATTAACAACGGCGTCATTCCGTTTAATATGAATATGAATTCCCAGCATCCCAGTATGCGCCAGCTCGAACCCATGCAGTGTCCCGCGGAAGGATTCTTTAGAAATCCTCAAGACTGCACAAAGTACGCTTTTGCACAGTTCAGTGCCGGTATCTTAAAATACACCCGCAATAATATTATTACTAACCATAATAATCTTGTACACAACACTTGCTTAACAATAAGCAGAAATCTGACACACTTTTACTAAGGGATGTACGAGTACAATCCAGTACTTGGTATCTTCGTGTGATGTAGAAATAAGCCGACTCGAACGCTGGATTGCAAAAACTTTGAGGAACGTCATAAGTACCTTTTTAGGTACATACATATAAAGACATCCACATAAAATATTTTTGTGTGTATGTAAGCTGCTGTATATACGTAGTATTTACTAATCAGATTAATTACCAGTTAATTTCGTTTTATTTTAATGTTAGATTTATTGTTTTTGCTGCAAGACGGCAACGCGTACATAGCACATGTACATCAGTACATGTAATCAAATGTATGTACGGGTACACGTGTTACGATTATTTTTAATATTTTAATGTAAACACAAATTTGAGGCGTTCGATACGGGTTTTATTCGCCATGCTGACTGATTTTCGCCTTTTAGATTTTACCGGTGTGTAAATATGTTGGGTAGCTGGACAGTGTGGCACTTTTTCTGTCCGGCGGGACTCGTGTTTGACCCTAATCACGCTGTTTGGTAAGTTGCAATGCCGCCTACCGCGAAAATGATTACCTTATGTGCATATGAATCCATGCGCAGTAATGCTTTTTACAATACGATGATAGGGCGCACACTTATTTACTGTCGGCAAATTTTTTACACCTGATTTGGCGCAAAATGTTTAACCGGGCTGATTTTGACTTTACAGTAACTGGGTGAGCATGTCACCACCTTGTTGAAACGATATAAAAATATACCGGAATCTATTTGGATTTCGCGTCGGAGCGGCAAAGTTGACAAGTATGGAGTTTATTATGGTTCTATGACCTCGAGCCGACACTGGCAATGGCAGGACTGCGGTATAGATTCCGTGCACGTGATGATTAGAAATTATTTATTCGTATTGGTATTTTTTTCTAATCGAGCACTCTTGTCAAAGTTTGTTGTGAAATCTGAATGTACACATTATTGTATTGTACGTAATACAATAATTCTGTAAACACTGTAAACAGCAGAACGTGTAATAAAGAGCACTATGAAAATTAGTATAGCGCAGACGCGTTATTCTAAGCACATAACACTGGGACTGTCGCTGCATAACATGAAAGTAAGTATAATCTGTTTAATTTAAAAAATTATTAAAGTTCGTTGCTGTAATTATTTCAAATATTGTTTTTATACTTCTCAATTAATTTATTTGGTCAGATCATGTACTCGGTACTTCCACTTTATTTACCAAAATCCAAAATCAATGGGCAATTATGAAATGTGTCGAAGCCATGCATGTCTGTGTACAATTGCAAGGACCCACACCAGAACTAAATGTCAATATGAAGCGAAAGCATATATAAATATTATCGTATATATAATTCCAAATCTTGGCTCAAACTTACAGTTAGAAAAGCCCCTCTTTGCATCCCTGCTCCAGCTCAACCACCTTACTGATCAACGTTGTATATCAACGTAAAAACAAATTCAACGAAGTCAGCTGAAGGTGAAATCCATATATATTGCTACGAAATTTTAAACATTAAAAGTCCAAGTGGTAATTTTCTTTAAGAATTGAAGTTTTATGAAAATTAGCACGTATTATGTAATTGATTCAACGTAAAATTAATAATTGTTGATGCTGTTTTTGTTCATATCAAGCTCCCAGACTACGGCGATTACATGCATGAAGTCATGAACGTACGTACTAAATCAAACGTTTCTGCAGTACTGTACTTCCACTCTGTAGCTACTCTACCCTAGGTAGGGAAATACGTTTCTGTATTTGCTGTTTGTGTAACATACGAAATTAATTATCTACCGGGTCCGCGATGAGCAAGTTCAAAGCAAAGGTTTCTTCTGTTCTGCTTTTTTAATGCTGGGAAAAAGTTCGACACAAACGATACAGGGCTAAACATATCCGATGCATCATATACGCGCCGGGCGACTGGACATCGGAACCGGAAATGCTCATATAGACCGTTTCGTTAACCAAACCATCGCGCTTTTCCGCATGTTCGGCCTGCCATAACTGGAAGCGCTCACCAGTAGAGCACATCGGTGTCGGTGATACAGTGCGTCAGAGCGATCTTCACAGTTCAAAAATTATTTGTCGTGTTTCCTGCTCGGGCATGTCTGTCAATCCAAAAAGTACAAACATCTTATGCTGAACTTATTGCTGGTACAGCCAAATTCGAAATCATCAGGATTTTCGAATTCTCCACAGCATTCCCTCATGCGCTGTATTTCCTGTTGGATTAAGTATTTCCAAGACTCCTCGTTAACCTTCCAAATCCTCATTGACTGAAGTTCCACAGCTGATCGTATGGAAATATTCAACCGTTTTTCTGTCCAGTGAGCGCTGATTGTTGATGTTTATCAAGGCTCCATTTCAAGGTTGCCCAGCTTTGACGGCAGTTTAGTAGCCGAGTGTGTTCCAGCTATCTTGAAATTGTTTATGAGCGGATGTAGCATGGAATTAATCGTATTTACCGTCCCGTAACGTCGTCAACGCGGATGACGTGAAGACAGGGCTGCAGGCTGAACATATCGTATCGGATTTACTGTGGTTAACGATGACGGGATGCTATAAGTAATCAGCCAGACTTTTTCCCGGAACAGCCTCAACGGAGCGCCGTATCATTCCTGAAACCCCGCAACTGCATTCCCAGAAGAATGCCTATCCAGCAGGTTTTCCTACCTGGAAACAAGAATCATCGTACCCGTGGCAAAAACTCCACGAATGCCCGATCCAGTCATGTTTGTCAGATGTCCAAAGTTTCTACAGAAGATGGAAAGGTACGCTTTCTTCAAAATTTGCCGCATTATCCCAGAAATTTTTTACTGTCGTATTCTTCGCAGAATTAATTTTTTTTAAATTTAACTGTTAGCAAATAACCGTTGACAGAAACTATTATGGAATATAATTAACTGACTTTTATAAATATTTTTAAGCGCGGAAGTAGCAATTCTTATTCATTTTTTATACTCGTGTTTTAAACTATTTTTACGACGCTTCATTTTAATAATGTTTTTTAAAAAATATTTTGTGAAATTTATAATAACTTGCGGTACAGAGCCTATAATTCATGCACTTTGGCCTTAATTTTTTAGAGTTGGAGTCTTAGAAAAAAAGTGAAATTTTTTGGAGAGGGACTATTCTAAACAGTACCATCCTCCATCCTAACACTTGTATAAACGAGTTAGTTGTTTGGCCTTGCGGAAGAGAGCGAAGACCTTGTTTTGAGGTCGGCGGAAGACCTCTCGACGTGCACATCAATTCTGACGTTATCAGGGAAAATAGGAATGATTGTTTGCCGTGGCTGGGGATGTTTTTTTCTGTTTACGTTTATTTCATCCCGTTAATGCAGCGCACAATTTCCCGCACGCTGCTAATCGATGGGAATATCTATATATGTGCTCTTATATTTTTTTCTATGGACATTTTTCCCTGTACTCCGCAGCGATCGAACATTGCTCTCGCTCTCTCAGCGGAATATACTATATGAGGAAGTACGGAGCACTGCTCGATTTTCATCCACCCGATCGATCAGTGTGCTCTTTGTTAGTGATGAGAAATGTGGCAAATGCTTTTTAAAGCCCAATGTGCGCCGCTGCAGCGGCCCAGAGATCGCTCCCTCTCACATTAATCATCTAAATTTCAGTCAAGATTTGCAATAATGTTTTCCCTGTAATATCGGTAATGCCGCAAGAAAACCTAGTCACCGACAGGAAATATTTGTAGTCTGTGGGTTCAAGCGCGTGCCTGTTGCAGCTACACATGTGTGTGCTCAAGACGAAGTTTTCCAATGAATTCTAGTAATATGATATTGTAAAATGTATGATAATTTTTCAGATTACTGTCTACACTAATAGCAGGTACCGTTTTAAACTTTTTTATAATTTCATCACTTGGATTGAATTTTGTGACGTCGTAAACATGCTGGATAACTTCTCGTGGCGACTTTATGCCGATTGAAATTTGAAACGGAAATCGGGAAGTAGCATTTTTAATAGTAATGAAAACTTGAAAGAGTATTGAGGAGTAGATTATTCATTATTAAACCGATTTCGGTCTATGTTACCAAAGTAGGATGTTGTGGTAATAAAATGCACTGAAGCATAAGTAATAGAACAGTAGTTCAACTGGAAATGAGAGGAAGGGTTTTTACTTCCGTAAAGCATGCCACTTACACAAGAATGCTGGGAGTACGCTACCCAAGAAGCGGCGTATTTGTATTCTTGTTTTGGTTAAGACATGTTTATATCGCCGATTACCAATCCATGTAAGATATCACTCTCAAGTGAGTTCATCCCTGCCCACCCCAGCTGCGCCCATGCATTAGACAGCAACCACAAAGTAGCGTTGTTTATCTTTGTTGTTCGAACGAAGATAAAAACTAACCCTGTGACCTGCCTCATTCTGGCATTAGTAATTTCAATCAATGAATTTATTCTAGATTGTTACAAATTTTGTGCGAACAAAAATTCAGTCAGATGCCAAGTATTTTTATTTGAAATATTGCTGTAACATAATTACGTTTGGACACGGTAGTGTCAACAGGTCGGACAAATGGAGCCTCCCACGCTTCTCCATGCTTCGTCTCCTGTGACAACATTGTCAAAGTGATCCAAATTTTAATTACTGGAGTAATTGAGTTATACCTAGGGTAATTATTTAGATTTTTTATGCGAAACTTCATGCTTAGCTGCAGCATAGGTTCGCGATTTCCGTTAGTGCGTACGCGCACGTGCTGGCGTTTTCTATCACGTACAGGAAATTTAGGAACATTTTGAAGAGGAAATGGTTTCTTTGCCGCTCACGAATGGAGATTGCATCCTCATTCAGTGTGGGCCCCTAGCGAAAATTAGGTCAGTAAGCCAGAGGAACAATTATAAATGGAAGCACTCATGCATGGTTAATTGTGGATTCCTGTGGACTATCTGCGTGTGGAACTGATGACTGTGCAATTTATTTTAATGTCAATTGCAGTTTTGTGATGCGGATGGGTTGATTGTGGAGAGTTACATTGAGCCTGCACGTGCACGACGGAGATTAGTTAGCATTAGTAAACAAGAGACTGTCTAGTCGTGGTTGCGTAAAAACGCTATCAAATCTGGGACACATTTAATTTACAAACAAAGACGGGGTTTGTTCGGCGTGACTATACAGTAGAGGGTCTGTTTAGTGAAATGTCGGTTAATTTACATAGGAGTTTTCGCCGTTGGATCCTGCGCTTCTCGAATATATTTAAGCAGATCGGGCAAATATGCACAAATAAACAATCCACTTAGCGCATACACTTTGCATGCATCATTGATTCGGTTGTATGGAAATATTTGGAAGCTGTAAAATGGGCAAAGAGAAAAGTGGTTTTAAAGTGGATAGGGTTTATTGGAATTGAACCCCGATGGGATTACCTAAATGGAGTTTTCTCGGTTGCGAAAGTTTAATTTAAACATGACTGTATGTTTGATTTAAAGGCCGACTGTGGGGTGCAGTATCCAGATTTCGCGCGCCGTTTTCCAGTGTTGCGAGTCAACATAAATTTAGCGGAATCTTTCGCACCTTTGTGATCGTTTCCGGCTTGATTGCATCTTATCAGAAAATGTTGCTGCCGTAGAAGTAAACGTTGAATGATTACGTATTTGGATAGTAACTGTTTATACGAGTATTCTCGAAACACATACTCGTAATTATGTGGAAACGTGGACTAACTTGATTGTGAGCTTGAAGCTTTAATGACGCAAAAAGTACCGCATTACTGTGTAAATTGTTTTATTTGGTAATAACATGAGAAATGGAAAAAATTAATAATGTCCTCCGAAATCTGCAGACACCCGTCATCAGTTATAAAAATTTGAACGTAGTTTATTAAAATTTTTGAGTAAACACTCAGTATCGGTGCAACTTTAACGTGTGTATTTACTATTTGTTTTAAATTAGACGCTGTACGTAGTAGTAACGTAATTAATTTAATGACTGTAGTTCGTAGCGTTAACCAGATCAGAAAATCGGGAAATTCGTCTGTGATGAAAACTTGCATGATTATGAAGCGGCGTTAGTCAGATGTGTTTTTTGTTAATTTCAGTTAATTTTATCCGTTTTATGGCTGCTGACAGCGATGCACATAATTTTTAAGTCGTACCCCTGTTTGGTTCCGCTTGAGCGGTAGCATAATCTTTTTTAATTCGATATTGAGCGATACATAAAATACAAGTCATGGATGCATCAGGCCGTGGAAACTGCAATCAGAATGCTAGTATTTTGCGATGACTTGACCTGATACTGTGTCGTTGTACAGGATATGAATGATCCCCATTGCCCGTATGCCAAGCGTGTGGGAAGTCTGACTTCGATATGCTCAGTGAGCGGTGCGGATATCTGCCGTATCTGCCATGGAGAAGCCGAGATGGATGCGCCGCTCATCAGTCCCTGTTATTGCACCGGAAGTCTAAGGTACAATACACTCTCTCGCTGCTCATTATTCTCATTGTAGCCGGGGCCAAATCCAATTCAGACACGTCCACTTGAATGAAGGAGTTCCCTACGAAAAAAAATAGGAAGTTGGCCGGCGACTGATCGCTGTCATTTTGACCCTAACGATGGGATCGTTAAGCCGTTTCAGGTTCCCATCATTCCGCATTTTCGTACGGTCACGTATGAAGTACTCGTACTATACGTGAATTCGGAATTAACCAACTGTTGTAATTTCCGGATTAAGAATTAATGAACGGCTGAAGTTTTTATGACTGTTTATGGCTTTGCAAACAAAGCGCTCGCTAAAATGGAACTTTGATTAAATTCGATTTTGATTGAACATAACAAGAACGGTGACTTTTTATTAATTCAAAATCCAATAGCGAAACAGGTCACGCTTTTTCTTGGTAGGAAAAACCACCTGGGTTTTGGGAAATGGTAGCCTCATTTAAAATTGATTGAGATGCTGGGTTTTTTCTAAATAGTAATATGTGGTCGCTGGTAAAAAAAAGAGGAAAAACATGGAGTGAATATTGTATAAAGAGCAAGGGCCGAGGGAAAGCAGCAGCTGGATGTGGTATGAGAACGGGATGCCATGGCCCCTTGTTTTTCTCACCAACTGGCCCAGTGAACTTCCGGTTGATTGGCTTGCGTCTTAACGATAAGGCAGGGGGGCTTTTCCTTCTCAGACATTTAGACATCTGAATGACGATAGACAGAAGCCGTCAATACAGCGGCGGCAGCGCGCTTCGTCAAAGATTTGAGATTTGTTGAAGATTAAAAGTTTAAAAGCAGATTGAAGTACAGCCCAAGAGGACGATCAGCGATGTTTTCCCGAAATCATGCTGTTTGTTTTTGATTTATTAAATTTCACAGGGTTACGAAACCGTCTGCCATCTGCAAAATCAAGCGATTAAGCGTTTCTGCTTTATAAATGTATTGCAGAATTTGTAGATCTTGCTTTGCAAATAACCCGTCGCAATTGTAATGTTTATCAAAACGTTTTTTGTGTAACCGGCATAAAGGAAGAAAAATAGATTTTCCCTCCCAGACAGCTGTATATACTTAGAGATCCAGCTGCAGCGTCATTAGTTCGGCTTGGCATATTTTATGCGGAACATGTCTTTTCGAACCGTGGTGGGAGCAGCTTCGTGGTACATCGTCAGCTCGGCGATAAACAAATCGTTTAGAGCAACGCGCTCCCCTGCTGATTGATATTTAATGGTGATTGTTTTTGCAGATTTGTCCACCAGAAATGTTTGCAGCGATGGATTAAAAGCTCCCAGGCGAAAACTTGTGAGCTGTGTAAATATGAATTCCAGATGCAAAGCAAAGTTAAACCCTTCAATGAGGTACTTATTAGCTGCTATTGGCCTACAGAAAAACGCTGTTTGTTTATGCCGTGCTCGGTTCACGGGAAGCTGGTTTTGTAATGTCACATCGGTATTTAAATGCGAGTGGCCTTGTTTAATTCGTTAAAAGGCATAAATGTAATAACTTAGTGGTTTTTTTCGTGGTGTAAAAAAATCCGGATTCATACTTTTTTTGTTGCTTTTTATCTGAATTTAATTAGTGTGCGCTCTCCAGATGTATTATTTTTTTCTTGATTAATTTCGTTGCGTTTCTAGTCATTCTCATATCCGCTTCCTCGGGAAATGAATTGAGAATTTGTGTCCTCCGTTATAATGTTTTTAAAACATGATACACCTGTATTTCGCTTTATTTAATTACGTTTATGGGAGCGGTATTCTCCGTTTTTCTCATTTATCAGTATATATTGACAGTGTTGTGTAACGAATGTTATTGTTTTTCAGTGGGAGAAATTGGATATGAGCACGATGGAGCGCCGGAAAATTCTGTGTAGTGTAACATTTCATGTGATCGCTATTACTTGTGTGATTTGGAGTCTTTACGTTCTAATTGACCGCACGACGGAGGAGATTGCCAAGGGTGAATTAGAATGGCCCTTCTGGACCAAGTTGATTGTTGTGGCTATTGGTTTCGCTGGCGGATTGGTATTTATGTACGTGCAGGTAAGAATGCATCGATCGGCTGCTTTCATCAATGCAAATCCTACACCGTATTGTCCATCGACGACCTCATTAAGTCGGGCACAAACGTTGGTTATGGGTCTGTGCTGAGGAATTTGAATTGCTTATACGTGTGATTAAACCCTCAGGCAATGGATTTCACTTTTTTTAGCACGGTCTATTTTTAATTAGAGGATTAGTTGTTTATTCGGTCTGAATTCGTGCTCTTGGTAGATCGATTTCGATTTTCGGAGAAATTGCGTAGTGAGAATAATATCTCGTGAGAATTATAGTAGAGCTGCGGTTAATAACATGATACTGCTCGTACTACCATCGAGCTGTATACTGCAAATTTTGCAAAAATCAGGAGCTTAATTATCCTGTTTACGCTTGGCATTTTGTAAACAGTAATTTGGAAATTTTGCTGAAAACTGAAGGCTTTTGAGCTGAAAGTGTAGAATCACCCGATCTGTACGCTTTCATGTATTTACTGTACTTGATAAATGGTTGAATTGTGATTGCGAGCTGTTTAATGTTTATCTTCTGCATCAGTCCCAGCTCACAGCTATTATTTATTTAAAAATATTTTGTTTCCACTGGTGCAACGCAACAGTTGCAGTCGCACGACAGTTTCATAATTAAACAGTAAAATATCTCTTCTGTTTTGATAATTTTTCAAGTAGTTTTAGATAAAGCAATCGGGAAAATGAAGCCGCGTCTAATTTGAGTGGCAGATGACCAAAGATAGCTCATACTGCTTTCGGTTGGACTAGTGCAGCTTCATCTTATTGTTAAACCGCAGTGATATGCTTTATGAACACTGATAATTGGGCATTTTTTTTCTCTAAACAGCTCAGTATTTTCCATGGCCACTTCACCGGTTCATAATGCATTTGTTTTTCATTTTTCAGTGCAAGATGTACGTGTCTTTGTTCCGGCGCTGGAAGACCTACAATCGGGTGATATTTATCCAGACATGTGAGCGCGACACTCAGGAACAGATGGTAATGGTCACTATCCCGGTGGTGGACGACACCGCCGCCTCGGAAACCTTCCACACACCCTTGGCCTCGCCGGACGCCACGGCCTCGCCCCTCATGGCCGCCGAGCCGCTGGAACCCAGTAATTCCCGCGGTGCCAATCAAAGCGGAGCAGCACTATGCTGAGTGCGGCTCCCCGGCAACGTGTGTGTTGAAAGGTTACTTTGAATTATTTTGGGATTTGCACACACAGTTTTGAGCCAGTTTATGGCTGGTTTCTAACCCAGACTTTCCTCGTTTTTTTTCTTCTCTTGTTTCTTCTCGGTTCTTTGTAGCAATCTCATTTTGGGTCACGAATCTGCTAATGACAGGGTGGCAATGTTGTGAATGTTGTTCCATGGACGATTGGATGTGGTCTGTGGAAAAATGGTTTGTGGTTGTAATTTTTGACATCTCTGTGGAGTGAAGAAAGCTGTTATCCAGTTTTGGTTTTTGGTGTGGTTTTAAGATTTTCTTTCGGAATTTCCAGAAATCTTAATAAAGCGTTCAACTGACATTTTATACGATTAGTACTATTGAAATACTACCCGTAGTGAAGGGTGAAATCACTACACCGCTTACTATAATAAGATAATTATGTACATAAATTCGTGGATACCCAGTATGTATATTGTACTTACACCGTATCTTATCGTTATAAACTATGTGAGTATTCGGAAGACTGGACAGCGCTATCCACCAAAATCACAGGAGCCTTCAGGAGGTAGACATTGTGGTGTCCACTGTCACATGTCCACTCGAATATTGGCCATGGTACAATAATTAACTACTGTAAGCATAAATCTTCATGAGAATTGTACGAGGGTCACTCAGAAAGTAATGATAACTATCGCACGATTTTTTATTGCATCAGCGCTTTCCTCGTATTTTCTCAAAATACTGCCCCTTCATCTCTATGCAACGCAAACATCTAGTCTGCCACTCATCAAACATTTTCGAAAAGAAATTAGGTGGTAAATTAGAGATCGCTGTATTGATATTTTCTTCCAGTTCTTCATCATTTTCAAACTTTTACCACGCAACAATTTTTTTTCAAGCCAGGAAATATTTGGAACAGATAAAGGACTAAGGTAACCTAAGAAAAATAATGTGGAACGATACTTTTACTCCAGGCCGAGAAAAAAAATAAAGCAGGAACGGAGTGCTTATCTGTGGATTTTCGCGATATTGCACCACACGGATGATACCGTGTCAAAACCATCTTCTTCTGCTTTATCAGTAAGAAGCTGCAGCACACCCTTGACACCTTTCCTTCCATAATGCTTAGACCCTCTGCTATTGCTTCGGGGTCGGAAAAGAATCCTTCACGATCAGGGTTTCGACTATGAGGACTTTTCGAAAGTGAAAACTGAAAACATATTCCAAAATTTGAGCACCGTTGAAATTTGAGCACCGTTGTCAAAACGCAGTTCTCGGTGCGAGTTCGCTGGAACCAGCTGGCAACATCAGCAAAGAATGGTCCTTACTAAGGCAACAGAACAGGCAATGCAGCATGAAAAAATTCTACACTTCTCTCTGCAAATCAATTTTTCAAAATAATATCATGAAAACTGGCCAGTAATTAAGGCAACGTTTTCAGTGATCAGTGAAAAATCAGCGCTACCCAGCCATGTTCAGAGCCTTGTAAACCGCCAACCTTAGGCGGTATGGCCACGGCCATTGCCCTATGATCTAGTTATGAATGCTACAGTTTTTAAAAAATTAGTGCATAATTTTATGATTACTAACTGATACTGATTATCATTACTTTCTGAGTGACCCTCGTACTTTAAGCGCTAACCAATGTCCCGTGAGTGTTTAATCGAGAAGAAGTCGACGTTAACGTTTTTAGATTTCATTCTCTTATCTACGAATACATAAAATCTGAATCAAGCGCAACAAAATTAACATAAGGTCACGGTGTAGACATTATTACTTCAACAACTATCGTAATGTACGAGTATATGTATTCACGAAGCGTTAATCATTGTTTAGTGATTGTCTTTAATCATTTGTAATGCTCTTAACGAAGCTAGTGTACGTCCGTTATTTGACGTGAATGCTATTAATTCGTATTCTGCGGTCTATCCAATTCTGGCTGGAAAATAATTGTTTCTTGCTCAAGATGGTGATATTCACGTACCGATTTCTAAAAATTCGTTTGATCACCATGCGCATGTCTTTGCATGACCTTGTGATTGTTTCTCTCGCTGCCTCGCATCCAGAGAATTTTGTAAATCGTAGACAAAATACCACAATATGTCACGAGTTCAGCCAGATCAATACCAGCTACGCGTTTTTACCTTGGTGTCGGATGTGGTATATCGATTTTCTTCGGAAGACTCAGGTGCAGTATCAATATGATTAAGAGGCTTGTTAAAAATTTCCAGTGCGATGAATATGCAGCTGCAATTATTCTGTTTAAGTACAGTTTCTGTTTGGCCTAAACTGCGCTAACGAAAGTATTTTTTTTAAAAATCGGCTTTCTGAAAACTGAATGCAGCCGAAAAGATGGGGATACTGGACAAAATAGTCAGCGCTCTGGGAACCGGTCCGAGAACGTACCACATTCTGGTGGTTGGATTGGACAACAGTGGCAAGTCGACTATCATTAATTTCCTGAAGCCAGATAATCTCCGCGTCTCGGGAGAGATTCCACCTACCGTTGGAGTAAAGGTACATAACTGATTAATCTGAATTTTCTAATACACATAAGTTTAACCATGGAAAATGCGATTATTGTAGCTCTTTGTGCATAATTATTATTTATGCCTGAAAATGGCGGTTAATATCGCTTTATTGCATACTGTACGGTAATTTTACTGTATACCGTATCACAGTTTTGCCTATGTCGGCCATAAAATGATAAACCGCATAACTGCGTATGTTCCGTTATCAATAAACTTAAGAAAATTTATTGAAATTAGTTCAGATACACTAATTTCAATAAATATGACGCAGTTGTTGCAAACTAAGTGGACACTATCTGTACATCTGTGTATCATTTTTACGGTGCTTTGCAGATTGAAAAAGTGAAGTACAAGAATACCATTCTCCAGTTTCATGATATGTCCGGGCAAGGAAAATATCGAGCAATGTGGGAACGCTGCTTCTCCGACTGTCATGCTATAATCTTCGTTGTCGACAGTTCCGACAAGTGAGAGCTCTGCGAAATTAACAATAATATTAATTTCCTCAGAAGCTGTACTGCTACACTTGTTACGATGATTGTGTAACAATAAACACAGAGCACGTTAATTTGTTAAGTGATTATGCTTTTCTTAGCGGTCGCGGTATTCATTTACAAATTGTACTCGTACTGTATTTCCGTACTATAACTTTAGGGCACTAAAATCTTGTATCCGATTTTCAAGCTTACTATCTCTATATATTAAAAGAATAAGACTTTCAAAATTCCATTTCCATACAGTTCGCCAGGATCCTACACTGAACCAAACTTCGATGGCTATATATCATTCGATAGCCTTAAGTTTCTATATTTGCCATCAGAAGTCTGTTTTTGAAACAAAAGTTGGGTTTAAAAGAAAAGTTCAAAAAACCTTTGCATGCAAAGTCTATGGGAAAAGTGGAGAACCCACCACTACAAAACGATCACCCCACCACTGCCAATAGAATATGTCAATTTTTGATAAATCACCTAAAACGTTACAATGGATGAAATTTTAATGAGTATGAATCACTCGAAAGCCCTGAATTTATAGATTTTACCTCTAAAGCATGGTTATAGAGGAATATCAGGATTTGACAAGAAAGTCTGATTAAAAAGTCTACGGAACAGTCGAGGTTCTTATTTCCAAAACCCAGTTTTTCAAGTTGCTGTCCTACGCAGCGCGGGCGACCAGTTTTAAAGTTGCTGCGCTCCTTTGGGCGGGTACGAATGTTTTTGCTAAATCTAAATAGTGAAGCACTAAGGCCTCGGCCCCAATATTAACCGTATCTCGCTACGGTACACCACCGCACGAAGTGGCCTTCATAAAAGCTTTTTTCTTCCGAAATTATTCGGTGCGTTTGACACTGAGCAAAAAGGAAATATTAATTTGTAAATCGTCAATCGTGTAACAATACGGAAATGTGGACTTTATGCAAAAATTACCAACGTATAACCGATTAACCGTCTTTCGTTGAGCAGAATAAACAGAAAATACTAATTAGCGTGGCCGACGGAGTTGATTGAATGGATGCGATGCCTCAGACTCTCAGTTCAGATACTTAATATTGTACATGACAACTCTATATATTAAAAGAATAAGACTTTCAAAATTCCATTTCCATACAGTTCGCCAGGATCCTACACTGAACCAAACTTCGATGGCTATATATCATTCGATAGCCTTAAGTTTCTATATTTGCCATCAGAAGTCTGTTTTTGAAACAAAAGTTGGGTTTAAAAGAAAAGTTCAAAAAACCTTTGCATGCAAAGTCTATGGGAAAAGTGGAGAACCCACCACTACAAAACGATCACCCCACCACTGCCAATAGAATATGTCAATTTTTGATAAATCACCTAAAACGTTACAATGGATGAAATTTTAATGAGTATGAATCACTCGAAAGCCCTGAATTTATAGATTTTACCTCTAAAGCATGGTTATAGAGGAATATCAGGATTTGACAAGAAAGTCTGATTAAAAAGTCTACGGAACAGTCGAGGTTCTTATTTCCAAAACCCAGTTTTTCAAGTTGCTGTCCTACGCAGCGCGGGCGACCAGTTTTAAAGTTGCTGCGCTCCTTTGGGCGGGTACGAATGTTTTTGCTAAATCTAAATAGTGAAGCACTAAGGCCTCGGCCCCAATATTAACCGTATCTCGCTACGGTACACCACCGCACGAAGTGGCCTTCATAAAAGCTTTTTTCTTCCGAAATTATTCGGTGCGTTTGACACTGAGCAAAAAGGGAAATATTAATTTTGTAAATCGTCAATCGTGTAACAATACGGAAATGTGGACTTTATGCAAAAATTACCAACGTATAACCGATTAACCGTCTTTCGTTGAGCAGAATAAACAGAAAATACTAATTAGCGTGGCCGACGGAGTTGATTGAATGGATGCGATGCCTCAGACTCTCAGTTCAGATACTTAATATTGTACATGACAATTGTTCACAGAAAAATTTCACAACAACTTCAGAAACGATCACATTAAGCATCAATCGACAGAGGCGGCCTAATCACAGAAAAAATTTGATCTAAATTTGCCCCTATCGGCGCTGTTAATATAAGCCATATGCAATTAATATAAGCCATATGCCACATTTACGATAAGTTTTGTGAAACTCCAAGTAATTTATCAGTTTGTAATAAGGGCGAGCCGCAAAAGGCGCCGAGCTGCAACAAGACTGAAGCCCGCGGAGTATCAAGTTTAGCAACCGAGACGATTTGAGTAACAGTATTTGACGTTTAAGGCAGTTTTGACAAAAAATAAACAGTTTAATTGGCAATGGAATTTAACGCATGAATTTCTAAGTGCTTATCTACTTTAGCCTACTTATTAGTAATTTCACTGTTGTGTTCTTAATACAAAGCATTATGGAAAAAAATTATGTATTCCTATTGATAATTGTATCGACAAGGGCACCAGCGGTATTTTGCTGAGCCGTCCTAAATTATAAGGAAAACAGATACTTCTATCTGAAAAGCGAACAATGCTTGGAAGTAATAAAGTGAAACAAAAAACTGCAAAACTTTTAATAAATTCAAAGCTGCTACTTTATAGTTGAATAAATTCTCTTCATGAATGATCTGGAAAAACTGAATTGGTGCTACCGGTAAAGTTCAAACGTGAAGAGAAAGGAGCTGTTTTCGGGGGAAAGAACTTTCGTTTTTTCACATTATCTCAGGCTTCTAACCCTATCTGTAATGCACATGCAAGTGTAAGTGCACTTCTGTAAGCTGTGCAGTCTACGGGACGGGAAAATATTCACACAGGTTGTAATTTAAAATAGCTAGACACTGACTACTAAGTTGACTGACAAGTATTTCTCTGTGAAGGAAAATTTTACGTATCGCTGATAAAAGTTAAGGAGATACAGATGCGTAGATATACGGCATATGTCTATTTGTAAATACGGTAAATAAAGTACCTGTCTGTCTCTTTGAGTTTTGCTTTAATTTACGATTCATCCATCGCTGTTATATTCCGCGCAATTTGCGCGGGGTCTACTAGTATATTTATATACTCGTAGCAATGAAGCAAATGTACAGTATCCACGTACTGTGTTCAGAATCAGCTAAAGTCAGTAGTCAGTAGCATCAGTAGTATTTAATCAAAAAACTATTACTTAATGTTACGATACTAGCGGCTGTTTTTAAACAAGTAGTCAGTGTCAGGATGTAAAAAGATCATGACAGACTGACACTGATAGATTGGTCTTAATTTATATTGCGGCAAATTACATATACGATCATTACGTCGACCGGCTAACCTTTTCAGGGTGCGCGTTGTGGTAGCCAAGGAGGAATTTGACGGACTGGTTCAGCATCCGGCGATGCAAGAGCGCAGCATCCCTTTGCTAGTCTTAGCCAACAAGAAGGATCAACCAAATGGCATTGCCGCAACGCGCTGTTCCCAGTTGTTCGAGTTGGAGAAGCTCCTGGCCAACCGAACGTGGCATCTGCAGGCCACGAATGCTTTGACGGGAGAAGGTGTACACGAGGCTTTCAACTGGTTAACCGATTATCTTGCAAGCCTCCCGGCTGACGGAAGAGGACCTGACTAAAGGAAAACTTACGCGTCGAAAATGCGTTCTGTAAATACTGACTACTGCTGCTTTGTAATAAAGCGATGTTTCACTCATTTTACTTTATGTTAAGGATGATTCATAGCTTCATACGTGATATAGATATATAAAATTACCGGTATGCTCCTTTATAGAATGTATATCGTTGGACGTTGTATACCAAACACATTCTAAAAAAAACTAATTCCACAGCTCATTCCTAACGTGATTATAATTACAAACAAACAAATCCACAAAATGTTCTTGCACTTTATTGTCACCTCGCCTTACATCATGAGAAGCAGCACTGGAAGCCAACTTTTTCCTGCAACATTATCTTGACGAAGAATGGTCAATCGCATTTGCATCGGCCGCCGGTCAGCATTAAAGCGCTCGACTCCTTCAGCCTAAATTTCTCGTTTCGTTGGATACAATACCATCAATCTGAAAGAAGACTATCCCATTTTACTGATTTTAGTCAACTAGTTGGCAATGGTTTATAAGTAATCAAAATATCGAAGTCAAACACAAAATTTCATTTGAATTTTGCACGATGTAGCCGACGACAACCGGTGTTTTATCACTTCCATGGTACGGTATCAGCAATTCAAGCTTGAATACCGGTGCGGTATCAGTAGGTAACTGTGATTTTGTACTTAGTTTTAGTACGAACTCCGCCACAATAATAATCAAAGTAATGCGGAACAAAACTGAAATGTTTGTTTACATAATTATGTCAGCGACAGCAAATAATCGGTCAATGGCAACACCCCGGTACTGGTGGGCAGAGCGCACGAGCATCGGCATCACCGTAAAAACAGCCATACTCCATGCCAGATCACACCGCAAATCCCACAAAAAACGATTCCCGTATCTATCTATGCGAAAACAAATTAACCAATTTCGTTCTTACTATTCTTAATCCAAACAGTAAATTTAACACGGATGAAAACTGGACAAAAAATGCTGCTACACTAACCTGGAAGAAATTATACTTGTAGGTCTGATCACCAGATATCCGCGGCACCTCTCGGATAGTGGCCACGTCCACATACTGATTCGCTGGGAGGGGTAATAGATTCCAGGAGCATCCTACACTTACAACATTCTTCTCCCAGTTTATACTGTAGTCCGGGATTTGGCATCAGTAGAATTTTCTCCTTGTCCGATACCCAGCATTCAACACCGAAATGAAAAAACGGAAGATGAACTGCTTTCCCGCACAAACAGCCGTCTAAAAAACAATAAAAAATGTCGCCGTCATTAGAGTTTAAATAGAATATGAGAAACTGAATCATCCCGTCGGCCGAATTTCGAACATTGTTTGCATCTGCATTCTGCATCAAGCATGAGAATCCAATAATTACAACGTTATAAGTAATAGCCGTAGGTCGCACGCTTAGGTCGTGACTGCAACTTACCGGCATATTAGGCGTAAATTCTATCCAGACCATTGATAAAGAAGGAAATTAATGATTACAAAATAACAGGCCACTAAATCTCATCTTTGTTAATCGTTGCGCCTGCAGAGAATCAACAACATTGGTTGATCACCAGACATTTTTCGTCTACGACTTCTCCATAGCATCGGCAGCTGGCTGACAACGTGAACGCAAGATGTGCATGCTTCGTTTTGTAAGAAAAGTTGTGAATTTACTATTCTCGCTTTACAAGTGTGCGGCGATAAATGGCGATTGCACTGTGCGACCGCTGCGAAATACTTGCTCAGGAATCCCGTTAAAACTATGGACATTTCGAGAAACCGCCGAACTTCTTCCACATAGCTTTATTAAAGATTGCTGAGACTATGCTGACTCAGTCGGACAAATTTGTGCCAGCGAAACACACTATTTATTGTTATTAATCTTCTTAACAATATGATTAGCCCATTTTTTTAACTTGTCGTCGAACGTGTCCGTCACATCCTGTAGTTCATTTCGGATTTCTTTCTTGAATTGCTCGAATTCATTACGCGCGACGGGGCTGGCAGCCTACAAAAAAAACCATTCGTCTTCGTAAAACATGCGCCTCAGGCTTCTATGTGTGAAGCGGCTAGACAAAATCGCAAACCATTTGAGCACAGGATAAAATTATAACGGTGCGAAAGCGGAAAGGTCAAACAAAAATCGTTTTACACAATCTCAAACTAACTGGAATTTTCGGAAAAGACCGGTACCGTAAGCAGTTTATTATGACGCACAATACTGATACATGTGAACAAGATGCTCTAGCAGCAAGTTGATGTAGGAGTTAAAGAGTACGACAAAATACAAAGCTGTTCTTACATAAGTCATAGATCGTGTGGTCGGGCTCTCCAGAACCGGGCGTTCTTCAATCCGGGCCCGCTTGGCAGGCTTTGCCGGTGCGTCTGGCATCAAGCGTGGCATTGGGTTTGTTGGCGTGATGTTGGCGTCTTCCACTGAAAGGAACCAGAGCGATCAAGTTAGATCAAGCGATCAAGTAAGAGCAGTTGCAAAAGGAACCTCACGTAAAACAGACACTTAACAGGTTCTTGGTCAGAGAACTTCACTCGCACTTCACAAACGGACTTACTGGTATTATTACGCTTCGACATGATGTTGCAGATTTGCGATGGAAACGTTAAAGAAACAAAAATACCTCAACGTAACTAAGGAAAAAATTTAAGGAACTACAAAAACTCACAACAATTTAAGAAAAACGGTTCCGACTGTACTGTTCCGTAATAGAACGTTAACTTGAAAGCAAACGACGAAAATCTTCAACGCCGATAAAATTAACAACGGACGACTGATGCTGTGCACAATCAAGTTTGGATGTAACATTCCTTCTGTCTAGCACAATCGAGCTGGCAAAGCGAGCTGACCTCGCCCGTTGCGTCAGAAGTTAAGTGAGACCACCCACCTTTCTCGGTGCACTGGTGCTCGGCCTGGCTTCCGGTGACATCATCGCGCAGCTGCAACGCAACAAGCATAAATAATATCAGCGCAGGACGCCATCTTACGGCCGGCGCGCGACATTAATTGTAAGTGAAAATCAAGGGAAACTGGGCAGCGGCTTCGCAACGGTACTACAAGACGGTAAGTGTTGAATCAATCAAAAATTCGCACTTGCCATGTGCATTATTCCGAAACCAGAGGCCACAACACTACTTCTCGTAATGAACTGGGTTTTTAATCTAGACAGCAATAAAAAAATAACGCTGCCACGATTATTTTAAATTCCAACGTAGTAATACCTTCAAAATCAACGTCCTGCATTTCTTTCTCGATGATGGTGCAACAGTCATTCGAGCACTTCGAGAAACATAACGACAGTACGCTCTTCTGGATTTCGCCATGCCAGACAACTCCCCAGATTTCGTATGAGCTCAAAATCAAAAGCGTAACCGACAACGAGAAAATATTGAACAAATATGAGAAACACTCAGCAGAACACTTTATCAACATAAAAACGGAATGCTTGCTAAGTACGTAAATATCAAGTATAACTTCCAGAATCTGCTTTGGCAGTTTGTTGAAAACAAAACAAAGTTACTTGCAGAGAGCGTGCAGCGAGCGTTCACAAGTCTTCACTCTACTGGCATACGGAGGCGGTCTGTCATTTCGATGCAATACTGGTCAACGGTCATGGCTTCGAATTTTACAAAAGCTCCGAACCGGTACCAGTTTGTACCAGTACCAGTACCAGTACCAGTACCAGTACCAGTACCAGTACCAGTACCAGTACCAGTACCAGTACGAGTACCAGTTTGTACGAAACATTTATAAGAATTTTTCCGTCAATATAACACAATCCAATGATTTACTTTGAGAAATTCTTAGCCTACTCATGACTTATACAGGTTATAGGCCCATATAAAGGTGAATCGACGCCGTCCTAAGATCTGCAAGTTGCTTCGCCGATATGACATTTCGTAAATTTTAGTCAACATTTAGTTTAAACACACTACTAGTTAGAGCCCTGCACGAGCAGCAAAAGTGCTGCTCAACTCGCTCGTTTCTGCTTTTTTAAACTTCCTGCTCGCTCAGCTCGCTCGCGCCCAAACCGCCGCTCGCTCAACTCGCTCGTTTTCCAATTTTTCTTTGCTTCCGCTCGCTCAACTCGCTCGAAATTTTATTTTGGCAAATCGGCTCGCTCGTGAGATCGGCAAAAATTTACGTATAAATTTTTTGCACGAATTAATTATACCAAACGTTTCACCAACACAAAAACTCAGTAAGTGTAATTGGATGTTCAGAGACAATCACTTATATCTCCATACTGGTAGTCCGTTGCATTACAGTTTTTCATTTTTTCGCTAATACATTTCTCTAATTTTCAACTGGATGTAGTTTTCTTAATTTAGCCTGAAATAACTACATATAATAGAATGCTAAGACTTAAAATGCACCTTTCTTAGGAAGCATTCAACTGATTCATAAACCCGTCAAATAATGTTTTTGTTTTCTACGAGTACAAAATATCAAAAGTTAGTCCTGAGTCCCAACCGGTCAAGGAAAGTTAGGAAACCACTTCGCGCGAAGCGCGAAGGTGACGGTGGTTTAAGACATTTTTCAGGTCGGTCAATGTAATTTTGTACTAGAAATTTCACCAGTTCGCAGAATGTCAGCCTGTAGGCTCGCGATCGCTCGCACCCGACCATCCCGCTCGCTCGGCTCGTTCGGAGTTTTTTTTCTATGGCTCAGCTCGTTCGCAAATTCGCCATACGACGCCTGCTCGCTCGAAGTGCTCACGAGCGCCGAGCGCTCGTGAGCCGAGCCGAGCGGCTCGGCTCGTGCAGGGCTCTACTACTAGTACAGTCTCGAAAAACATTTAACGGGCATGACGCTCGATAGACAATACTTTAAAAAATTTAAGCTGGAGCGAAAATATAACCAGGAAACAGAGGAAAAAATAATTTTGAATAAACATAAAGATCTGATCTGATTATACAAATAATAAATAAAATCCACATAATACTGCAGCACGGCATTGAAGCCTGTATACCAGGAAGCGAGGGAACCAGTTCTCCTGCGTTGCGTCGCCTTGGCGGACGATGGCCAAGCGCATTTGCAGCGGCCGCGTTGCCCGCGTCCGATCAATGAAGCGTTTCATCCAATCGACCGCAGGAGTTTTCGTTGCGCTAAGCACCATGTACTCGTAACAAATCTAAACGAAAATGAATGCTCAGGCTGATAACATTAAATATACTTTTATCCGTATAACGCGTATCGATGTCGTCTTAGTCGAAAGGTAGCTTCGTCGAAATGACATCTCGTAAACTGAAGGCTTCATTGAATTTAATTTGAATACACTAGAATCTCGAAAAACATTTAACGGGCATGACGCTCGGTAGACATCACTTTAAAAAATTTAACCAAAAGACCACCAGAAAAGAACAACAGCCAAGATTGCAGCGAAAATATAGGCAGGTAGCACAGGAAAAAATATTCATAATAAACATAAGATCTGATCTATTTTTCCAGTTCATCTCTGATCTGATTATACAAATAATAAATAAAATCCACGTAAGACTGCTGCACGGCATTGACGCCTTTATCCTCCACCAGGAAGCGCCGGAACCAGTTCTCCTGCGTCGCGTCACCTTGGCGGACGATGGTCAAGCGCATGTGCAGCGGCCGCGTTGCCCGCGTTCGGTCAATAAAGCGTTTGATCCGATCGACCGCTGGATTTTTCGTTGCGCTAAGCACCAGGTCACCAACCTAAACGAAAATCAATGCTCAATTATTTCATGAAAATGTTAAGTATTTTCATGTTAATGAAAACTACTCTTATCACAAACAACGGTTCTCGGTTTTTAATTTTTATACTCGCACGTCTAACTGTCAAACATATCAAAGAAATCATATACAAATTTTACTGCTGGCGTTGACCGCTAGCAAAAAATAATTCAAACGTATCAAGCAATTAATCATATAAAAATTTAACTGCTAGTGCTGACCGTTCGAAAAAATAATTTTATTCTGTTGAAACATTTAGTAGGCAATAGTCTAACCAGAAGGCAAATGATGCTACGTGCAGTCGTACTGAAAAACGAATGTTCTTCGGTAACAATGATAATTAACTTGCGTTTGTTCCCAGCGTATATAGTGTGGGCAATATCCGCTCATGAGGTTTCGCAAATCGTGCAGAACTGCAGATCACTGAATAATATCTCTGCTGAATTCGGAGACCATTCACAATCAAGTTTTACCTTATCGACTTCGATTTGAGCGGTTGTGGGAGCTCCGAAAACATCCTGCAGAAACTGGCCGTCCACATTTCGTCCGACCCACAGAAACATGCCGATGCTGTTCTCCAACAAGTAACAGCCGGTCTCTTGCATCTTTTCTTGTGTGCAGCGGATCTGTCTGAAATAGTCGGGATTCTCGGCCGTCACTTCATTGAGTACGTACAGCCGAGGATACAAGAAAGCTGTCGAGTGTTCAACAGGAAGGGCGTTGGCGTGAGCAATCAACCAGCTTCTGTCATCTGCTCCCACATCGCTTCCTAAGTTAGAAAAATTATGGATAGTCAATCATCTGGATACCAAAAGCAGCAATACAATAAAAAATCTTCTTTGCAACGAAACCAAATGGCAGCAAAACGCGCTAAAAAGATAACTACAAGATGCACCAGAACTGCAAACGAAGTACTCTTCTAGAACACAAGCGTAAGTCCGCTATGACGCACAAGAAAGAAATGGAATGGTGCCCGGTTACCTGTTCCTGAGACAATATCGCTCCGTGATAAACAATTTGTATAGATCGGAAGCAATTTCAAACTCTCTGGTAAAACCAACTGTCCGGCGGGCGTCTGAGAACTGCAGTGTTTCCGGTACGCCACCAGCATTTTGGTAGTGCGCTCCGCCAAACCCTCTCGAATCGCCGCAGGAGAAAACTCGAACAATCCTTTAAGACCTGTAGAAGTATCAAATATGGAGGTTAAATAGAGCAATATCATGATGGTGTATAACCGTATGATTAGTCTAATGATATCTGGAGATTTTAGTATTTTTTGCTGTTACAGTGCGATTCTTTCGAAATTACCTTTGACCATAACTTTTTCAAGTTAATAAAGACAAGTACAAACAAAACGACAATCTCATTAATCGGTTTGTCTGCTCTTGATACACGAATAAAAAAACGAACAGAATTCATAGCTAGCATATGTTAATGTTGCAACATCAAAAAACAAAAGAAACTTTAAAATGCCACGTTTCCGAACGTACTGTTCTTCATCATGAAGTTCATAATAACATCGATCTCAGCGCAGCGGTACATTTCAGGGAATTCGGTGGAGGCATTCAAGGCCAAGTTCATAACCCGCACTCGCCGTTGGGCGCTCAGACTGGTATAAAGAAGCGCGACCTAATCAAACAAATAACTGTAATAAGCGAAGGACGCACAGATGCTAACAAGCAATCAGACCTGTATATGCACAATAGACTTGTCTTCCAACTTGTCGTCATGTTTAATCTCGGCCAGAATGGCTTTTTCCGAATCCAACGCCGCTAGATGAACTTCCGTCGTGTTCGGCATGTACATGTTGCCAAAGTAATCTGTCGGCCGCACACCGGCATTGGTTCGCACTCGCATCACGGCATCGAAAGCGATATTCCGTTTCAGATCATGCCGAAGATCCCACAAAAACCGATTCCCGTCTTTATCAGGCTGAAACGCAAAACCAAATACTTTTTTCCAAATTTCACCAAGGCTTCTTTTTAATCCAGGACAACAGAACATTAAAAAGTAAATTTACATCGACCAAAATTTCACGGAAATCTCGGTGCACTAACCTGGAAGAAATTATACTTGTAGATTTGACCGCCAGTCATGCGCGACACCTCCCCGATAGTGGCCACATCCACATACTGGTTCGGAAAGAGAAACAGATCCACGCAGCATCCCACACTGACACACTCTTCGCCCAGTTTACTGTAGTCAGGGATTTGCGGCTTCAGCAAGGTTTTCTCCTTGTCCGTACCTAGCAGTGTTCGGTCCTCTCGATTCTTCAGTTTGCCTGGAGCATCCAACACCGGAAGGGAGAAGTTGAAGACAAACAATTTACCCGGGCATCCCGCCGCCTAAAAAATTCAAAAAATTTTCCCGTCAATAAAGTTAAGCTGAATATTTTTAGAACATGCCAAACTAAAACGTCAGCAACGCACTTCGAGAGCTCTCATTCCGGACTGTATCACAGGATAAAGAATGGTGTCGGTTTCACGACTGTTTGCAAAGATCTGAGGGATGTACTCAAGGAGTGAGTCCAGCATTTTTCCACTCTCCTCCAGTTTCACCAGAAAGCCATCCACAATAGGGACGAACATATCCGTAAAATCATTCACCGTCATCATACTGGGTTTATTCAGATTAGCCTGCAAAAAAATAAACTGGTAAAAAACTGAAATTTCCCAGTAAACTGCCGAATTAACGATACCGTTAGAGGACAAAAAATGCACCGATTGGTGTAAAAATGTGAAGCCAAAAATGCGATAAAGTAAGAGTAACAGATAGCGATTAGCGAAAACAATAATATGGTGGAAATGTTAGTAACAAGAGGGATACAAGGTAGATTCTACCTATATCAAGAACTGCAAAAATTTGAGTCAACTTTTACCTTCAGATTAAAAAAGTGGACGCTATCGCTGAATGTCGCAAAGCCAACCCGCAGCTTCGAATCCTGCCCCGTTGTCTCGACCGGCAAAAGCGACTCTAGTTCATTCCGCAACATGTTGCACACCATCCCAACAAATCCCGAGGAAATGGCCCGGTAACTGACATCGATCATGAAGATAAATGCCGGTGGTTCGGGCAGTTTCTCATGCTTGCAGTAATCTTTCGTGGCAAGAAACTCATATGTTCCCAAGCACAATTCCGGTCGCTGCATCATATCAACACGACGTCCCTCCGAATCAAGGTACTGGAAGTAATGCTGCGGAACTTCCGTCGCCACAAAGCAGAATGGACATTGAAACCTACGGGGATGAAATCAGAATCAAACAAAAAGCAACGCTAGCAAGCCAGATAGCAAATTTATAGGATCTGACGCGTAAATAAAATCTGTCACTAACTTAACAGAAAAGCACAACGTCAAACACTAGAAACAATGAATAACATATTTGTAAATTAGATGCAAAACAGAACGATAATAAACGTTAAAGGATTTTAAAGCAGAAGGATAATATAATATTGTTCGGGTATTATGGCACTGATTTTTTAAATTTTATACTTTCTGCCGCCGTCGATGAACTTCATATAAGGCGACATGTACGCTTTGCACCGATTACACCGAACGGGACCCTGATCTCCGTGGTACACAATGGGGATCTGGGGACTGTCCGCCGGCAACCTATAATCGTCCGGAAAAAAGTTTCAATTTTATCAATACCAAAATTGTTTCACATCACGGAAGACATACTCTGCCATGGGCTGCATATGAAGAACAAACGGTATTCCCGACTCTTTGAGCAAATTGGTGGTGGCCGGCGCCACATAGAGGGATGACCGCAGCAACTCCGGGATGGTGTTGCCCATATCGCGACTAGGGGCTTTTGTCGTCACCAGCGGCGGTAGTACCGATGCTAAACGACTCTCAAAGTACTGGCCACCGTTGTTATTTATGTCTCTGTCCAGGACGTCAATCTAAAAAAACAAATACTGGTCATTCATTGTTTCTCTTGGGTTGACGAAATCAGTGGTACGCACAACACTCGGCAATCCGTCATTCGTTAAACCACCACTCGGGCCGGCGCCTGGTTTCCTTGCTCCTTGACCCATAAATGGAGCTGAACCCATGGGAGGCACACCGGGACCCTGCTGAATATAGGAAATAATATTAGAAATCATCAGCACACTGCTGTAAATAAAACGGAAATAAACATAAAAAATGACATAAATCAAATTTATTGTCAGACAGTTGTTAATTAACAATAACAAAGTGAAAACTTTTAATCAGTAAATGCTACTTAACTGTTACATTAGTCTAAGTACTTAGCTGTTACATTAATGTAAAATAAATTAATTTCAAAATATTAACAGTTTTCAGTACTTACCATAAACTGCTGCTGTCCGTTCATCATGGGCGGAGCACCCGGGAATGCTCCAGGGAATCCGACCGGCGGAGGCTGTGCGTTGGGTGGATACATTCCACCGGGCATGCCGCCTGGAGGAGCACCCGCACCACCATACTGGCCAGCTCCGGGTGGTCCCGGTGGCGGGTACATCCCCGGAGGTTGACCAGTCGGTGCCCCCGATCCCGGTGGCGGATACATCCCCGGGGGTGGTCCTCCTGGTGCCCCGGCAAACTGATTCTGTTGAAGCATGGGCGGAGGAGCGCTGTATCCTTCAGGCGCATTCCCATACCCCGATGGTGAATACATCCCTCCAGCCGGCGGCGGAACAGCGCCAAATGGCGGTTGCATTCCTTGCGGGGTATTGGCTTGCTGAGGAAAGGTTTGGGGAGCTGCATTCATATTCGGAGGCATGGCTCCGTAGGGAAAACCACCGCCCATGGAGGGCGCAGGGCCGGTGGAAGGCGCGCCGCTCGGTGCGGAGAGGGCAGCGGGGTGGGAAGGCGCGAAATTTGGCGCCGAATGATGCTGCTCGTGATGCTGGTGGTCGTTGACGGCGTTGGGTTGTGCCCAGGGCTGATTGTGAGGGGTCATGTCGGGCTGGGAGAACGGTTTAGCACCCGTTGGCGAAGGCTGGGTGAGTGCTCCAGGAGGGCCAACGGGTGGACCATTGGCGAAACGTGGAGCTTGGGGGAATCTGGGTAGAGCACCAGGATTTTGCTGAAAAATAAAAGTCGTAAATAAATATATACTTCAATCAGGATCAATTTTCCTCACTTGAAACATGTTTAATATATTTTAGGATGCTTCTTAAGCCTAGAAACATGTATTAGAGTCACTTTCCTTGCCCACCGGATAATGTGATTAAAGCGTTATGAACATACGAGAAAATTCGTAAAAGCAAAGATTACTGGTATCTGTCAAAAAATGGTAAAAAATGCCTTAACTTCTAAAATTTTGCAATTTTCACAGCAATCTGCGGAAACCACTTTCAAATCGAAAAAGTAAAATTGCGAAGCACAGCAGAAGTATACAACGCTGAAACTAACCATTCCATTTCACGTTCCATACCTCTTGATTTTGTTTTTCATACTTTCAGCTTTCTAAGTATTTTTTAGCGTAGGTAGTTACTAGTTACGATTAATTCCCGACAAATTGCATGATTTAACAAGAAATATTTCTGTTCGCAATTACCCCAATCAGACAAAAAAAAAGAATGGAAAACAAAAAATTTTAAAAAATCCAGAAACTTACTGCAGTATTAAGCGGCTGTGGCGCAGCAGCGCTATTCGGAAACGAAGGCGTCGCGGGTCGCATCGGCCCATTAGCCTGTCCAGGTGCAGGGCCCGGGGTAAACTGGGGCATTCGCGACTGAGGAAGAGGCACATTGGGATTGGAAAGCGCCGGGCTGGGTTTCGCCATCGGCGCTGACATCGCTGGTGCAAACTGCGGAGCACCGTGCTGCGACGTCATCGCAGGGGCCATACCGCGGGGCACCGCCGCCGGATTCGGGGGCAGCATGTGGGGTGCACCGTCCGGGCGTATATTCATATTCCCGAATTGATTGTTCATATTCTGCATGCCTGTCTGAAACTGGGGATTAAACGACGGCGCCGTCTGGGACTGCAGTGGAGTCTTCTGGAAACTCGGCGGCTGCGGCAGTCCATTGGGGACGGCAGCCGGAGCGCCGGATGGCTGCGGCGCGGGATACATGGTGTGGGAGAGTGTCGCAGGGATCGAGGAATTAACCGTGGAATCCACAGGGCATCAACAACAGAGAGAGGTGTGCGATACAGTTTGGCTCCTGGCTATCAGATGGTGACGTGTCAGCAGTTCACTGTAGGAATACTGCAGCACAGGGATACAAGGCGCATAGATTCAGAAAAGACTGGGCGATTTCTGTGATTGTGTTGTACGATTATAAACGATTTAATTGGCATATAAAATAGTAGCATAAAGATAAAATCAGAAAAATTACAAACCAAAGGGAGAGAATTTATTTGTAAAACACATGTGCGAAAATGTTTTGGGAAAAATCGAATAGCAGAAACCTACACGCTGTCACTTTAATCAGGCCAGCGTTTGCCACTGCATTCTGCAAGTCTGCAATAACAGCACTCTGAGAATATGCGCTTGGTATACTACGCTGGACTTCTTACATCATCCCGCAGGCGGTTGCCGGTTGGCACTAACTGATTGTGTTTGTGTGACTACGCACTGGGCAGTGGGCACTGGACAGTGGGCACTTTCGGTTTGTAAGAAAACATTGATAGCAATCACATACCTATTTATTATGAACTTTATAATTTGATGATAGTCACATCTAGAATTATAATAAATTTGTAACAGAGTATAAAAATAGTACTTCCAAATCAAAGATTGCCAGACTAAAGCAAAATTATTATCATGATGTACTTATGTACGTACTTACTACCCTAGGATTAAACAGCGTACTTTGTATGTACTTCGAAGTGTTCGAAATCCATTCCCAATCTAGCCATTTAACATAAATATGCAAAAATATTTGTTGAAATAAATTTTCTTAAAACTAAATAATTTAATACAGTAGAAGATTTAGACATTTCTTTTAAACTGTTAAGTTATTTGTCTGTATTTTCGGAAGAGGACATCTAATGTGAATCAGACTGTCAAAACTGATACTTTATGGCGATAACGATCCCGGCCCTCTTTTAAAACAATCTATCTATGAATTAAACATCTCTTATATTCTTTTAACTGTGTCCATCTATAAGTGCTTTATGCATATACTGTAGATAAGTAGATTATGCTTATTAAGCTTATTATTACTCTACTTTACTCTTACGTTAGTACCATCCGAAGATTTTTTCTTGTTCCTTTTGAACTTCCGCAATCAGCGCAGTGCGCATGCCGGCATCAGTGGCGTATTATCTACATTTAAATATCTATAAACATTTCTGTACGACTGTATAAGTACCTAAATCGTAAATACCTATATGCAGGAGTACAACACTTAAGTAAAGTACATTTAGAATACCTCCACATGACTCAGGAAATATATTTTGCGGTAAAGGTATTTTTTGGAAACGTGCACCATACTGCCATGCCCTTAACTAAACGCAGTTAAAATTTGCTTGTGAACTGCGATATTTCTTATTACGAAAAAGGTTTAATTGTGTTTAATTGTTCAACAACCGGCAAATATCGAAAATTGCGCCATTTGGCGTAAACCTTTATTGAGTTCCGTATGCTGTTGTGCGGCGAAAAACCCCTCCTAAAAATTAGACGAAAAGGCACGCATAACCTATTCTTTTTTCAAAGTTTGTGAACAAAACTTGTGCAACGCAAGCAACAATAAGGTAAAAGACCGCTTGCTCTCCTACTTAAGGCATGAATCTTTTTTTGTATTTCTATTTTTGGTATTTTATATTTTTTTTGTATTCGTAGTACAGTATTACTTACAATGTAACAATACCATAATGATATTTTGACCATGAGAATCTATACAGTACCCGCACATCCAGTTTGCAGCTGTTGCTTGCGTACAGATCTGCCCGGTATTCCTGCTAATATATTCATAATCATATTATTCCGCCATATTATAATAAAATTGTCGATCTTTCATACTACATAACGACTTCGTATAACTGCGACCAGTACTATACTACATAATAACACTCTTTAATTGTGTTCTTTTGTGTGATAGCAGCTTCTAATAACTATCATCTCGTTTTGCAATTTGCATCGTCCTCATCACAAGATGATGTGCGGCGTTCGGAAAACGCCCAGCTCTGCGGTTTCCACGAGCGCGCTGACAAAGAATAATAATGCTGCAATGCGTATGCCGGGTAGTAATAACAGTGCCGCAGCCGCGCATCCATCATCGTTAATACCGCTGTTTGGCTCGCCAGTACAGTATAATAATTCCAATCTTCACGACCACGCACTTTAGCCTCTTTAGCACTTTTACTTCTCCCCAAATCACAAAGCTCTCTATTGTGGAAAATAATATATCGCACTCTTCAATAAGGCAAACAAAATATTACCCATTCTCAATTCTGCGCACAGGCAGCACAGCAACAATCTGCAGCTATATAATCACAAGCGCGCACGATTCGGTATTGGTAAGCATCGGCTTGTAACAATAAAAACTGCCGGCTTTCTTTAGCGTAGCGGATGCGCTTGACCAAGAGCTGTAACAGCTGATAGAGGATCGTCAGGCGGAGACGCGTAGAGCGGTGAAATTACGACACAGCATTCGGCAATATAATCAGAAATCATAAAAGCGTAAAGTGATAAAAGTCTTCACCCAATAATATAAAAGTGTGTACAGGTACTGGTTAAGTGATTCGCACAGCAGGTGGCCAACAAGTCGTTTCATGGCGGGGAAAGATTTAATATCTCGACGCAGCCAGCAACGGATTCAAAACGTATCAGTTGACCGCAGCGAATTAATGATCGGAAGTTGATTTATCCGATGGATTGGCATTGTCGTACACGAAGCTTCCAACTGTTCCACGAGCCATTCCGCAACCTAAATAAACAGACCCGGCGACAAAAGAACATCACCATAATTTTTCTGTATTACAAAATTGAGAGCTTTACAGAGCAGTGCGCCAATTAAGCAGTTATAATCAGAATAAACAGGTCGAAAATTTGCAAATATGACAAACCATATTACGACGATTACGACTATATAAGCTGTGATTAGTCTATAGTATTCATTCTTTCCGGATGTTTGGCTATCGAATAATTCTGCAAAGTTCGCGAAATTATTGTTATCAGCATCAACACAAACACTTGAATAACAGCGAGGAATTTGGCAAAACTTAGCACGTCCAACACTGATTCCTCAGTTTAAAACATTTTACGATAAATGTTAGCTGTTTTTTCTTCTTATTAAACGCTTACCTTGAGGGCCAAAGAGCGCTTGATAGCACGGCACATTACAGTACGGTCTTCCTTCGTGCTGTATAAACAATAAAAAAACAAAAAATTACAATAAGACACTTGAAGGAAAAACAGTGAAACTAGTGAAGTGCCCGGGGTGGCACACCAACACACACGCTTGTCTGACCTCCGAGTGCTGGCCGGGTGAAAGGGTTTTCGAGCAGCGCTCACATCGCAGACACTCCCGATGCCAGTCCTTTCCCATTGAAGTGCGCCGTTCAGCTAAACAAACAATAAACAACTTGACAAAATATATATATGACAGGATTCCGCAATGAAAAATCAATTCCGCATATTCGGATTGATGAGTTTACTTTTCGTCATTAATACGCTTTTTATGACATTTTGTACGTCACATGATACTCGTATTTTCTTGTTTGCCGAAAGAAAGCCTAAAGGGGTGGTAAAGAAAGAAAGGCTCAGACTTTGATTGCATTTCATGAAATTATTGCCTTAATCGCTCCTAATGCATTATGTTAGTCAATGCAAATGTGTCTCCCGGGAGAAACATTTCCGCTCAATTTATGATTTTACGAAATTTCAAATTGCGTTAATGCACAAAATCTGCCGGCTTTTGCAAAAAAGTCATATTCAAATTTTAAGGGATAGTAATAGTGAAGTTAGTCATTTATAATTTCATGCTTATCATATCAAAAACTTTTACGATTATTGCATAATGGAGCTACCGGTGAAATTTGACCGCCCCCTCTTGCCCGCGTATGCTGGCTTATCAGTGAGTTATGCAATTATCATAATCCCCAACCGCAAAATAATTTTACGAAGACTGAAACTGTAACAGTGTAACGCAAAGAAATACTACACTGTATTTGAAACTCTGGAAATAAATAATTTTTTATGGCGCGCGCACGGTGATACCGGCGAACAGCACCGTCGTCGCATAAGAAGAATAATCAATAAACAGATTTAAGGACGCATAAAAGCACGTGATAGTAACTCTTTCCAAGAAAACTTGGGAAAACACATCCACTTTCTTACCGAAATACACCTCCTTGCTGCAGCGTGGACACTTGGGCATTTTGATGAATTAAGTTTAAATCCTGGTAAAGGTAATCCTGGAGATTCGGTACGAAATTACGAGTGTAATACTGTACTGGCAAACAAAATGGCAATCGACACAGGATTACGCACGGGAATGTACTATTTCAGCACAATTTTCTCCGTCGATCCAAGAGGCGGATACGAAAATTAACAGCTGACGGTGGTCAGCGATAACACACTGCCGTGAGAACGGACCGTTTTTCACGTTGTCAGTATTCCACGCTGGTCTGGTTTTAGCCGCTAATTGAGGATAATTACGCAGCGGCAAATGGTCGTAGCACAATTTTTCAAGACTTGTTGAGAATAAACTTTGAAACCGCAGAAAAGCCAGGTTAGGCAGGTTTTCAAAGCAGTCCGATTATTCCGTTATGTTCTGCACAGGCGGTAATAGTTTAAACTGCCAACCGTTGAACAAAAACGATCGTACAGCACGTTGTATGTACGTTGTGAAATCTCTGTGCGGCGATACAACGGCAGGTTCTTCGCAAGTCGTATTAAAGATAAACCGATACTCCTATCGCAAGTCGTAAACGTTGCGGTGATAATGCTTTTCCAATCCAAAAAGATTGCCAATCCCCAGCGCCGGAGCAACAAAAATAAGATTTTTAGTCAGCTCCTACAGTACTTTTATCCAGAACTCACTTTTACCAAAATTCAATTCTTCAGTTAAAATTGGCCATCATTCTGAAAGATACCGCAGTCACCGCTGAAGTCTCAACCGACGAGACTCGGTTGACACGAAAATTTTGGGCTCCCAGTGCACCGTAGACTCTATGGTATAAGAAAAACCGCCCTAGAAATCTTCTACCCAATCCTGCTCACCACCACCAACCAATCCGAATTGCGCACAAGTGGTCAGTACTTCATTGCTAGCCCTATAATTCAAGAGCTTATTACGCGTGACATTCAACTAAAATAATAAAATCGAAATAATAAAAACTTTTCTGAATAAAAACATAACATTTTATTAGCAGAGATGAAATATCAGCCACAACTGCACTCAAATTTCCCATTAACTAACAAAGTGAAAAGCGTCGAGAAGGAGCATGTATGCGAGAAGGACTCGTAATTGAAAAATATTATGAATTTTTTTGTAAAGTCATATACATAAATAATTTTCATTTGCATAGATGATGTTAAGTTAAAGAACATCAGATTTTATTTATTTAAGGAGAAACAAATAAGAACCGTTCAGTATATTCTGATCAATTCTAATATACTGTGCAAGAAAATAACGACAGCATTCTCTACGACTACGAAAGAAGCATAAGTACTGTATTCCAATCACAAAAACAAAGTTTTTACTACAGGCCGTACATTGAGGTGTACTTCCGGCTGCACGTTAAGTAAAACTACAAGCTGAACATTAGGCTATACTACAGGCATTCTTACTAACTAAACTTAGTGCACTACAGGTTAAACTACATGTCATACACCAAATTGTGCTATAGGCTGTACTACAGGTTGTACTACAGGCAGTACATTATGCAAAGGAGTGCACGCCGGACTATGGAAATAATGCACAAGATATCACCAAAGCAGCGGCATGGATAGATTCTTGGTACGCAATAAAAAGGTGTTAATGAATTTAAGCGGTGCATCGGGCCGTACCAAAAACAAAAGTAAATCCTATAACAAATTAATAAAAGGACAGACGCCTGGCTTATCTATTCTTTCGTCCACCAGTTTTATTTTTACGCTAATGTGATTCTAATGCTTTAAATGATTCTGATGTGATTAAATATAATCAAGAAAAATATGTATTTTTTATTAATGTCCTTTTAATAATATTTGTGATTGGACATAATTAAGAATATTCATGATGCTTAGCCGATATCATCTGCATTATGTCCATAGTCCGGCGTGCGCTCCTTTGCCTAATGTGCTGGCTGTAGTACAACCTGTAGTACAGCCCGTAGTACAGTCTGGTGTATGACCTGTAGTTTAACCTGTAGTGCACTAAGTTTACTTAGTAGAAATGCCTGTAGTACAGCCTAATGTTCAGATTGTAGTTTTACTTAACGTACAGCCTGAAATACACCTCAATGTGCGGCCTGTAGTAAAAACTTTGTTTCCTTGTGACTGGGACGCGTATGCTGCTTTCGTATGCATAAAATCCTGCCGTTATTTCTTTGCAGAGAATAATAAAATTTATCAGGATATACTGAACAGTTTTTTTTTAGTTTTCTGTGAATAATTAAAAATCTGATGTGCTTAAACTCATTATCACCTGTGAATATAATACTTAACATTACCTCAGTGTATCACTAAAAAAATTCATAACCCTTTTTAGTTAATATTTATATTCCTTCTCGTCGATTTTCAGCATTTCAGTTAATGGGAAATGTGAAAGCACTATCTCTGATATTTCATCTCTGCTAATGGAATATTTTTAGAAAAATGTATTGTTTCGAATTCATTTTAGTTGATAGTCACAAATAATAAACGCTAGAATTCTAAGTACTGGAGCAGTTAATAATCTGGACTGGAGTACTACTACTGACCAGCTGTGCGCAATTCGGATTGGTTGGGTGGTAGTGAGCAGGATTGGGTAGCCGCTTTCTAGGGCGGTTTTCCTTATACCATGGAGTCTACGGTGCACTGCGTGCCCAAAATTTTTGTGTGACTCGGTTGAGTGTATGCGTACGTCCCACCCAGTGGGTGGCGCCTACAAGATTAGCAATGCGCACGGTCGGCTTTTGTTTCCGGCACCGGAAACAACCGGATTATTCCACTTCCAGCACGTTGTCAAACTTTAAAAAATTAAGATGCTAAATATTCAAACCGTCCCAATCTGCAGAAAAAAATCCATCGGAATTTCTGTAATTAGCACACCGTTTGAAAAACAAAATAAAAATAATATTGTTAGCGTACAAAGTACAAAAACAACCGCGCCTAGAAGCATCTCCTACCGCCGCAGAGTTGCCAGTTCCCTATAAAATCTTGTAGGGTTTTGCGGTTTTTGTTTGTAGTTTTGGAATCACTCAAACAGTGGCTACAGTGTCGGACTGCGGTAGTCTCGGAATTTAATATCGGAATTTCACTGAAGTGGAATATTTTTGCAGTTTTTTTAACGTCGTATTTCATATTGGTTGTTGATAACGAACAACAGTAAGGGCCATTTGGAAACCAACTTTGGAACAAGTTAAGTATAAATTGGTACACTGTGATCTCTGCAGGCAGAATCTTGTTTTTGGTCGACTGAGCAAGGAGCTGTGCGAAGCACGACAAATATACACAGTCGATCATCGCTCAACAATCGGTATGGCGAAAGAGAAGGACTGGCACTCCAGCAAGAGGATCCACAAACGGACGGCGTACCTGCTTGACCATCCTGACTCTGAGATTCCGAGCGATATCACCTTCGTGGTGGGGGATGGATGCAGCGAACCCAAGAAGACCTTCAAATGCCACAAGTCAGTACATCGATCGTGTTGCAAATTTATGATCTGGAGATGATTCTTTGACAGTAACTCCTGGACCCCTGGTGAACATGTCTGGCGATCAGAATTTAGAGCTTAGTGATTTTAAATTTTCAACTTTTCGTGTTTGGCTACCCGGAATTCTGCGTTCGGTCAACCGGTCAGCTAATAATGTGATTTGAGTGATTTCCAAATTCCTGTTGTCTGCTCTTTTGCAACTTTTGCAGTTTTACGCTCACTACGCTGTATAGTATGTAAGGTTTGGGCACCGTTTTCCTTTGCAGATTCATCTTGGCGCTGGTTAGTTCCGTGTTCCAAGCTATGTTTTATGGGAATTTCGAGCAAGTCGAAGTCATTGAATTACCCGATATTTCGCCATTGGCTTTCGACTATATGCTGCAGTAAGTCTGATTCTTTGTACATAATAGTACTTGTTACTCGTACAACTGCGTAATTACGTATTGTACATGTAGACCATAACTTATAGTCTTATGGTTAAAATTATTATTATTATTAAAACCATCTGTATTGTATCTAACTTGTAAATACTGTATATAATCAAATTGAAACGCAGAAAAAACTACAAAGCCCATCTCACAATAAATGCTGTTAGCCAGAGAAAATGGCAGCATGGGCTGCACTCACTATAATATACTGTGACACAGTAGCGCGCTGCGATATTTTTCGGCATTTTTGAATGCTGTCTGCATGTATATTAGAAAGGATGCGCAGAGTCAAAACGCGGACTTACTTACAACGTTTTTACCCTTGACATACAGACATCGAACGCAAAACCGCGCCCGTTTATAGGTCTTGCATGTAAGTATGTACGGGCTAAACTCGACCGCATGCGCACAACTGTTACGACACACGGACTGACAATTTACTGTATGCGTGCTGACATTGTTCTACTAATTCGCAAAATTGTATCATTACATTTTATAAAATTGTATCATTACTTTTGAAAAGTTAATGCCATATAATCTGTTGGAGAACACCAAAACAAGGTCGATTGGGTACATCTGCGCACTATTCTTTTAAGCTAAAATAAATGAAAGAAATACGGTAAACAATATTTCTGGGTAGCCAGAACAAAGCGGGAACCCGCCACGCGGTTAAGCAGAGTATACAATTTGCTGTCATAAATACAGACGAAACATCAAAAGTGAGGTTATTCGAACAAAATAAATCATTCCAGCTCATACATTGCTGAATTGACATGATAATAAAATAAATTCTGGCTTACCATGGAAGGCTGTACAGCAGTATAAATCGTAGTCGGATATGAAATCAGGTTAAGAACTCAAGCACAGTACGCAGTAAACTTCAAACAGCACCAACAGCTGGGTAGCCAGCCAGCAGGGTTCCCTGCGATACGATGGCAGCTATTCACGACAAGTATACCACAAATCGTTAGAGACAGCCACAAGGATTTGTGAACCTTTGGCAAGCTCCGATTCAGTTTGTAGTACGCCAGTCAGGTGCAATAGGATATAAAATTAAATTCAAAGATAATCAGAAAACACACATTCAGTAAACAGAGGCGCACCTCGCAAAACACTGATACTGCTCAGGCTAATCTGGATTCCCAGAACTCAACTTCCAAAAGTCTCAGAGATCATGGGACCTACCGCTCTGCAATGCGTCACTGTCAACATTGCTGGACGTTTTTCGTGACGATGAAATTAACAGAGCTCGTCTCCTTGCTCAATCTAAACCGGAAGCCGGCATCTGGTTAAATGCGCTGCCTTCGGCACACATTGGAAACCTCCTCGATGACGATACATTAAAGATTTCAGTTGGTCTAAGGCTGGGCGCAGTAATCTGTGAAGCACACTCATGTGCAAAATGCCGCAAACCAGTCGACGTTTATGGTCACCACGGACTGTCATGCTCCTTCTCTGCAGGTAGACACGCTCGCCATGGCGGGCTAAACAGTATTGTCTGCCGATCATTAGTTTCGGCGGGCATCCCAGCGAAGCTCGAGCCCCGCGGCACATCCCACACGTCCGATCGTCGCCCGGACGGGTGCACGACGTTCGCCTGGAAACGTGGCATGTGTTTAGCCTGGGACGTCACTTGCGTCGACACTGTTGCCCCATCGCATATCAAGTCCACTTCGGCATCCGCGGGATCCGCCGCTGCCCAAGCCGAAGACAGGAAGACCAGTCTGTACGCGTACCTCGATGGTAGATACATTTTCGCGCCGTTAGCCTTCGAAACACTCGGACCATGGGGCAAGTCGGCATCCGCTCTAGTGAAGGAAATCGGCAAGCGACTGCAGCAGCACACTGGTGAACCTCGATCACATGAATTTCTACGCCAGCGTCTGTCTATCGAAATTCAACGGGGAAATGCGGTGTCCGTTTTTTGGAACTATGGATGTAACGGACAACTTAAGAGAAATTTTTCTGTTATAATTATTCTTGGTTTATTAACAAAATTTGCAGTGTGACTGGCTTGTGCTAATAAAGACACATTCCCAGAACACATGCTTTCCTGCACTATAGATGCACATGCAGCGCATCAGTTTTCTATTTCTCATTTCAACAACAAACAAGAAGGCAAGAACTAAAAAAAACTTAAAAAAAGACGGAAAACCCTGTCGTTTTACTGTTTAACCGTCGCTGTCAGCCCAAAGTATGGAGAAACGATCACGTGGTTTTGAATTTTGCTATTGGCGGTGGGCAGCCTCGATCTAACTCAGAATTCTGACCCACCAATAAAAATCGCGGAAATGCGAAGTTTGTAAGTACCTGGGCGTCGCTTAGACCCGTTACAAGGTACGCCCATGTTCGTAACGGTTTTCGTCGACGCCCACCGACAGACATCGAGCGAAAAGCGACTTACAACGAAGCCCAGCCAATTGGAACTTGACACGCCTATTTCTCGCTTCGATGTAAGTCGCTGATGCTCGATGTAAGTCCGCGTTTTGACTCTGCGCATCCTCTGGATTATAGCGTGACTTTGTACAAAGATGGGCTTGTGTGTTCAGTATTGTACATACTTATAATTGATCGTGAAAACTCACGTACACGATTACATCTGCTATTTGAATCTTTTATTCAGCGGTGCCGTTTGCTGCGGCTTAAGGAATCTTAGAATTTGACCAGGTTTCAAAATGTCCAGGTATGCATATGCTGATGATTGGACTTTCGCGGACTCGGAGCCTTTAGCCAACGTCATGCAAACGTTGTATTGCGCCAAGAAGTATCTGATCAGAAAATTGATGCGTGCGTGTCGTGATCATGTCCAGTCTCATGTTAATTATTCGGATGCAGCTGATGTAATGCAACAGGTATTCATGCACATTGCAGACATGCAGCAGTGCCCGTATAAGACTGCCTAAGGTCACCGACGCTGTTTTCGACGCTTGACCGTAGTGCGTGTGCAGTGCGATAGTTTCCTAGACTGTGTGCAGTATTTCTAATTGTGCGGTAGATTTCGACTGTGCAACAGCCAATAGCAGATGTGCATCCCTGTCTGTTTTGATCTTCCAGGCACGCCTTTTGGGAGAGGATGATCTCGCAGAAATTGCTCTGGAAGAGATCCGTCGGTGTACATCTCTTTTCTTGGATACAGAGGAATTTCTATCTCTTCCTTTGGACTCAGTAAAAGAAATTCTGGATCAAAATAACTTGGATGCTTCTGAGCCGAAAATTTATCAAAGTGTTTGCCGGTAGAATTGTTTCCCGTGTTTATATTCGCTGTTGCATGATAATTATCAAACAACGTGCCTGATGTTCACAGGTGGATCAAACATAACGTCCCATCTGAAACCACTACGCTGCGTGAGCGTTTTGGTTCATTATTTCGTTTGATCCGTTTTCCGGCGTTCACTCCTGTGGAATTATCGGATGGCCCAATAAAGGTACGATGCAGCTCATACTCGACTTCTTGCCCTCTTTTCAAGTACATTTAAAAAGCACAACTCACAAGCATGTTCGAGCGTTACATGGTTATCATTAGTTCATTACTGCATTGCCTTCTTACGTTAAAATGTTGTCACAACAGTAAAACTTACAAGTTAGCTTATTCATTAACGCTTTCAGTTAATTTGCTTTGTTTGACAGGATGGCTTGTTGACGACCGATGAAGTGTACAATTTATTCCAGTACTATTTTGCAACGCCAAAACCGGCCGTGCCTTTTCTGACAACGCCACGTAAGGCTCCGGCTGAAGGAGGCGTTTTGCAGTTTACATTGGACATCCCACGCACTGATAGGGACGCCCTTGCTCATGAGACTTTCAATGACCATATTGCAATTAACCTGCGTCCCGATCTGGCTCCTGAATGTGTTGCATTCTTAGAGGAGATCGTTGGCGGCAATTATGCTCTGGAGTTTAGGGAATATCCCAATGAGCACAGCAAGGAGTGCACGCGTATTCCCCCGGTGGTGGTCCAAGAACGGAATCCCTTCTCGCATACCATTGAGGGAGCTTGCTGGTTGGAATGGACAATCAAAGGCGGAAAGGTGTGCAACTTAAATATCGCAGCATGGAGGGAGCCCACCGCTTACCATAGTGCGGTTTTTGGTTTCGTTGACAATAAAGACGCCGTGGATATATTTACGGGCTTTGATCTATGGGACAACTTCTGTCCTGGAGGTCGCGCAATAAATTTCTTTTTGAGTGATTTTTGATTATACAAAATGCGCATACTAATAGTTTGTTAATTTTTCTAAAACAGAAACAGAAAATTTGTTCGTTTCTTTATCGATTACTTACTCTGTCTCGTCTGTATACAGTTTTCGCTCTTTTCAGTATGTACCGCCTTGTAAATGCGTTTGATTATCGTTGGGAAGAACACTTCTGAAAAAGGGGTGCAAAGAAGTCTCAGTTTTTTGTCGTGCAAACCGAGGCAAATTAACTTTGTCATGTGTTGCTAACTTGCTTCTGTGGACACATGTTATTACAGTAATTACTTTTGAGCTTCGAAGGTTACAATTTCTCGTGTCACACACGTACCCATGAGCCGGTACTACTCATGATTCTATAACGATATACTGTACATGTACTCTAATCGTAGATATTTAAGTTTAAAATAATAATAGCCATAATAAAAATTTGCGAAACGCTTTCAAGTCGCAGTGTGTAAAAATCCCAATAATGGACTTTAAACATGGATTACTGATACCAATACCGTGTAATAAGGTTTACCACTTTTTTAAATGATTTTTGTAAAGGATGATTTAAGTGAGCTGTTAAAAAAACGGTTACGGTACCCGAGTGTACCGGAAATTGCAATAAAAATAATTCTTTGGAAAAGACAGCAAGCACTGAGTATGTACGCTGCAAAAGCGACTACCACCACGAGATGGCAGCGCCTTACTGAAGAATTTGTTTTTGTTACAGTACAGCCTTGGAAAGCAGCGTGCTGAATGCTCATTTTCATTTTTTTTGTCATTTTGTGTTTTTTGCAAGCTTTTCCAAACTATCCAGCGACATTCTACGTTGCTAACCTTCAGGATTTTTGTGTTTTTCAAAGTTTTCATTATCCGTTTCGTCAGTTTGAAATTGTGGTATGTGCTGTGACTGCTGCGTTTGAGATTCCAGGAAACTGCAGAATGGCTCAGCCATCCGGATTGCCAATTGAAAATGACAAGACTTGGCGCTCCAGCAAGAAACTCCACAAACGCACTGCGTATTTGCTTGATCATCCAGACTCGGAGATACCCAATGATATCACGTTCGTGGTGGGAGATGGTCGGGACGAACCTAAGAAGACGTTCAAGTGCCACAAGTGAGTTTTGTCTCCGTAAACATTCGGCTGTCTGTACTCTGCAGTAACTGTTTAGTGTTTACTATGAGCACGGCTTCGCAAAACTACAGTACTTCGTGATCATACTTATTTTTTTCATCGTTCATAAGTTAAACCACTGAACGTGAGTTCTGTATCCTTTAAGTTTTGCTTTCGATGCAACAGGTTCATATTGGCGCTGGTTAGTTCGGTCTTTCATGCCATGTTCTATGGGAACTTTGAACAAGTTGAAGTTGTCGAACTGCCTGACATCACGCCATTTGCTTTCGAACGTATGCTTCGGTAAGTGTGGATTCTGTGTGGTTTAAGTCATGCGTGGCATTTAGTAACTTACTTACTGGTTAATAACTTATCCCTTATGTTGAAGAATCCTATTTTCTTGGGCTTTGCAACCTTTGCTGCTTAATCAGCCTTTATGACTGTAACCACTAACCAGTAACAGTACTTACCTACTACATACAACTTTATTCACCTGTGGTACAACGTGTTATACAATAATTATTAAAAACAACGATTAAATAATTATTATTACTTACATTAGGTTTGCATACGCTGATGAGTGGACTTTCGAGGACAGTGTGCCGTTGGTCGACATTCTTAGCACTTTGTACTGCGCAAAGAAATACCTAATCAGCAAGTTGTTGCGCGCCTGTCGAGATCATGCGCAGTCTCGTGTGGTCGGTTCGGACCCTTCGGATCCCATTATCGCTATTGAGCAGGTATGCCATGTCTGATGATGCCTGCTCGACTGATAATAAGTTAAAAAAATTGAGTAGGCAAAAAATTGAAATGTTTTAGTTACTGACTTTTTAATAATGGCGGACCGTATTCTGTTGATTGATGTCCTGGAGAAGCTTTTCTGCTTCCCAAAAGTATTGCTTGTAGTAGTATATTGTTTTTAAACTGAAAATCAAATAATACTAACTATTAAGGACAATTTATTAATATTAATAATTTAATATTGTTACTATTGCACAAGAGCAGACAACCGATTTTCGAAAGGGGCTTAGGTATGCAGCGTTCTCTAACGTTGCTGTCTGGTCGAAAGAACACCAAAGCAGAGAATCTGTTATCCATCCAGAACTGATTTTAAGAAATAGAAAAGAATTATTATTTAGTCAGCTTACCCTGGTCAACCATTTTCAGCGCAAACCAAAAAAAAACCAACAGTTTCCGCATTTGAAATATCGACATTAATTTTTTATGCACGATGGTAAGTCTTTCATTCGCATGGCAAATGTAGGCTCCCCGATCTCCTTGGTCGCCTTTCCTTTAGTTCATGTATAAGAACAAGTGCAGTTTTTTTGCTATTCTGATTCAGTCATTAGATTTTATCCTAAGTACATGTAGTGTTTTGTAGTCACGCTTTTTGGATGAGGAAGATCTCTCGGATCTTGCAGTTGCGGAAATCCGTTATTATACCCCTTGTATCCTACGTACTGCCGCTTTTCTGCAGCTTTCCTTAGAGTCGGTAAAGCAGATCCTGGAACACAACTGCCTAGACGCTACCGAACCGGAAATCTATCGAAGTGTTTGTCGGTAAAAACTTCTAACGCTGTGCTGCTTGTGCATTCAACACCTTTTTATGCCGAAATATGCTAAAACACGTTAAAAATTCTAGTTGGGTGAAGCGCAATATGGATTCTGGCACCGTTACTCTGCGTGAAGGTTTTGGATCGCTGTTATATCTAATTCGCTTTCCTTTGTTCACTCCTGTGCAGTTGGCGGAAGGACCAGTGGAGGTATGGTGCAGTTCATTAGAATCAACAAGGTTAAGTAAAGTGACGGAAACCACCTTACTTCTTCTTCCACACCAGTATGCTTGTTTTGTCATGGATGGGAGGATTTTACAGTAAACTCAGTAAAGTGTGGTACCTATAAAAGACACCAATAAGGGCGGAAGAAGAATTTAAAAGGTTTTTTTGTCTTATTTTTATCCTCTGTCATATATACAGACTAGCCGTTGTTATTATATTATTGCTGGGGGTCGGGTCTCCTTTTAACGTGATACACTTTTCGTTGGAACAGGATGGTGTGTTCTCTCTCGAAGAAGGATATAATTTATTTAAGTACGCCTTCGCACCTTCCAAGCCTGCAGTGCCCTTTGCCACAGTATCCCGTACTTCACCTGCTGAAGCAGTCGATGTGCTGGAGTTTTCACTGGAAATTTCACGCTCTTCTCGGGAATCGGCACCATTGAGGGCTTGCAATCAGATCATTGAAATTAATCTACGCCCAGATCTGGCTCCGGGGTGTATTGCCTTTTTGAAAGAAATCGTCGGCGGCGAATATTTTTTGCAGTTTGGGGCTTATCCTAACGAGCACAACAAACAGTGCACAAACGTTCCCCTCACTATTAAAGACCGGAATCCCCTGTCGTTTACTGTTAAAGGAGCTTGCTGGTTCGAGTGGGACATCGATGACGGCAAGGTGTGCAACTTAAAAATTGCTGCATGGAACAAGCCCGCAGTCTGTCACAGTGCGGTGTTTGGTTTTATCGAAAATAGTGATTTTGTTGAAAAACTGTTTCATAGTTTCAGCGTATTGGACGAACATTACGCGGGGCTTTGCGCTGTCGGCAAGTTTCGTTTTAATGACGACTGAAAGGAATAGTTATTGCATACTGGTGCTTTGTCCATTATCATTAACATTTTCCTATTTTCATCATTAACATTAACATTTTCCCATTATCATTAACATTTTCAGGTAACATTTTCCTTCTACAGATAAAATTTTTATCTGTATAAGGAAAATGTTATCTGAGGATTTTGATTGTTTTGGTGATCTCCTCTGTACGTCGGCTGTTTTCTTAATTCCTTGAAAATTTCCTGGAAGGAATGATTTCACAAACGAGTTTTCATTGATACCGGGACATAATAACGGAATGGCCACTTTAAAAGCACTGCATGAACAGCAACATAAAATCATGGCGATCAATAAAAACAAAACTCACAACTATCATTCTGAAAGGATTTGTTAAGTGCGCAACTCGTGCGCAGTGAAAATCATACATTTAAATAACTAATCCGGGCTTCACGATGCTTTGATTTTTTGACTAAGCTGGGTTAAAAATTCGTAATAAGCACTCGTGGACTCCAAGCGATCGTCATGTAAATACTGCAGGAATATCAGACGGTCTTTACTATCTTCTTTGATAACCTAAAAAGACAAAACCAATAAATATAAATAGTACTTAGATATTAAAGATTTTGTAACTGCTTTTCTCAATAAAAGAATCGAGACTGGTTTACGCAACTTCACCTCTAAAACAGGATGTAGCGGTCGTGCGGCATATCGGCTCAGGACAAACGATCTGACACGCCGCGATGTTTCATTGTCCAACTCCGGTAACACAGTATTTCGATCAATAATCTGCTCATACGTCAGACAATCGAACACATCGCGACAGAATTCTGAACTGACGCCCTTCCCCACATACAGGATCATGTGCAGGGCCGCCTCCAGTAAATACACTCCGCGCAGATCAATCTGTTCGTAGCTCAACTGGAGACGCGGCAGTTTCGGGATGCCTTCATCCGCATTCAAGAATTCCGTGGCATGGAGAATATCATGCACGGGATAGAGGTGCGGATAGATGAGGATCATTTCTTCAAACAGTGGAGCTGCTTTTATGTGCAACAGGAAATATGTCCGCAAATCCAGGGTGGTGCTCACGCCGATACGCAGGCCGAAATTCTTGAGCAATGCTTGAGTGAAGAGGGGTACGAGACGCAGGGAATAAGGGGACAGTAGCTGGTTGCCTTGATTCCGGGCCACCTGGGTGAAGGAGGATAATGCGTCTTCGCAGGCGTACACTACGCCGTCGCGCACTTCGGCCATGGGATGGGAAAGTGCTCGCTCCGCAGCTTGAAAAAAAGAAAAATTATTACCCTCTCAAGAATTATCGACACTCAAAAGCATTGCCCGTCCAATAAATTCAAGCATTCTCAGTCATGTAATACTGTATTTCAGAATTCTGGGATGCCTATAGTATACGCTATACAGTACCAATAATCACATAAAAATAAAACATACCTGATCGTGAATACTTGTCATACCATACAACAACGATGCCGTAAGGCGTTATTGTCAATGAGCGATATTACATTTTCAACCAGTATTCATATATTCAAAACCAGTACTATTATTATCTTATTAACCAGTATTTATTATCTTATTACCAACAGAATTTTATAGCCCAAAAGAAACTAAACAAGGAACGGATACGCAATACCAAACTTACCAATTTTTCCGATAAAACAAGCAATCGCTTCTTGATCGGCGCATGCAAAAACATCACCGATGCTGTCAGTCACCGGACAGTGCAATGTATGGACACGAATGCGACGCTCCCCTGCAAAACAAATGGGAAAATTAACAGTTTTCAGCTTTGTCAACTTTGATAACAGAAACAGCCAGCTGTAAATTTCAATAATTTGTTGACACTAACGCACCTTTGCTGGAGGTGTACAGCAAAGCGGCCTGGAAACACACAGAGTTGGTGTGATTTAAAGTTTCGTCCAGTTTAATTTGGACGGCAAAACCCGCATCCGGATTAATGTTGGGTAATGACAGTAGGTCCGTGGAGCGCACGAAGAAATTCCCATGGAACGTATGCATCGACAGGCCGTTGGTGCATCGTACCCGCATAACCGCCTCGAAACCAATCTTCCTCTGCAGGTAGCGTGTCAACTCCACTTCAAAGCGTTCCAGTTGTGCGGGATTTGTCACGGCGTTGTATCCTGGGTAATAATGGACACAACCGGCAGAATAGCGTGAAATGCCACCTATGAAAAGAAAATACATGTTGCATTCGCGCAGTAGCAGCATTCCAGAAAAAGCAAATTATAATTCTTGTACATGTCTACTTATTCTACCTGAAAAGAGAACAGCCTGAATGTATACTGCGTGCAGAATGAACAATGTGTATAAAAAAATCAAAGAAGCGAAATCGATCAGATTTTAGTTTGAGCAACCTCTAAAAGTGTAGCAGCGTTAGTACATGAACGAAACTGAATTGGCTGATCAAAGCTACAATTCCAATTAACAGTTTGATTTTCTCCCTGCCACAAATCTAGTTAGTTACCGACACAATTTCGCAGCAGCCGGAGAAACAGGCCAATTCTTACCTAACGAGGCCAGATCCGAGTATTGCCCAGCCAATAAAAACAAATCTACAGTGACTTGATGCTCCGAGCACTCTAGCGCCAGTGTCTTGTAAAAGTCGGTGGCCGGTGTGAGGTTTTTTATGTCCTTGGCGGCGCGCATATTAGGATCTTCTCGCGCTTTCAGAGCGCCGGGCCCGATCGTCGGTAAGCCCGTCTGCATGACGGTAATACGACCACCCGTCGGAGTAAGCAGTTTATAACCAGCTTGGATCGCCGCACCCGTACAAGAATGCGTATCCCGCTGTGTGCGGAACATTCCCGGCAAACGATTTAACAGTTCCCGAATCGCTGATATGTTTTCGTGGAGGCGGATCAGTATTCCATCAGTCGTTGGGAGGAAAACATCTGTCGGAACAAAGCAAAATAGTGCAGCGTGCCGCGTAGAAAATATGACCATCGCAAATTTACTATTTCAATCGTATTTAAATGGAAAATAGACGCTGTACATTCGACAACTTCAGGATGTACTGCTTAGATTTATTCATAAAAAAGGCTATGACTAAAAAAGGCTAAAGACTGTTGTTAAACTGATGTGCAATAAAGCAAATAAATTACCCTCGATGTCCGCTACCGTTAACATTCTCCAATCCGACTCCAGTTGGAAAAAATGTATAGCACTATCGAAAGCGATAAAGGCAATCTGCGTCCGCGCATCACCAGGTAGTCGCTCCAAACATGTTGATAATCTTTCACAAAACGATTCCAAATACCGACTTTCGATAGCGTTGAAGGATATATCAAGAAGAAATACATAAATCGCTGGTTGAGGAGGACGGAGCTGCACAAACAATAAACACATCATAAAGTCAAGCATCACCGACTCATAGGAGTGAACTATAGAAATCCATCAGAAGAAAGCTTTTCTACGATTCCAACGGAACGTACCGAATATTCCTGAGGAGCAATAAATTCAATGGTGGCTGTTCTTAGTTCTGGACGCCGCGACGCATCGCCAACCGTGTGCGTAACGGGATCATGAAAGAATTCGTGCGGGACTGAAAACAAAGAAAGAAATCATGCAAAACATAATTACAGAATCAGTTACAGCGATAACTCGTGTAAGTAATTACGCAAATTTTTCATTAATACGGAAAAACATGATTCCTATCTTAATTATCAGAATCTCTCAAAAATCTTTTAAAATCTTAGAAGAGCCGCCCATTGTGCAACTTTTCTTAATTCTGATTAAACGACTGTAACGTACGGTCATTGGTGCGATCGCATAGATTGCACTTCCAACGCTGCTGATCCACGAACATCACAAACGGATTAATGTACGAACGACATGCGCGGCATCGAACGATCGTTGTGCAGGTCAGCACTTGAAGTGTCTGCAATTAATTCGTCTTTGTGCAAGGTTTCAACATCTACTCTGAACGATTAGACCAGGCACTTAGCTGTTGGAGGCAAGCCGCAAAACTGCTTACCGATAAATCTTTAAAGGGATGTATGAGAATTCCTAATGGTAATCTCGATTTCGATAACAATGCCGGACTTTTCGGGATGGCGTTCAAAGTGCACCGAAATATCCTGAAAAGCAGCGGAATAAATACCTAGCAAAGTTTTTCAGATTTAAGAAAACTCTTACTCGGGGCTGCAATTTTCCGGTGGTGCATAATCGCGGTTCCGCATCGGCTGTCGAGGAATTTCCGGACCGTCTGGCGGGAGAATATTCCGAGAATGCATCAGATTAACTAAGCGACCACCTTCCGGATTTAAGCCTTCACCCATCGGACTCGTAGCGGGAGCTGCCGCACCTGGACCCTAAAAACCGAAAACTTAAACATTTACTAAAGCAGATAGTAATGCAGAACACTACTAAAAAACAGCCTATTACAATACGCCAAAGAATTTACAAACAATGGCGCCTAAGAATTCTTTGCAGAATAAAATCTAAAGTCGGTAAAAACGTCAGTCAGTAAAGTGATTTTGTATCAAACTATCGACACAAGGCTGATAATTATATTAAGTGCACGAATGCAGACTAATGTACGTTAATTTAATACAATACTGGGATAAAATAAACGAACTGCAAAAACTCAAGCTTCAAACTGACCATAAACTGTGGTGGTCCATTCATCATCGGCGCACCGCCAAACGTGTTCAGCGGAGAAGTGGCCGGGGCACCATACTGCTGTCCGCCAGCCTGTCCCGTTTGTGGAAACATTCCAGGTGGCGCACCCTGAAACTGGTTCTGCTGGCCCATAGCCCCGGGAGCCGCATACCCATCCGTGGCACCACCATACCCTGCCGGCTGATATCCTCCCGCCGCCGGCTGCTGCAGCGCGCTAAACGGCGACTGCAGACCCTGTTGATTTGGCGCTTGTGGTGCGTAATTCGGCACCGACTGCGGGGCTGTTTGGGTGGCTTGCGGCTGCGCGACGCCTCCGTACTGATAACGCATCAAGGGTCCCGGTGCAGGGGCGTTCGGCGCAGCGTGGGGTGGTGCAAAGGAAGGGGCTGCGTGTGGACCAGGGGCAGAAGGTGCGGAGTGATCGGTGTGGCCGTTGACGATGCCAGGTGGTGCCCAGGACTGGGCGGTTAAATCGGGTTGCGAGAACTGTTGGGGGAGTTTAGGGCCTGTCGGAGCAGGTTGGGGTAGTGTTGGCGAAGGGAGAACGGATGGACCGTTCGCGAAGCGGGGAGGCTGGGGGAATTTCACCGGCAACCCTCCGGGATTTGGCTGTAAATAAAAATATTATACATGTGCATGTTTGTTTGCATAGAACTACATACAAGTTGTAATGGAACCGCTAAATAAGGTTTAAATAATGTACAAGTGTGTGAGTGCGTGTCTCACGGTATGTACTGGCTAAAAACATCCTATGCGAAACTGCGACTGATCGGTTTCGCAAATAAATACAACAGTTACACAGGCATAGGTAAGCCATAAATTATCAGTAATTTTTGTCATTCACTGACATTCAGTAATATTTTTCATGATCTGTTCAAGATTTAATATCATCAGTCGATTCATTTTGCTGCAAATTACGATCTAAAAATACACAATTAATATTTTTGAAATATTTTCACATGACTTTCCAGATCAAAGCCAAACCTTTTTTTTGCGTTGGCAAATTATAGCTAAGCGAAGATCAATTTTCAAAAACGATTGCTCAAGCCTCACGGTTTCAGCTAAAAAACTACATCTGTATTACAGCGTAGCCTGCAGAATAAACGTACTGTGCTGGGAAGTGACTGTGGTGCAGCGGCGTTAGGAAACGCTGGCATCGACGACGACGGCCGTATCGTGCCATTTCCATTGGTCTGCACCGGAGCGAACTGCGGCGCCCTACTCTGCTGCGGGAGGGGGACGTTGGACAGGGCAGGCGCAGGCTTGGATAACGGCGCTGCAGCGAACTGCGGTAGCGACGACGGAGAAGGCAATCCGGATGGACCGCGGGGCGCCTGCTGTACCAGAGGCATCTGGGGCGCGGAATCCGGGCGCATACTCATATTCCCCAACTGATTCCCCAGATTCTGCATGGCGGGCTGAAATTGTGAGTTAAACGACGGCGCCGTGGCGGACGCAAGGGGATTCTTGGGGAAACTCGGTGGCTGCGGCAGGCCGACGGGAGCGTTGGACGGCGGCTGCGCGGGATGCATGCTGAAGGGGTTGTGATAGCTGATTAAGCGGACAATTGCCAACGGGATGCAAAGATCACAGGCTGTGCAAAGATCAACGGGAGATATGAATGGGGGTCGCGGATATCTGATGGTGACGTGTCATCGGTTCATTCAGCTTGCAGAATGCCCGCTGAAAATCCCAGGAAATCGCAGAACTTTCACGACTAAACTAGGAAAATTAATAGAAACTATTTTGGCACATAAACGATGTCAAAAACGAATAAATTAATGCTTCCAAAACAAACGAGAAATGATAAATCTTTACAAACTCGGGATTTACAACGAAGCTGAGGGCCGCAAAACGACCACTGCAGACAGGAGACGCAGACTCACCGTTGACACACTTACGTGTGTACAGGGAGCGTAATGATTTCCGGTCGAGTTTTATGCCGACCGGATGCACTTGATACCCAGTTTTTATTATCGCTTTCCCATTATTCGCAAAAAAAAAACGGTTTCAAGCTTATTGCACATTTTTTTTAAAAACTAATTATTAACAATTTAACGGTTTTGACAATTATTTCGAAAATGCCAGGTTGCTTGAGCTTGCTTCCAAGTAGTGTTTCTCACCGCCTGCCATGACGCTTGACCCAGGCAGCCTAAAATGTGGCGCGTGTCTTCGAAATCTAGTACTTCTATGGAATGGCAGCTACAAGCTCACCTGGATATGGACCAAATTGAGATTTGGGAATCACCGGATAGGATTTGTCGATCAATTACTTGTTCGTACTCATAGCGCAGCGTTTTGTTCGTGCAGAAATGATGAAGACACGCTAATCAGTCCGTAAAAAACATGCATGTGCTAATAAAGCGCACGTTTTGATGTTGACGTCTGCGCACATGCGATGTAGCGGAGAAATGCCGCTGATTAAAATTACCGGTTTAACCGCAAGTAAGCTCACACATGAGGACGAGATATGACTGTAAAACGAACGCGTTGGTACAATTCAATTCTTTCGAATATTTTGCATGTAGGTAGATCTAAATATTGCAGTTAATTTTTTAGGACATTTTGCTGAAAAGGTAATTTCATAACGCGCGTTCAAAAATTAATGATACATATTTACAACTCAACATTTGATGCCGGCCGAAAAAAGACCCAGTAAAATGCATGAAAACCTGCGTCTGTATTTATAGCGCTCTCCCTCATAACGCGCTGCTACCAGAATATTAAAAATTAACAAATACAACTAAAGTTAACAACAAATAACTCATTAATACTTCTTATGCAAAGTTCAATAAAAACAGAGAAATGTGAACGTGTGTTCCGGTTATCAGACAACCTGATATATAAAGAATTCAAAAGGTAAAAATTAACCGTAATAAAACCTTACAAACGTCCAAGGCAAAACTAAAAAGCTGAAAATGTTTCAAACAACAAATACTCGATCAAAAGATCCATCGTATTATCACAAGGACGAGATAGAGGGCGACGCAGAGTAATATAACGCCGGTCAGGAATACACCGCGGACAACCCAGTGGAATTTGGATTTCATCAGAGCGGAATGCAGTTTCATTACCTGCTTATTGGTTTCCTGGAGGGAATGACTGTTGTTAATTACATGATCTGCGAAGCGGACTTTCTTCTCCTGCGGCATCTGTGCCGCCAGACGCTGCCGCATCTCCTCTTCCGACCACTGATTCCGCTTTCGGAGGCGCTCGAACTGCTTATCTTGGGAACTAAACATCGCTTACCGTTTAAATTCGCATACGAACCAAATTCAACAATTTAACATAGCATAGGCCAGAGTCATATCAAGGAAATTTGCAAATAACTAGTCCCAATGTAGAAATTCATCAATATCAATAAATAAGAAATAACATTAGTAAACCATTCCAGAGATCTTACCATGTGACAACAACCACTTTATGGCAGAGCCGAAGTAACGGAGATCTCTCGAAAAGCAGCGGAACATCCAGAATAACAAACGGATAACCTACAAATATTTGCCAAAGCCGAAACTTAAAACGTATCCAATTACAAAAAGAACTTCAGGAATATATTATGGATCAAATTGCACAAGAGGTGAATTTCATTTTAAGTCCGTAACTCCGTACCAGCTTTGGGTCAGTAAGCAAAATCTCCAAAATTAAATAATGAAAATCATATTTAATTCAAAAAAGCGTCTTGCGTTTATTTTGAACTTCATCAACAAATTGCAAAAATTAAAGACGTTCGTCTTGAATCACTAAAATTAATAAAATAATATATCATATATGTTTATAATTATTTTGTACCTGAAATGGCGTATCGCACAATCTGACGGATCATTTCCATTCTGATTTCGGGATGTGTGATGCGCTCCAGAACTCTCCGAGATTTTTCATTGCTAAACACTTCGGCGGCCATCGCGGCGCGATCCAGTTCACCATCCGCCGTGAAAAATCGCGAACCAAATAAGGGATTACTACGGATGGTTTTCCATGCTGTACTATTGGGAACCACCACTGCAAATATCAAGGAATTAAACAGCAATACGTAACTGCAAAGCCATCACTTGAAATGGTTATTGCCATAAAAAAACTCAAGAAAACCTGGTTAATCACGAAAATGATAAAATTAAGTAACTTTACCATCTCGTGCAATTTTATCAGCATCGATGATGGGAATTCCCAGATCGGCCAGCATCTGGCTGACCGTAGATTTTCCCGTTCCCACATTGCCAGTCAATCCCACCAGAAACATTCTTCCACAGCATCCACACTTCAGGCAAGCTATGAAATTCCGCTTATAAAAAGTACGAGTACAGATATAATTAATCGCCTATAGTAAAAACGTGCTTGGAAGTACTGTAGTGTTCAGTGTAAAAAAGAAAGCACGCAAAGAACAATTACCAAACTACGAAGAAATCCTGGAAAACTGGTGAAAGATTAGAACAGTTAAACATACATGCTTAGAGTTAAAAATATAGGAGCGTCCACTAACAGCCTAAAAAAGAGTGAAAAACATCGAATGAATTATTTATTATGAACACCAAAAAAAAGCGAAAACTAAAAGCCACAGAAGCTTTAGTGGCGGGGCGAGCTGTTAACACCAACTAGTCGGGAAAGCCGCTTCGCCTCCGTACGCCCTCGATATTGAAAGTGTTACAACTTACCTGGAACTGCTTCAACCCGCCTCGACCGCAGAATTTTGTGAGCCGCAAAAACGGGAAAATATTTCTCGCTGACTCTCTCCCTGAAATCATACCATCTCCCGTTTCCCCGTGTGATCCGTTGGTATGTTAATTTAATTTTGAATTTTCAGACCTTAATGGCATATTTCTGACAATCTTTCAGGACTCCCTCCCAGCCAACCCCTTTACATGCGCCGCTCTGGGAACAGCTGTTCATCGCTTGACGTTTAAACCGTCGTTTTCTGCGTTTCCCCAACCAGGACCTGGTTATCCGATTTTTTTATCATGGCCACATCCATGTTTCTGCAGCCTGCGCGATTCTTCTCCAAGAAGGCCGGAATTAATCACGTCCTGGTGATCGGCGGCGGGTTGATGGGCTCCGGAATTGCTCAAGTAGAGTCTTAGTAGACGCAGTCGCGAGTCGTATCTGCATCATTTTCCTGTTCCTGCATGCAGTTATCTGTCGTGTAGGTTACGGCGGCGGCGGGAATGAAAGTCACACTGGTGGATCAATCACAGGATATCCTGAAAAAATCCCTTACGGGCATCGAGCAGAGCCTGAACAAGATCGCCAGCAAGAAATTCGCTGATGATCCCCAGGTACTAATCCGTTTATTTACACAGCACTTCTTTTTTTTTGGAAAAAATAATAAAAATTATCTTTAAAACCTAATAAATAAAGTTTAGGAATATGAAACAATTTTAAAATTGATAACCATATAACTTTTATTTTAAATAGCATACGATCGTATAATAATATATGAAATAAGTTACTTTGTAATTCGTGATCGTTTTGTTGATTAGAAAGGCAAGGAATTCGTCAAGAACACCGTGTGCCAGATTGAGACGGTAACCGATCCGGAGCAGAATGCACGGCATGCTGATCTCATTGTGGAGGCCATTGTGGAGCGGATGGAGCCGAAACAAGCGCTGTTTAGTAAACTGGATAAAGTCGCTGCCAAGTACGTAACTGCTGACGACACAGCGCTTCAGTTTCAAGAAATAAATATTAGTTATATTTTCAGTTTTCATATTTTCGAAATAATTGTTTCTTAAAAAATAATCAAACGCCGATACGGCAAATAATTGGTGAATTCGATTTAACAAATGTTCTTGTCTTTTGCTGCGCCAGATTGTTTAGTTTTCGACGGTAGCGTAGTGTATGGGCTATACTATCACTATTTCTCCGATCGGGTTGCAAAGACATTTCATCAGTATTATGAATTTTGTGAGGGCATTAAGCGAATTATTATAATTTTTGGTTACCTTTTTAACCTTTTTAGGGCACAGAAATGTTTTTTTTTCGGCATTTGACCGTTTTAGCTTGTCATCTTGTAAGAATTATGCGGGTACAAACTCTCCGCAGCCGATTTTTTCACAAATTGTTAACTTTTTTTCCATTTGCCATTAATTGGATTTAATAACCCAGATTCGATTTGCAGTCATACAATTTTCGCCAGCAATACTTCTTCGCTTTCCATTTCTGAAATTGCCTGCGCCACTAAGCGCAAGGATCGCTTTGGAGGACTGCATTTCTTTAGTCCGGTAGGTCTTAGGCTGCCTCCTTTCAAGATCTCGTGTTTGCTGAAGTTGGAACATTGAACATGATTGTCTGTTTACTAGGTGCCGATGATGAAGCTTGTCGAGGTACATACCTACATCTAAGTTTCTGGGCAAAAACTGTAACCGCCATAAATATAATTGTTGTGAGTGTCGCTCTGTTTGTTTAGGTGGTTAGGATCGCCGAAACCAGCGATGACACATTTAATCAACTGGCGGATTTTTCCAAACGCGTGGGAAAAGTGCCGGTTGCTTGTAAAGTATGGTCGAAACTTACACAGTTTCGCGTTAACAAACTGGCTACTTGGTTTTACGCGTTAACAAACTAATTATTCTTCATCTGATCTTTGTTGGTTATGTTTTGTAACCTTTTATTTTCTCAGTCGGCTTGGTTAGATGTGTAATTTATGCTCATTTGTTGCTTTGCTTACTTTTTAGTTTGTACCGAATCGCAGGCGATGGCAGTGCGCTTTTTTTGTGCCGTTTTTATTTCGTAATTAGATTTTTCTGTCTGTACAATGATGCAGAAAATTCTTGCACGTGTCATTTGAGCCTTCGCACCGTGGTTTGCGATTAATCCTCTTTTTCTGCGCAGGATACACCAGGTTTTATCGTCAACCGTCTCCTGGTGCCCTACATGATGGAAGCCGTTCGGATGTTGGAGCGCGGCGATGCCAAAGCGGAAGATATTGACACCGCCATGAAACTGGGCGCCGGATATCCAATGGGACCGTTGGAATTGGCGGATTTTGTGGGATTGGACGTGTGTAAAATGATTATCGATGGTATGCGATGTCAGCGTTGACAACAGCGGATGCCGGTTTTAATTGTGATGCGTTTTTTAGGTTGGCACAAGGGCGATCCTAATCAGCCATTGTTCAGCCCGGTTAAGACGCTGGATAAGTTGGTGACGGAAGGTAAACTGGGCCGGAAAAGTGGGCAAGGATTTTTTGATTATAAAGCCGCACAACAAGCCAAAAAGAAATAAGATTTGTCGTCAAAAAATGATATATCAAATGAATGTTTTTCGACTCAGCAATAGTGTTTTCTTGCTGCCGCAATGCAGTATTCATTCATATTTAATTTAGGAATTTCGCGTTGCAGAAAACGTTTTTATCAATTGCTTTGTCTTGTTACTTCTTCCGCAGTGTGCGGGCTGCTGGCTCGGATTTGTTTGTTGATAATGCTAAATTAAATCATCGTCGATGTATTGAGGAATAGCGGATCATATGGCTGTGAGACTTGTGGCAGATTCTCCTTTCAGCAGTATCAACATTTTTGATTGCTACAGTACAAGACCGTTATCGACACGTATGGATACGTATCATCGTAGTACATGGGATACTTCCATAAGCGTGAAACTGTGTAAGTATTATTATTATTATCATTATTATTGATAGATTATTATTATTATTATTATTAGTATTGCTATTGATTATCGTAACTCGTGAGTTTATAACTGGGCATTGTAATCCATATTTTTTTTGCAGTTTTGCTTATCGTAAATAGATATATATCCGTCAGTTTTTTTTAATGATAATAATTTCTTGTATAGCCTGTAAAGATATAGCATTATTTATATGAGAAAATCATGACGTGCAACCTTACTCACACACATACTTACCGTACCGTCTGCATTCTGTAGTACTTTGTATCTGCTTCATAGTGCGGAATCTGAGTATTTACTATATACAAATACTTATGTATATAATATAGATATACTTATGTATATATATATTTGTAGATATATATACATAAGTATCTTACGTTTTGTGTTAGGTTACTGATTAAAATTATTATCCAGCTTTCACGTTTACGGCCGCTGGTATTTATTCACCTTTGGTATAACGTACAATTAAACACTTTAAAACATCGCAAAAGTTTTTTACAACATTAAGATTTCATTAAACTTTTCCGCTGGTATTACCTGAACGGTGCCACATTTCTAGATGTCTAATAATAGTTTTGGGGCAATTTTTTCTGTCCTTGTGTTCTGAAAATTTTCTGTAATTATACAAAGCGAAAGGAATAAAATATTGCTATAGATTGCTGTTCTTATCTGCTTGACTTCGTGAATTTGGTAATGCCGTTTGTAAAAAAATTAAACTTACATTCTTAGTTCTAAACGAAAGTGTGACGCATCCTGCCGAAACCATGTTTTTTTGTTCCTTAAATGAATGCTTCGTATGCACGGAAAGCGAGCGGAATTTGTTAACAAGCTGATAAATGGAATTCGCATAAATTACACAACAGTTACTGAATAGTCACGTGAGTATTGCCATGCTGGATTATTATAAAATAAATTCGATGTGAAAATGAATTCGATGTTGACAGGCATGAATTTATCTTGTAACTCAACGAGTCTGGGGTCAGCTCGGACACAGCAGGAAGCGCCACTGTACTCTTTCACTTTCGAAATTTCCGTCGCACATAATTTTTTTCGCAGCAATTAGCATAGTAGTTGTGGAAGATTCATCGCTAACAACAGTACTTGGCGGACCACTTGAAGTTAGCGTTGTGCTTTTTAAAAACGTCTACGCTTTAACAGTGTGATACCGGCACCGTGTATATAGTGCCGATCAGCAGTGCGTGACTTAGCGTTTCCAGCCCCGGCATAATATTATATTATGTACATAAAGGTTCTTTGGTGCGATGACTATCTTGGTTAGAAAACCGGAGTTATAACGACTGCCTGGGAGCCATATTTCAACGGTAGGAGATCTGCCATTAACTTTAAATTCCTTTACCTTTAATATACTGCACTTCGGCATTCCGCACTGGATGGTGCTGTCATGCACCTCGAACAGAGCTTATCCAAACCGGTCCTCAATATATTGTCAAAATCTGACTACTATTATTAATGAATTTTTATATTCGGTGTGGTGCAATAAGGGGAATAAGTTACCACATATTATGTGGAACATTAGCAATTCCAGTTAAGCGAGCCGATGCTTACCGAGTACTATATAACATAGATCTCCGCAGAAATAAAATTAGTTTCTAAGCTGGGAGGTCTTGTAATTATTTTTACTTGTTAGTTGTTTAATTAGCAGAAAATGAGATGCTCTGCACTTTATGCATGTGCATATGCATTTGCAAACCCAGCCATGTAAAATCGGTAGTTTCTTTTGTCAACACAAAGCTTACGCTTCGCTTAATTTTAAAAGGTCAACAGCTAGTATATGTATTTAAATTGCCAAGATTGTACATGTGGTATGCGCAAAAAAGTTGTAAGTGTTTATATGATCAAACTTTCGAAGAAATAATATTTCGCTTTGCAATGCTAGCAGTGCAGTTAAGTTTGTAATAAAAATTGTAGTACCAGTATTGTGCAGCTAGCCGGCGAACTGCATGGTAGTGTACTTGTACATGTGACAGAACTATTGAGTATTATAATCATATTATTGTTTGCTTTTGAATAATGTGGCCACTGCTTTCAGTTCATTACTGCCGTAGTTGTAAATGTTTCAGCTTGTACTTTTTAAAAATGAATAAGAATGTATAGCTAATAGTAATGCGAAATATGATAAATTACCAAAGGATACCGTTATCCAATCCAATACTACACACTGTTTAACGGTATATTTTGTATGGGGACTTCCCATTCAAGGATCTGACGAATGACGAGCATATTATGCATGGATCGAAATCATCGAATAGTATTGTAAGTTCACGACTTCACCCAAACAAAATCGATGGAAAAAATACGAGTACAGTAATTCGCGTTTGCATCTAGACGTATTCATTTACAATTATGAAAATTACCGATTTAGGCCTCATACAAATTGTACGACTCCTATGTGTACTATGTTTACTTGTATACATTGATTAATAAAGCAACAATTCATTCAAAAAATTACGCAAAGGATTTCGTTTTAATTGGAACATTTATCGAGCAAGTGGAAGTCTACTACCGACCCCGGAATATAATTTCTTCATGCCCAAGATCGATATCATCATGATTTTAGAAAAAAGTATGAATAAATGCTATGTTGCACATACCGTAAGCGACACACTGCAGAATATCGATCCACGTCTCTGCAGTGCGACAGTGATCCTTGTAGTTTCGTGATGCGCATCTGATCCAAGATAACCGTGAGCACGGTATGAAGTTCCTATTGAACTCTGCTTCGGAATACCGAATAGGGGACCCATACCTGGCTTACGGTTGCTCTTGGTGATGCGACTGCACAGACAGCTAGACAACACACCGCTGTTCCGCAGTCAAAGAAAGACGCTTTTGTCTAAAGGTCATTCCCACATATAAACCCATCCGATGACAATTGCACGATTATTTAATGGCGGATCAGCAAATGAATACGCATGTGCATATAATTAGGAAACATCGAATACAAACATGCAGACCATAAAAACGGCATCACGATCGCCGACACGCCGGCATATATAAAACAATCAACAACGATAAAGTGCCAATAGATCCGACGCCGAGTGCGTCTATACACAGGACACTGTATTAACCAAAAACATTTTATTGACGGATGATACGAAGAGGTCTGATAAAGCTGTGCGAAGAGGCTGATATTAACGCAAAGGATGGCAATGAAATGAGCATTTCTTGGCAGAAAGTCTCTCGGTTCGGGTGTAGTCAGTTATACGGTAGACGACGATCGCGACGGTAATATCTCTCGCGGCAGGTAAATTTCGAAGACAGTGCGCAGCAGCAGCCTGACAAAAATGCCTAATACATTAGAGTTGGTTTAAGGTGAGGCATAAGAAGCATATACCGGCTCCGAACTAAAATGACCTATTGCTTCCGGGCAATTTCGGCCCTTTATTGTGCGGCGCATAGATGTATATACGCGCTGTCCAAAACGCTATTGTACATTTACCGGGCGACGATAAGGACGCGACGAAAAGGCAACTGTGTATATAATATGCGTACTGTATATATACGTGTGTGTGTCTGCGACTGGCCAACGAACGAAATGTACCGAAACGGCCCGTCAATGTGCGATGGCCCGCTGCGTTCAAATCCGCAGGTAGAAAAATTGTCTAGGCACCGGGATGAAATAGATAAATCGCCATTCTGTCTCCCGGGTTTATGAAAGGGATTCACTCTACGGGCCAAGGCAGACAAAACGCGACAATTTTGAACGGCAATTATTTCTATCCCAAGGATATTAGTGGCTACTGCTCGCTTAAAGGCGCCTGTCTACTCTGGGTATATGGCGATCAGAACCGGTATTGATGGAGTTGACGATTAAGCACTGCACGTCCCATTAAAATCGCATTTTCCACCGGCAAAATCCGACACAGTTTTACCTTTGAGCTGAGATGTTCTGTAAATGTTCAACAAAGTTCTTGCATGAGAAGAATACGATGTATGCCCATATTTACTTTCATTGCTTAAAAATTAAGTGAAGCCCCATCTCATAAAAATTATTTCACTTGTAATAAATCGATAATCAGAACTTTTAATTATGTGGTATCTACAGATAATGTTGTTCTGATTCTGTTTTATACAAATGCGCCTATAAGTCTATATCGACGATGGTGTTGTTGAGCAGCGACCGCTGATATTTGGCGGCAAAACCTATAATTTTATGTTCACTTGGAATCTGTATAATTTTATTATTATTATTTTTGTACTTTATTGATTTTCTTATACAAATTTTATTCATTTTTATTAGATTTGAATACCAGTAGCTAACGTACGAACGATTAAGATATTATCCCAGATACGGCATAAGGAAAAAAAATTGTAAGCGAGAAGCGAGTACAAAATGTTTATAAAAAGCGAAACATCTGTATTTACATGACAAAATTACCAGTATTCAGAATATACTCGTATATAAGCAGATCTATGGCAAGTTTTTTTGTTTGCTGATATCAAGTAATTAAGGCACTTGACACAGTTGTAAAGAAATTCGACTTCAGCCCACCCGAAGCGCTGCTAGGCGCCGGTGAAATCTAATAATAACAAGTTACAAACGATGCTTTACTGACTTTTTTGAAACTGCCAGTGAAACACATTTTTTAATTTAAGCCATCAGGATATTTGTATTGCAAAACTAAGGCAAACAATTGCCTCAAAATTCTTTCAGAAAACTAGAAAGAATTACGACAACTAGAAAGACGACAAGTGTATCTGTACCAGTTCGTTATTGCCGTATTTTCTCTCTTTCTTGGACTGGCACGTATTAGCTGCTTAAGTTAAGTGGGTTTTAATGTTCATTCCACCGATCGGAAAAAGGTCATTTTTATCGAATTTCATCCGATCAGTAGCAGTACATCGCTCGGTTGATAAGAATTCCACAGTAATCACTGTCGCTAGATATTAGCTACTTAAAACAAGAATTCCGGTTATTAAACCATCGCTAATTTCGCTGGGCAGCGACGATCAGACTCGGATTAATACCGGTGATTCAATACGCTGGAAGCGACAATTTCTGTGCAAGAGTTATGTGCACTGTGGTAATCAATGATTTCATATGAAAACCAGCAAAATCCTCGTCCATCAAAAGTAATAATTGTTCTCCTTGGCAGATCCCTCCAGCCATATATACACGATCAGACGCCGCTGTACGACCGTCCGGCTCCTTTTACACAACGACTGCACTGCACAAACAAAATTGCCAAAAATTACTGACAAGAAGCTATATGCTGTAATTTACTGTTATTGGCTTTCGAATCAAAAAACAATTTTGCTTTTCAGTTTTATGGACAACACCCATTTTATTCATAAATTTTACGATATAGATTCTGTAAAATTTTGTTTGTCCAATCTCTGCTTTCTCGCGAGGGCGGTCACTCTTCTATCACACTTGCAGATAGAGTTATCAGTTGCCTAAGTTTCCACGTAAATTACAGGGCAATAAAAATATAATGTGTTTGAAATGCATATTTTCTAACGAACTCTTTAACTTGCGCGATATACAAATGTGTAAAGGGATCCGTTCCTCACATAACGTGGCATTCACTACCCCATCACGATTTACCTTTGACGTGTAACAGTTGTGCATGTACAGAGTTGCAAAATTTTGCACAGAGTTGCAAAGTTGCAATACTGCGCATTGTAACTATTTTATTTTATATTACACTACGAATACAGTTTAAAACAGGATCAGTTCGGTGTAAGCATACACCAGAACACTGTTAAAATCAAAAGAATATTCGCTAATCCGATGACAGAGACAAACGAACACTCTCAACATCGTTAACACGCAATACTACCAGTCAACAGTCTCGGGAACCGGGAAAGAAGAATCACAGTCAAAACATGGCTGGTTACGCCCAGCAAGAGCACAGAACGAAAGGAGAAATCGGAAGGGTAAAAGAATAATCAACAGATCATCGAAGAAATACACCGGACGGTTTGTTTTACAAAGCCACAAAGATTTTCTGCCAGTACATCCAGACAGAAATCAGCCACCACATTCCCGTTGTCCACAGCGCCATAAACAGCGACCCGGAATGCGTTTGCGGCATGCCCCACCAAAATGGAAACATGTTGTCCAGAATTTCACTGCCGATGTACAACACCTACAAAGCGACGAAACAATAGCAAACCAAAAACTGAATAACACACAAAGGCGGCAATTTCCGGTCTGCGTCAAAAGTTTAGTACGTCTACATCTAAAAACTGCAGTAAAACATTCAACATACCGTAAGTATGGCAAAAATATCGCACTGAATGATGTTACAAATAAGCGCTGCATTATAAAGATTTTGTTCATGAAACTGTAATATTTGGATACGTTAATTCCCGAAAACAATTTTACAAAACTTTTTGCGCATAAAAAAACATGTACAAGTAAATTTCCAAATATCAAAACAACCAATCCGACCTTTTGAAAAATAATTTTAATTGGGAAGGAAAAAAACATTATTAAAAGATCTGATTGCAATCTAAACCCCAACGACTACAAGAAATCTTGTAAACTGGAAAAACCGGTTTGTAATTACAGCGCAAATACTCAAATTGGTCAATTTCGACAAGCGCAAAAGCATGATTCTTACAATGGAGTTGACGGAGGGATAATGGAAGGGCGTACCACTCCAGACGTTCTGCACATCAATCACGTAGTAGAGCAGCGCCAACAGGATCATACCGAAAGAGGCCGTGGTGAGGATGAAGGACAGCGACCAGAGATTCTTGTTCACCGGTATCCAGCCGTCGTTCTGCGAGAAGCCGCACAGACCACCGGCAATCAGGCCCAACACGATGCCCCACACCACTAGACGGATCAACTTCTCCTTGTGATCGTCATATAGATATAAAATTCGTCCGGCCTGTTGAAAACAAACATGTGCACCGAATATTAAAGCTGTGTAATAAATCATTGACGAAAATCTTAAAATCTGTTCCCTTATCATATTTCAGGAGTGGTTGATAACTACAGTACATTCGAAATGCCTTTTGTAACAATCAGCGTAAATTGCGAAAATAATTGCGAACCAATTGACTTCAATTAGCAAAACCATTTGCACCGATGTGGGTAGCAAAAAACTCACCTGAACGCCAAGAAACACAAGAAAAGTACTGTTGAGGTATCCCAGGATTCCTTCCGGATCAAAAGCGATACACTGGTAGACAGCCCGGCAGGTTGGCCACTGGTAAATGTGGTTTTCCCCCAGAATGTACCTATCGATATATCCCGCTGCTCCACCGGTACAATTTTCATACGCCCGGTTGTGATGCAGTCCACCTGGACCCATGTAGCCTCTGATAAACAAAAACATCTTCAAATTACCTTTAAATTCAGTTCCAAAATACTAACTTGAACTGCTGTAATCAAAAGAGGACAGTTACGTACATGTACGAGGTATATCTTCGATCAACCGATGATAAAGCTGCTAAAATTTAATTATTACTGTATAAAATTTTCATTTCTGAAGTAGGACAAAAAAGTTAAATTTTAACCATTTAAATGTGCTACAATTATAACCGCTGAACAATGCAGGTCGAACTCCCTTTAGCCGCAACACTACGACACATCTTGCATGCATAGCTTTTATATCATCTCTAAATATGCCCGCATTGCACGTTAATTTTGGCGCCGGTTCAAATGATAAATCACGCGATGCATGAGCATGCCTATTTCTTAATTACCGTGGACAACCAGGAACTGGGAGAAGGAAGGTAAACAGCAGCTGACCAAGAGGAAACAGCATGCTGAACAACGCCGTCGGCCAGAACGGTACGATATCGCGCAAGAAACGCCATCGCGTAACCGTCTGCGCGGTTTCCATTCGCTGCACGAAAATTAGTTCACATGCGGCCACGAAGAAATAAGAAATACTGAATCGCCCCAATACAGATAACAGTCGCAGCTCCCAAACGGATTCTGAAAACACAACCAATTAAGGGGCAAAAAAAACACGCGGAAATGGCGAATGTTCCGTAATCAAAAGAATGAAAATGAACATGCAGCATCAAAATGTGTAAACTTTTACCCTGAAAACATTTTACTCGTATAACTGGACATTAAACTATAAACAAATCCAAAATTATTTTATGCTGGAATAAACTTAAAAGTAAAATATTTATACACGTGGAAATTATGGCATAATATAAATTCGCGAAACTTTAACGAATCCAGGTAATACTCACTATATCCGATAGAATTAATCATCAATCCAAACAGGAACAGCAAACACGTCCGGCGTATAATATTCCACCACAACGTTCTCATTTGGGCGGTTTTGCGGGCCGCTGATCGCATGGATATATTAATGGCCACGCCCATAATGAACAAGAACCAAGGAAAAACTAAATCCGCCAAATTCAGCCCGTTCCACATGGAATGATTTAAAAACCAGTAGCCGCCCGCGCCGCAATTAACGAAGATCATCAGCAGAATCGTTAAACCCCGGAAACAGTCCAGCGATCGCAAACGCCGACTGGGCGGCGGAGCGGTCAGTGTGGCGTTGCTGCCATCGCTGGATGTGGAGGAGGAACGCTCGGAACTCTAACAGAAGAAAAATGAATTATTCCTGCAAATCTGCTTGAAAATTTTTATTAATTTTTCAGTACTGCATTTCTGCGTTATTTATACGACTCGTAACCATTTTAAAAATTGCTCACAGTCGTTATTTTTGCAGGAGAAAATTCACAATTAAAGAAAGAATCGTTGCATGTTAATACTGTATACTTTATTACAAGCGTTTCTCAGATGACAAAGCGAAGACAACCCTTTACACTACGCTATCATTCCCGCAAATTAAAGTATCCCAAAATAACCAGCTGGTCGGACGACTGAGAATTCTCAGTACTTAATAATTTAATAATACAGACGTGTCTTCATCATAAGGTTGTCAACGTTACATTTATTTATTCAATTTACGGAGGTCGTGAAAATTTCGCAACAGCTGTAAACAAACATTTAACTCTGAATATTGCATAAAAACTTCAAATTATTCACATTGTACAGTAGTAAACCAACAACTTCAAATTATCAAAACGGGAAATTACAATGCCGCTCGATGGTGCAAAAATTTGTAGTAAAATGAAAAAAATCAAGAAAAACTTTCAAAAAACTGGAAAAATCAATGAACGCTTTCTCACCGAAACGAATGCAAAACGATGCTCGGACGGTAGGGATGAGCGGAATCTCCTCAGCAGGCGCTCTCCAACGTTATAAATAATTATTCCTCCCAATATTAACCCCAGAAGAACGTACAACGCTGTAAAATGAAAACCCACAAGACTGGCGAAATTTTCTCGAATTGTTGATGATAATAAAAGATAAAAGTCAATACTCACGCGTATACGCGCTGTGACTGTTCTCCTCTTCCACAACCGAACAGTTCGTTGCATTTAAGGGTCCCGTGGACACTGTCAGATGGTATCTTCCATATTCCCACAGCCGCCGCTCAAATCTTAAAAAGTAGAAAATTAAAAAAAATTAATTTAGAAATCACAGGAATTTATAATTTATTTTTCGATTTTTATTTATTTTTATTAATATTTTGATCGATTTTTTTAATTTTTGATTTATCGCACCTGCACAGATCTTGGATGCCGTTGGTCACGGCAAACTTCCAGCGATACTGTGTACCAACAAGGACCGAAGATTCCTTTCCAGGAGCCGCAGATGCAAGTGCGACCAATGGACACTTTAAAAAACAAGAAAATATTTTATCGGAATTTTCGCCCTGATGATTATGGCGATCCAAAAATGAAAATGTTCCCCACGTTCCCATACCTCCTCGCATTCCTCAACCTGTCCCGTTAAAGTTACGGGAATTTTCAAGGAATTAACGATAAAAAACGACGCAGTATCCATGGCGGTGGTGTCGGGATAGCGGACGGCACCGTGGATAACACCGTACTTCTTCGCTGTGATCAACTGCTGCGGTTCCGTGAATAATTTGGCAATACCAGCTGTACAGCATACAGCCACCAGGCCCACCACACTTGATAACAGATTAAAATGCTGGGTCCGCATTCAAAATATACACCACATGGATGCCAAAGTTCCTAATGAAAGAGGCAAAGTGAGATAAAAACCCTGGGCTAGAAAACGTGATGCAAGAATCAAGTTCCAATTCGTACAAGCAGGAACAAAAGATGCAGAGCATAACAACACACCCGTGCCATCGAGTGACGTAAGCCACATAGTGTCACAACATCGTAGCGTAAAGGCAGAAATCTAAACGATATTATGAGCTTACGCACCATGCAATAATAACACAAAGAACTTGCCTTGTGCAGTTGTGTTGATAAAATTAATGATAAATCATATTTGCTATTTTCAAAGGTTTTAAAATATAACATGATAATTGTTACAGAATACAGAAATGTTTTTATGCAGCTTTTAATTGCCGTTGTTCTGTGAAATTTTGTTAAGCCGCACGTTCCAAACTTCCAAGCTTGTCTGTTTTCTGACACTGTTTATTCAGAAACTGCTTAATTTGTTTAAAAGTACACCTAAAATTAACATTAAGCTGAGAAAATAAATCTTGGCTTTTTATTAGCGCTCAACGTTATCACTCAGATAGCGATTGTTAGTAAAAATCTGTGATATATGAATAATGCAAGCCTTTCTTTTTATGATAAACCACATTAGGGTAGGATAGGATTATGTTATCAAGATAACCCATACCACCGGTTACAGAAACCTAATTATTTGAAGCGAGTACATGATTTCAGCAGCATTCGAATGTCAGTAAAGTTGCAAACTGACTTGCACGGTTGTAGACCGATTTGGTTAATTCCGTTGCGCTGACGGTTGTTTAAATTCATAATTAATCAAACTGACCCCACCGTACAAGGAGTAACTTTATTAAAATACCAAATACAATGTATATAATTAAGAAATACAACCGTGCTACGATAGACAAGAATATTATCTGCAAATAATATTTCATCAAACAGGTATCTTGAAACTCTACCAAAGCACATCGAGTCAAGCATCAACCAAAAACGACAATTTCAATCAAAAAAAGAAGTCGGACAACTTCGTTCACTGCCACCGCACTGCTTAAAGGTAGAAGAATATGCGCATTCGAAAATGATATCGCAAAAAATCCAGAGAGAGAAAAACCGCCGCACCAATGCCGAAGAAAATGCTGCTTACAAATCGGGTAGTTTTCACGGTTTTGGTCGTATACCAGCAGTAAACAACTTTCATCCATTTTTGTTTTATGACACACTTATATGGGCCGCACTGCAGGACAACGTTGTTTGTAAAGACGGGGATGATTTTGAAAAAAAAAATTACGACGGGAACGGACACATCAGCGGGCGCACAATTAGCTGACATATTAAAGATATTAGGCTGGATGGAAAAAAATGTAACGCCAACGCCTACTTGTGAAAAGTGTTTTGAAAAAATTGCTTCAAGTCTTCGAATGTCAAGCTTTCATACAAACGATGTTAGTCTCCATTACATTACGCAAAAATTCAGGCAATAAGACGTTCAAAGGAAAAACTTGCGGTGAAAATTCAGTCAAAATCATGCAAAGTAGTGTCTACAATTTCCGGGATTTCACATCGGCTGACGATCTCTTCCGGAATACTGTGGAGATGTTTTCAAATTAGCCGGAGTGTCCATAGCCGCGCCACCGGAACGGATGTTCGATCGGTTAGACATTTGAAACTGCAATAACAGGAGAACATTACTGCGATTTTGTGGGTGAAATATACTCAATCCTAGCAATAGCTTTTCGCTGGAGAACCTGGGTTTCACCATATCTGTTACATGAACAGATTAATCACTCTATGACACAAAAAGATCAGTCTGACCGTTACAACCGACCAAACTAAACATCTTTCCGCATCAAAAAATTGTGAAACCGACTAACAGCAGCTGCAAAAACTGCAGTTATTGTCAAAAGTTAATCATACCTGCAATGGCTCCATGTTATGCATCATATTATCGTTCATCATATTGGAACCATAGGAAAAGAATCCAGTGTTTCCATTCCATCCGTACGAATTATTACCAACGACGACAGGAGGTACGTCGTTATGGTATTTGTTCGCCAACAGGCGTGATCCATGGTGTTGTAAAGGTACATTTGGTCCCTGTAATTACAGCACACATCATTATTTTCGAATACTTTAAAACTGTAAAATAATTTTGAAATTTTTTCCGAATTTTCATAAATTTTAAAGCTACTTTTGCAGTTTGTCGGAAGCCAGACTGAGAAAAATCTAGTAAAAACTTCCATATTAATTCACAACTGCCTCAGATTTTCAACCAGCACTTGCTTTGAACGTGAGTGATAAGAAATTCAAATTTTCTCATTTAACAAACTATTACATTATTAGATGAAACAGGAGATTAAATTACCTTATAATACGTATTACATGAAACTGCACACAAAACACTTACAGCATCCCCAAATCCAAGATCTGGCGCATCCATCATACCATTTCCCGCGAAGGGCATGCGTCGATACGGATCCATGTTGAACATGGCGTGCTGACTTCCGTGCTCCAATTCCGCCAGTGTGGCCGCCAATCCCAGCAGCTTCTCATCCACCACCTCCTTGGGATAGTCCTCCATACCGCCACCAAATCCATTCTGCATCCACATCCCGTTGTCATTGTCCATATCGCCCAGATGGGGCATCGGGCGGAAGGCGGCTGAGGGATCACCGTTCGGGAACGCAATACCGGGAAACGCGTTGAAATTATCCACACCTCCGCCGCCGCCGGCGGGATACCCGGTCGGGCTGATGAAGCCATTCATTCCACCATATCGACTGGCGTCTCCGTTATTCAGGACACCGCGGTTAACACGGGGTTCCGGTGGTAAAGAGGAGGGGCGCGTCGAAGGGAAGGGTTGGTAAGTGGAGGTCATAATGTCCGCTGATAGATGATTGGAGTTCGGCCGGCCATCGCCTTGGAAGCTGGCGGCCGCGGCGTTGGCGTCAAAAGCCGCACGAAGGATTCGCGATTCTTTGGGAATCTGGTATGTCTGAGCAGCAGCTTCCGGCTGAACCGGGACATTTGCCGGCGAATCCTAAATCATGTCATTATCACATTAATATAACTTTATTTCAAATTAATTCAAATCAAATTAACGTACTTAATGAAATGCAAAACTCGAAAACCATAAAGTAAAAAACTGATTACGATATATAATTCCAGCCCAAAACTTAGCGGAACCTACCTTGGCAAAGAAGTCGACATCCACATTCCAATTATGACGTTCCGACACCAAATCCTTATACAAGGTACCAAACAAACCATGGCCTTCCTGTGGTTTAGGAGGCTGGGTGGGAGACGTCTTCGTCGGTTCCGTCGGCGGAGCGGGCGTGGCAACTGGCCGCGATGATGACGTCGAGCTTTGACTACCGCCATCCGACTGCGACGCCGCGCGAGCCATCACGGTGGTCACCGTCCGATCCGTCTGGCTGGGAGAGGTCAACGTCGGTGCCCAGGAGCTGGTCGGCACCATCCCGCTGATGCTGGACGACGGGCTGCCCCGGTTCGACGTGGAGGCCGCCGAGTTGGCAGCGCTCAGCGCCGGGCTGATGACTTCCCGGTCGACGGTGGCAGAGACGGCCCGCTGTCCTCCGGATTCCTGACTGCTGGACTCCTTACTGGATGTCGAATGGACCGAGGAGCGCTTCTGATTATTAGCCAGGACACTGGAGTAGTTTTCCACCGGTGGCGGTGGCACGGGCGCCGCGGCCGGGGTCGCCGGCGTCGGTGCCGGAGGCGTACGGTGATGAATCTGGCTGTTGGTGAAGACCTGAGTGGACATGGTGGTGGATGCGCCATGATGATGACCGGCTTGTTGTTTGTGGCGGCGATCGGATTCCGCGTTGGCCGGGGGATGATGCTGCTGTGGGGGCGGTGGAGGGGGCTGCTGTTTCCCAACAATATTGGGCCCGGTTGGGACGGCGGCCGGCTGCATGTCGTTGCGCATCTGGTGCGTCAAGGCCGCGGAATCCCGCTTACTCTCGCTCAGCAGCTCATCCAAATCGCGATCCGGATGTGTGGAGAGGGTCTGGATGATGTAGCAGGCTTCCGCCACGGCTTCACTGGTGCCCTTCACCGTGATCAGGCGTTCATTGATACCGGGTTTGTTCTTCTCGATTTCAATGTGCGCTTGGGTGGACGCCCGGATGGCGTTGATGTTGTTGCCGCCTTTGCCGATAATGCGGGCAATGGCGGATGTCGGCACTTTGAAACGTTTGGAACGGCCCACCACTTCCTTCCATCCTTCCTGCTTCAGGGCGATCGTGGCATTGGCCGGGGCGCGTCGCAGCTCGATTTTTCGGTCTGGGGTCCATGGAAAGCCCCGGAAACCTAATTTAAAAAGGAACAATTAAAACAGAAATAAATAAATAATTAACTACATCTACTCTTCATGATTATTATAATATTAACTGATACATTATATTAATTAATAAGTAAATACTGTTATTAACAAATAATTACCTTCTGTGATTTGGAACGCTGTTGCACCCATTCATCAGCGCTAACATCCACTCCTCGATCGCCAGCCCGGGCATCGTTTTCATCAGCACCACCGTCATCCGATTCCGCCGGTGGTTCCGGTACATGCGTGGCTGGTGCCGTTGCTGGTCGCTTTCCGGTAACCGTTTCAGTCTTCATCATCGTCGACTCCTTGACCGGCGCGGAAATCACGGCCTTCCCTTTCTGCAGCGTTTTCACGTTCTTCTCAGTGTCCTGGAGGTTGATCTGTTTGATTAAGTTGGAGGCTGCAACAGCCAATTCCGGTATGCTGGCCTTGCGCGGAGCGGGCGCAATGGGAGACGGCTCGGGGATGGCGTTGGCCGCATCCGGGGCGGAGGTGGTTTTGGCTTTCTTGGCACGCTTCTTCTTACGTTTCTTCGCCTTAGCATCGTCATCGTCGCCGTCGTCAGGCTCTTCTTCAAAAGCTTTCCCATTCACCGCACTGTGAACGAGGGGAAGTGTTTCCGGTCGCATAACGCTCCCACTGCGTGAGTGCGCCGCGCTGGGGGATTTGGAATTCGGCTCAGAATCGTTGGTACGTGCGTTGGATGTGCCCGTAATGGAGGAATCGTCACTACACAAACAGATCGCCAATTTAAACCACTGAATGTTGCAATCATAAAAGAATTAAGAAATATGACGAAGTGTTTCCTTCACACTTACTTGATACTTCACTTCCAGTATTATAATTTTTTTCTAGCTTTGTTTCCATTTAATAGTAGCATAATTTATAATTTGCGTATTTTATTTACATTCACCATCCGTTAGTATAATAGATAACATAATAGTTATCTTTGTTCATCTGCAATCCATTTTTGAATATCTGTAAATAGTTATTAATCGACTTTTCTATTAAACAGTGTTATACTCACTCGTCATTCTTGCCGGTCTTTTTCTTCTGCTTTTTCTTATCCCGCTTCTTAGCACGCTGACCTTCCTTGGTTTTCTGCTGTAAGTCCAGCTCTTCCAGTAGACTGCGCGCCTTAGCATCGGCTTCAGCTTCCTTCTTATGCTTGGCATCCAGGATGGCTTTCTTGCAGCGTTCGAAGACTGCCGACAGGTAGTTATTGTTTCCCGTCAATTTGATATCCTTGCAGTAGCGCGTCATTTCCTCTTCCGAGGGGTAGCAGCGGATGTGATCGACTAGAATCTTCACAATGTTCTCGTGGCCGCGCTTAAAGGCCGTCAAAATGCAGCTCATTTGACGATTATCACGGGCATCCACATCGGCTTTACCGCTGGCAACTAATGCGCGCACACAATCCAGATGTCCATTTTGGCACGCTAACCATAGGGGACTGCAGCCTTTCTTATTACGGACATTAATGGCGGCATCGCTACAAATACAATCAAGATTTACTATAGTTAGAATCAGAAGTACTGTACCTTATTACGCTGGTATTTCGGACATTGAAATGTAGGCAATATCGACAAGTAAGTGTTAGACCAAGAATCAAAATCTAGAAATTCAGAATGGATCATTCAAGAATTCGAAGAAATTAATCCAATTCTGCGTTACAAATTTGCTTACAACAACAATATTCTATTCAAAATCATTATTTTAATATTCAATTAATAATTAATTTTATCGATTGCCTTGAAGGTTAGATGAACTTACTTATCAATGAGAAGTTGCACGAATTTGGCATGGCCTTTCTCAGCGGCAATGGTTAAGGGGGTATCTTTCGTGCTGGGCACAGGAGCACAGTTGACTTCCGCTCCGTTTTCCACCAGGATTTTGCCGATCTCGAAGAAGCCGCCGTTGGCCGCCTCCATCAGGGCATTTAACCCATTCTGCAATCATCGAAGATAATCTCCCATTAGAGCGTTTTTTTTCAGTTACAAGAAAAAAACGCGGACAAACGCTGACCGACCTTTGATCGCCATTCGAGATTAGCGCCTTTCTCCACGAGCACCCTAACACACTCTGTTCTCCCTTGGAAGCAGGCGAGGGTCAGGGCGGTGTTGCGGTTAGTCTCGATGCATTGATTCACATCGGCACTGTTCTCGATGAGGAGCTTGACAATGGTCGTATGGCCATTCATCGCCGCCAGCATCAGCGGGGCAATACCGAGTTTGGTGCCACTACACAAGATAAATACTCAATCAAACAAAAATCAGAATTACGCAGATACATATTCATACGGTTTATTAACTCCGAATTACAGCAATTTACCTGCCGTAAATATCGAATTAAATAGAATACTTAACAAAATTATTGATATTAAAAATATTAAATAAATTTGTAATAGCGATATAATAAATAATAATAAAATAAAGTAGATACAAAGTGAGCGAAAAAAAACCCAAAAAAACATGTCAAGATTTCTTTGATTTTTTTGCAGCGAAGTAGTCCAATAAAATTTGGGTCATTAATATTAATTATGCGGCAGTTTTTCCACCGCTATGTACGGGAACATGAGTTTAACGAAGCCCCCCACTACCCCTGCTGCTTGGGGCTGCCAGGGGGAACACTATTATAAACGTTCTCCAGCATTTTGAGGCCCTTAAACCCCTGCTAACCACCTGGAATCTCCATACAGATTATCACCAGGATATTCCATGGACGCGGCCGCCGCGGCCCTCGCCTCAGCCATAAACCGTTCAATATCATATTGCGAACCAATATTCCCAATCAGATCAACCAGCCGTTTCTCCTTTCAATATTCCCCCACAGATTCCCCGACCACAATGACATGAGCGACTCCATGGTCTGCGTACTAGACTCCACTTTGGCCATGACATTATCTAGCCGCGCTGCACAATCACTACGAACCCGGGCATCTAGGGCGCCCGCAGGGGCTTCATCATCACGGGCCATCTTCTGGCATTCGGAGCAATTGGTACAGGTATTCGGGCTGCCAGTACTACCATTGATACTGGCAGCCGCTGCCGTCGCCGCCGCGGCACGACTTTGAGCGATGGTGTCTTGAGCATGCTGACGCATATCCAGCATCAGCTTCTCATAGTGGAGGAAGAACTTTTCGAGATCACCGAGAAACCTGTGCAGTTCGTCCAGGGGCGAGGCGAGCAGATGGACATGGGCCACTGCTTTGAGAAAGACATGGAATTTGGACAGGAACAGCCCATCACCGTTGGGATAGTGCCAGAATTCGCACAGGACAAACGTCCGCATCTCGCGGACCCGCGCATCCAGCAGAAGCGCATTGATACTGCCATCGAGCGCGTGCAGACGCTCAATGAAGGGACTATCGAGATCCAAGAGGAAGCGCTCAAAGAGCGTAAAGGAATAGTCCACACGACTGACGCGCGCTGGCGGCGTGGTGGGGACGGGTGGAGATCCCATTTGGAAGATTGTTAGGGGGAGGGAGAATATGGGGGAATCAGATCAACAATAACAAGATTCGAAATTTAAAAACTAAAAAACAACATCAACAACAATGGGACGGAGAGTGTGAGGGACGACGCATGATGGTGGTGCGTGAATGAGTGCGTAAAGTGTGGAACCACACCATCGAATAGCACAACACACACACAGCCAGCCGTCTGTTTGGAAACGAGCAACTGCATTCTGCTGCTGCTGGACGCGAGGTTTGTGAGTTTAGCGTGCTGTTCCGCGAATTTACTGACCGGTCGGCTTCCAACCGGTACAAAGTCGAGCCGTTCCATAAACGTATTGAGTAACCCGTTAATAATCTTTCTCGCTACATCTTATCTCAAATTATCATCTTGATTACCAATCTATTAGCATGAAATTTTTAAGTTCATTAATTTTTTTCTAAAAGTGGGTGTCAGTGGATTGAAATTATTATCCGCATTTTGTGTTTCGTTTGCGCCATTTATTTCGGCCAGTCGGCACGGCTTAGATTGAAAATCGGTTGGCCCAGATTCATCATCAGTCACCGAACTCGTGCGTACAACCAATCAGAAGCCAGCGTTCAACAATGCCTGATCGAAGCACGCCTACGTCTGTTTAAACCGCAAGTAGCAAGCGATCAGACCCACCCACTCCTCTCCACCTGCATTAGTTTTTTCTATTCAGCATTTTTTCTATTCAGCATTGGTTTCCGTTCGTAAAACTTAAACGGCCGTTTGTTTCTGTTTTGTCATACAAATACAACATCAGAATTTACTTGTTCCGTAACAAATTGTGCAAACTACAATTACTAGTTATTACAGAACAAACACAATTTTTTTCGCAACAGAAACTGATGAATTTTTCTACAAAAGTATTTTAATATCGAAATCACAGCACCCGTACAGTAAAGTGCACCGTTCAGCAAGTAAAAATATCGCTACCACTTACGATTAGTTGCTTGGCAACAGAATTTACTAAATTTATCCAAATAACTCGTGGGTATTTACCGTACAAATAAATCAGCACACATTGATAATTCTATAATCCCATGTGCCACAAAATAATAAGAAACAGCGCGATGTCATTGTACTCTCACTACTCTGCACATAATGCACGCTCGTTTCTAAGATTCAACATACGACAAACTATCCATTACCATAGGATAGAAATCTCGAAGTAATATTTTACCGTCCAATAAAAAACTCTAATGCTACAACCTTAGTAATCTAAGTTTATAAAGAACGCAATTTTATTATCTCTCAAAGAGGCAACAGAGACTCGTAACTGCAATTTAGGTTTGAAACATACCGGGCATTGATGTCTGCTCCTCGTTGAATCAGCAACTGTGCGACGCGATGATGTCCATTCAAGCAGGCGACACATAAAGGTGTGTAATCATTGCTATTCCGATGCTCAATATTGCCCTTATGGTCCAGGAGAATGCGGACAATCTCCACGCGACCGTTGTAGCAGGCAATGGTCAAGGAGGAATCCCGTTTGGCTTGATTCGTATCCATAACGCCGTCCACATCCGCACCGTGGTCGCATAGCTCTTTCACGGCCTCCTTATGACCGCGCTCCACGGCGTAGCCCAGAGCAGTCCATCCTAATTAAACTCATCATTAGTCAACGGATCTTGATACAACGCCGGGCAGCCTTATACCTTTTTTATCCTTGTGATTAGGCTTGGAACCGGCATCACACAGCATGGCGATGATCTTCGAATTCCCGCGGATAGCAGCCTGGATGAGGGCGGTGCTGGCATCGCTTTCCTGCTGCAGATCGACATCGACCAGCGCCGGCTTCTTGGGTGGAGGCACCGTAGAGGTGACATTGGTCGAGGCATCGCGGGTATTGCGGATGGCCTTCTTGAGGATGCGGGGCATTTGCTGTTTGCAGGCAGCGGTTTTGGCTTCCGTGGGGGGAACATCATCACTTCCCTGGAAACCCTCTTCGGACGTATCGTCCGGTGTGGGTTCAGGTGTACGAGGGATTCGTCCATCTGTAAAAATCATGAATTACACTACAAGTACGGATCTAACGGATCACTGCAGAATTATTAGAACGAGTCAGCAATGCGCGAATGACTGTTATTTCACAGTTACCTAACGTCTTCTTGGATGCGTATTTGTTACGCAGTTTCTCCAGTGGACGTGCGGCGGCCACGAGCGATGCTGGCGGGGTGGTCGTGGAGAAGTTGAATGTGGATGGTACGCGGGTGGCTTCCAGAAAGCGTTCATCCTCTCGTGCGCCGCGCAAAAATGTACTAAATGCTTCCATATTAAAGACACCTTTATTTCGGGCTTCGGCCATGACTTTAGCCAAATCTTCCGGCAAATTATCCAGTCCACCACCAATGGAGGGATTAGCATCGGCGGCCGCGGCAATGGAACGGAGCAGTTCAAACTCCGTGCCCAGCGGGGCGGTGAAGTTGGTGTTGCTGCTGGTCATGACGATGTACTTCCCGTCCGGGCTCAGCGACATGCCGCGCTTAATTTCCTTTCCCTCACTGTCCACCAGCGGATGGCTACCGGGTGGGAACATGTCAGCATGACGCTGCAGAAGCAGCGATGAATAGTCCTGTAAACTTGGATTGGCTTGCAGAAACGACGCAATATCCGCCAGTGTCGGCTCATCGGATGCGATCGGCAAATCTTCTACAAACACAATAAGATGTTTATAAAATACCGATCTTTTCAAAAGTGAAACAATCATGACATACAAAATGGCGACATCAGAAATAAAATCTATCGAGATTTTGCTACTATATCGGAAACTTCTACATAAAAGCAACGGCAACGAAAACAAAAGCCAATAAATCGGTTTCAAAAACGGAAACCAAGAAAAATTTGACATGTCAATTTAAAACCCTATCCAAAAATTTTTTGTTTCAAATTGGCACTTTTCGAAAAATGTTGCTTAATAAGAACACGTCGTTTGTGCTACTTTTCACTGTTAACGTCTAAACTGAAATGTATGGCCAACCTTCTCGACCAGCGGCCGATTCAGTACCAAGTTTCTCCATCAGATCATCCACATTTGAATTGCTCTGCAACTCATTTTGCCAGCGACTGATCTCCTCGCTGAAGCGTCGTCGCAGTTCCTCCGGTGTGTGATTGGGCAGGGATTTCTGTAGAAGGTCGGTTAAAATCTGCCTGAATGCGCCCATCACCGCCTGACTGTCACACACCTGCAGTTGTTCGGCTTTCTTCAGCATGGCATTCAGTATGCGGAACTCGAAGGACTGCGGCTGGAAATGCTCCAGCTGATTCCGGATAAAATCAATATCCGCATCCAGTCCTTCCTTGAGTTCATCCGATTCACCCTGCGGGAAATCCACCAAATCGGCCAGATCACCGGGCAGAATGTCCGGTAATTCGTAATTCTCCAATTCTGTACCGACAACAAACATATCAAACATTTCGCCAACAATACATAAAAATGCCGCAAGATAACTACGTTTCGATAAGCAGCGGAAAACAAGATAATCCGAAACTGACCTTTCTTGTCCTCGTCATTACTCTGGTCATCTGACGTGTAGTCATCCTCATCGTCATGCATTTCCTCGTCGTCTTCATCCCCGGTCTCGCATTCTTCGTCCATTTCCTCATTATAGACTCCCTCTTGATCGTCGTCGTCTTCTTCGTCCACATCGTCTTCGTCATCTTCGTCCTCTTCATCGGTACTCTCGTCCGATGCACGTAGCATCTGCTCGCCATGGAGTCCATCGCAGTGCTTGCATGCATAGTTACTATTACTATGGATGTTGTAGAATTCGTTTACCGGTGCCTGCGATCAATGACACTCTTACCGGACGGAAGCAGACAGTGCAGCGCTACGCCACTTACAATAAGTTGCCAAACCACAATATACTCTCGTATGTTGGATACATTTTGCCGCATTATCATACTAGTACAGTATTGTCGAACATATAACCTACGGGCATATTCGGAGCTCCACGGACGCCTGGCTGTTGCACGGCGACATTCATGGGTTCACGGAAATTTTCGTTTTTCGGTTGATAATACAAGACCAAATCAGCAGCTTCGGAGTTTCCCGATTTTACGGCTTCCAGCAGTGGCGTGACGTTGTCCTTCAGCTTGATGTGGCGATTGGCGCCACGTTCCAACAGGAATTCAATGATTTTAATCCATCCTTTATTACAGGCCAGTGACAGTGCGGTGCAGTCGTTAGTGGAAGACGCGCGATTAATAGATGCGCCGTTTGCTAATAAATATTCGATGATTTCTAATGATCCCTTCTTGGCGGCTCGCATTAAGGGAGTATAACCCTTTTCGCCCACACAATCCTAAAACAGACGATCTTGGTCTCCTTTCCCATTCATCAAAGTTTTGAACGAGTTTAAGTTTTACTATTTCGAGAAAATCGACTACTTACCACATCGCAGCCCAATCCGTGGAACCGCTTAACCAGGTCAAAATTCCCCACTTCCGCGGCGAAGGCAAGGGCAGTGTCATTATGGGAGGACTTTTGCACAGGATTGGCGCCTACCGAACAATCCACTATGCATACATGATCATCTTTAAGCAGAAGAACATGGACTAACCATTGGCCAGGAGGTATTCCACCGCGTCGGCATTGCACATGCTGATGGCTAGTAACAAGGGCGGTGTTCCACCGAGATTAACATTGGCCTGAGCAGACACCAGGGTGCGCACGATCTCCAGATTGCCTTTGCGTACGGCATAGCAAAGGGGCGTTGAGTTGTCCTCTTGGACGTTTTGGGCGTTGACGTTAGCTTCTGCAACAGCATGCGCGCCATGGTAGCGAAACTCAAAACTGCTAGACAACACTGCGAATTACGTACCATGATGGAGAAGGACAGGGACAAGATTGCCGTTGCCTTCATTGCAGGCGCGCATGAGAGGGGTAAATCCACTGGCATCCGACTCGTTAACACGGGCACCGCGGGTTAATAGATACTTGACGATATCGGCATCACCACAGGCAGCGGCAGCGCAGAGGGGAGTTTCAATCACCGGTCCTTCCGGATTCACCTTGGCGCCGTAATCCTCCACGACGAGTCGGACCAGGTCCAGACGCTTGGAGTAGCAGGCGCGGCTGCAGGCCGCCTGGATTTCGGCTTCGCTGGCTTTAAATTGTTCTTTCTTGGCGAGGTACCATTTCACAAACTCATATTGCCCTAAAACATAAATCGTTATTTCCCGAACACAATAATAATGGATATTTATGGATGGATATCTGTACTGACTGTACATTACGAATACACGTCTAAAATGCGCACACATCATAAAAATAACGAAACCGCTTCCATTTAAAAAACCAAAAAAATCATTATTTGTGCTCTGATATTTGAATAAACAGAAATAATAGTAGGGATTCCCTTTTCTTACAAATTCTGCAAAATTTATCACTAGGAAAATGATTTATAACAAAAACATGTTTTAGTAAGTACTGTTACACTGAAATTAAATTGTTCATTAAAAAGCCACTATCCACCTTTTTGGGCGGCGATCGCAAGGGCAGATTCGGCAGCCGTTTCGGCTTCATCGTAATCATCCAACTCGTTGGGTTTGCCCTTCTCCTTGGTCTTCTTATTCCGCTTGTCCTCCTTCTTGACGACTTCCTTGAGGCGCTCCTGGGTTTCCTTGTCGTACTTGAGGTGGCGCATGACGACTTCGGCACAGCGGACGTGTCCGTTGGCCGCGGCGTGGGTAAGGGAATTCCAGTTGCCGTTATCCGTATCGGCAACACATGAGCCGTGATCGATTAGCAACTGCACGAGATCATCCCGTCCAGCCGCACAGGCTTCCATTATCGCCGTTTTCCCTACAGTGAGCATACGCAGGGTAAAATTGTCTATCTAATCGAAGTGTCGGCAAAAAATCAATAGCCATTCAAAAAGTTTATACACAGTTACAGCTCCCATTCGTCCGGCAACTTTTTCGCAACATAGGAAACACTGCCAAAATTACTTAGCAGGAAATTTGAGTCAAGTTTAATTTAAAATAATTTGAGGAAAAAATGAATAACCGCTGCGATCCGTCTCTTCAACAAATACAAAGAAACGGTGATTTATAACAGTCACTAAATGCTCTGCCTCCCCGTAAATAACGAGACAACCAGTAAATGCATTGCCTCGATTATCGGAGAGACCGTGTGCAATCTGACGAAATTTTATTGCAAGGAAAAAATTCAAACACACCCTGAATCAATACAAACAGGTGAAACAACAACGCCGCACGTACCATCCTTATCACGCCGGGTAACATCGGCATCATAATCCAGGAGGAGTTGGACGATTTCCTTTGATCCATCTCGCACAGCGAGCATCAAAGGGGTGCACAGGGTTTTCGGCTCGGCTTCATCCACATCACCGCCTTCCTCAAGGAGATTTTTCACATCGTCACGTTTGCTGTTGGTGACCGCCTGACGGACAAGGCCGTCTTTCGGGTTCCTAAAACAAACATTTCACGACTTGACAACCTCACTGCGGCGCAGTCCGAGTACAGCGCGTCTAGTGCATACACTCCAATCAAAACATCATCGTAGAGGAGAGAAATCTGTGGCAGCGACTACTGCGCTGCTGCGTCGGCGCCGCACACGGTATTACTCAGCTTCGTGGTACTTAGATTATCGGGTAGACAGACGCGGGTAGGGTGAAAGTCAATTTAATAGCCGGCTCAGAGTGTGTAGTATGTACACTGCGTGCATACTTACTTTTCCGTATCACCCCAGTTTCGCAACGGTGTCTTGCTGGGCATGGCGGCGGCGGCGCGCATATGCTGCGCGAGTTTACGCATGGTGGCAGCGTCCAGGGTTTGGCCAGCTTTCGGGAGGGGTCCGAAACCTGTAGGTAGCAGTAACAATCCAATGTTAGGCATAATCCAAAAAATGGGATTATCTGCATATTGACAGAGATGGCAAAAAAGTGCATGCGCGCGCTTGATGGCAAAAAATGTTGGCAGACTCGTTTCCGTAATGGATCAATAACATCACCGCTCTTATTCATTTATTATGCATATAAACCCCAGAGCCGAAACACAGCTCGCGGCCGCGAGACGGTGATGTTGTCTACAATGTACCGCGACGCACTGTCCCGTTTAGTGAAGAGCAAACAACCGCAATTAATGAATCTTTCGGTAAACACTTCTGCCCCACCTCACAGGGAATCCTTTTCAAACCGTGAAAGATAAAAAATACATCACCAACACAATGTCACCGGTCTGCACAACATCCCCAGTATGCATTATGTATTGCGCGGGTGGGTGTTATACCGGCAAGCCGGAAGTCATTAGAGTGAAATATTGAATAACGATCAACGGCCATAAACACGCGCATTGTGTCAAATGGGGAAGCCAGCAACTTACCGCTGGATTTCAGGAAACTCTCCAATTTGGAGCGTTGTTCGGAGGAGAGCTGGGTGAGGTCGAGTGGCTTCCCGTCACCCGGCGGCCCACACGCGGCCGCAGAGCCCGCCAGATTATGTCCGCAGGGCTTGAAGGAGCTACCTGCCTGGGCAGGTGGAGGGATCCCGCTACAAACGTGCTGCAAACAAGCACACACCATCCAATTAGATGATTTATTTAGTTCCCACGCCCGCGCAATGTCAGGCGCGGGGAGAAAAAGCGCCAAATAACCCCGGCAAATTAGCGGTACAGGAGCGGAGCATTAACCCCGATTTTGGGCAACCGGAAAGGAAAACAATCACAAAGCGCTCAAGAGGTAATGTCATCTAAGGAAAACAGTTTTATCGATCCCGCAAGAACCCTCTGCTAGTCGTCGTCGTCGCCACCAATTAGCATAAAAACAGCAATCCATCATACAAACATGAATCCCGCACAATCGCTGCTTTGCGCCTGGGTCTCAGCATTTATTCGTACGCAATTATTTCCGGTCGTCCATTAAATTGTTCAGTGTTAATATCACTACTTACGTCGTCTCTTCCGTGTCGGGCACCTGCAAAAACGCCGACATTTAACATTATTTTCAAGAAAAAATTCCCAGAATTTCGCAGTACTTAATTCGGCTTATTTGGTTGGAGAAACTTACGGGTAGCGTGTTTCCTGACGACCTTCCGCTGCGATGACATTATACCTCGTGCTACAAAAGCAGACCATATTGATGACGTTAGTGATAGAAAAATTGGAAATAACAAGCACGGACTACGAGGCGTTTACGCTACAGGTACCAATTTTACCGAAATGTGGCCGAATACAATACTGATTGCCGACAAAGAATAAGAAAGGACCCCTGACCGAAATCAACGAAGATCTCTCAAGATCTATAACGCGCGATCACGTGCAGCACTAACGAAAGTAAGAAACAAACCACCACTTGCAAAAGGACGACAACAAGACATTCCGATGGTGTAAATCACACAAATAAAATGTAGTTCAGCCATCAACATGATGCTCGACAGAATAACATCAGACAACCGTTTTCGCACACCGTGTGGGCGACACAACTGACCAATACCGAAATGAAATGCTAATAAAACTGCAACACAAATCCTTGGACGAAAATTAATCGTAATGCGACAGTATGGACCGGAATTCTGCATAAATACAAAAGTGCAAAACAAGCTTGCAAAATTAAAAAAATATTTCAGAATAAACAATCATGATAACAGATCGCTGAAGAAATCTGTATTTCAAACCCTGATTGATTTCTCATATTTAAAAAAAATAATACTCCACAAAAACGCCTATTCCTGTTGGTAAAAATCGGGATTGCGTAAATTTCGGAATATCAACAACTTTATGAACCGAATTAACACTACTAATCAGCAGGAAGCAAGGCTAAAAAACAACCCGAACCGCCTTCCCGTGGTAAGACAGGAGCACACACGAATAACGCTAATTTTACGCTGTTTAGTGTTGATGCGTTGCATCATGATTCGCAGTAGTAAAAGCACGCTCAAACACATTTTATGCAAATCGGCAGCCGTTGAAAAAACTCAATTCATAACTATTTCAAAATCTTCTGATTCAGCAAATTTTCGAAAAAATTGCCATAATTCATCACGCGTCAGACGACCTCTAACCGACAATCGGGTAAACGGAAGGGCCAATTTTATAACCTTGATTCACAAGCACATGCTACACTGGAAAATTTCTTAATCATAAGCAAGCTTTCAAAAATCCCAACAAAACATTACCGAGTAAAAATCTTCATGAAAAACAGGAAACAGAAATGGGTCATGAATACGTTTAATTCCAGCCGTAAAAACAGGTTTAAAATGCAGTCTGGCTCGTGCAGCAGCATAGCTGCGTTACTGCACGGCCAGCCTCTACACTAACGCTGCTGCCATGCAATGCAAACGCGCTTATGCTCGTATCCGCTCGAGTACGTGGTGGAGCATGAGCACTCCACACTGGAGAATCACAAAATTCCCGCATCATCATCGAAATTCAGGGTAAAACAAAGTCGAAAACGGGATGGGTCGTCACCGAGGGACACGGGAAGGGAACTAGTGCTGCGCAAATTTTGGGACCCCAGTCTCACGCATAGACATTATATACGCTATTCAGCATGCGCTATATTTAGGGGAAGGTACTCGCTATGAAACCATACGGCAGGATCACACACACAGCCCCGTTTAACACACCGTCCCCGCGCTGGAACTTACCAATTCCCAATCGAATGCGGATGTCATATATATCACAAATTAAAGGAAGAACGTCCCGTGAATATTCATGAGAGAGGTCAAATTCAAAGAGACTCCGTTGGTTGTCACAAAAATTACACACCAGTCTACCTACAAAATTCCTCACTGCAGATTCTCTGCATTAGCTATGATACTGATCGCAACCCACAGCATTAGCAACGTTAGCAAGTTGATTGCGTCGTGCACCAGGCGTACCGTGGCGAGCACGGCTGTCGGGCGGATGCGGCACTTACTAGTGTTGTATCACACTGCGCAAACGGTAGCCGCCCTCGGTCGCGACAGTCACCGGGAAATACCGGAGCACCTACTGTGTTTTGGCTACAACCGTGCCCCATTCAGTGCGCGACTGCGTTGTAAACGTGTGGTTCATATGAAAACTGAACTGTGCGTGAATGAGTGAATCATGCGCATACGTGTTCCACTAATACCGAGTATCCTCAATCGACCAAATTTAACCGCGCGGCATACGTTTCGCACGCGCAGGACCGTATCGACATGGAAAAAACAGCTATAAATGTTTCATACCAAAAAGTTATTCTTTCTGACTTCAAAACAGGATAAAAATTACAATCTTATGGGCGCGTGCAATTAATTTTGAATACTGCGTAGCGAAGATCTTTATTCAGCGCATTTTCCATTTTTTCTCGCTTCGCAACAAAACTAATGCACTGTACTCGATCTCGCCCAGTCGTCGGCAGTCGACGGTTTATACTTACCGGGTGACCTTTTATACCTCCTTGAGCCTTGAGAAAAATATTATACAGCATCCTCCTAATCTTTAGGCAATGTTAGTAACTCAGTACGAAAAGAACCAATCTCCAAATACAATCAAAAAGAAAACGTTAGCAAACGGAAGCGCAAAACTGAACACAGCACAGCCGATATCCGACAATCCATTAAGAAAATTCCTTAATACCAAGCGTCGTCGTCTTTACCACGACTATATAGCACGAAAGCTCATAAAAATTAAAACAAAAATTAAACACACCTCCAACACGTTCGCGATTGGTCGCAAGCAACACCAGCACTAAAAAATTCTGTCATAAATCGAGCTAGCTCAAAAATCACCGATCGGGACAAATTCCAATGCGAAAGCACGGCGGTCATCGCTTCGGCTACAGTCTCCACATGCATCCGATTCAATCGAAGTTCACCGAAAACTGAGAAGAGAAAACTTTCCCCTTTATCGATGTCCTTTTCGTTTGCGTTTGTTTGGGCTGGATAACAGCGAACTTCCTCCTCGCATGCGTTTTCGGGAAGACTTTTTGTGATCATACGTAGCGCTCATGAGTTCCGAATCCTCCTCACTCATCATATCACAAACCATGCGGCTAAACTTCTCCATAGGTGATTCCACATCCCGTGGCGGATGGCGTTTCTTAGAATTTTCCCCAGCATCGTAGCGCTTCACGAACACATTTGGCGAGGAAACGGCGTACTTGTTGTATCTTTTACGGCGACACTCCTACAATACAACGACAAACTAGAAAAAACAACCAAAAATTTGTCGACATAAAATCAACGCTACAGGAATTTCGGCAGTGGTTCAGTTCAACTACACCGCTATAACAAAATACTTACATGGTATAAATGTCCAGGAACCGCGCAATTACAGCAGTGAAGAGTTTTCTTTTTAGTTGTTGACATGATGAAACCACAATTCGGTGTAATCTGAAATATGTCATAACTGAACGTCGTTTCACCGGAAACCGCATTTCACCATTCATGTTTACCGTAGTGTGATACTGGCGCCAAGTGTCGGTGCAGACAATGTCCAGATGCCCCACAGACTGACAGCGCTTGCAGGTTAGAGTTGATACCGTCGTCTGGAATGGGCAGGCATGTTGCCAATGATCATAACTGTGGCATACCCCGCAGACGATCTGCGGACACCGGTGGTGCTTGGAAGATGTTCGCTCGCCGCAACGACAGCAGATTTTCGGTCTCTAATACACAAATCAAGCAAAGCCATTAATAATCAACATATTGGAACGACACTTAAAATAATTAGAACAACAAGCATCGAAAAAGACTTACTTCTCGCGAATCTCGCGTTTGCAGATAAACTCCCTTCTCCCGCATTTTGTCGTAAGAACTAATGCTCCAAGCACCAGCATTATCTGCGATAGGACAACCTGGTTAAATTTCAATGGAATCTTTTTCCGTAAGGCGATTCCCACCTGGTAGAGAAGCCATAATTGTATCCAAACATAAGAATGCGGACGAAGAAGAATTCCGCAGTATTCCAGCAGGTTGCGCGGATGCCGGCGCAACGGGTACAGAATTCTTGGGACGGGGTGCAGCATCACCAGCTTTATTGTCCACGGGAATTCCTGGTTTCACTGTTAAAAATAAAAGCAAAATTCTCGTCAACAAATGAAAAATACTCGAGAAGCCGGAGTTTCTCTCAGAAGACAAATTTATGGAATGAGGCTACTCATAACCATAACCATGTTATTTCGTTATTTATCGTTACTTGCAGTACAAAACTGCATAACACTAATGTCAGCGACAACAGGCCTACGAATTTATTGCCAACATAAGATCCATGCCTCGATTCTACAGTACGAACAACGAAGTTACATAGTACGTAAATGTAGTCATTCCAAATTATTTCCCAATGCACACGAAGAAAAAGTGATATTTCACTCTCGATTTTAAGTTTTAACTGAAATTCAGCTGTTATGAAGACTGACATTGTAGTGTATTTGTTAACGAACATGCTGCTTCCAATTTCCATCGTACTACGTCGCTTCGCTTCTACAAGTACTTGTGTCAACTCATTGATTTTATGATTTTTATCACGGATAGAATCGTGGAAATAATATTAACTGTCTAACCGACTCTAACGGCTTAAATTTTCAAGAGGAGGAAAATACTCTAAAAAAATTGTGCCAACAAAATCACGTGATAATTTATCCAAAATCAGGAATTTTTTCACTAACGCTTGTGCATAAAGGCAAATTACGCAAAAGCAGCAATACCTGGTGGAATACCGTTCATATGAACCTGGAGTCCATCACTGGGATTTTTTACTGCATCCTTTTCTTTCACATGTCCAGCTGCCTCCTGCTCCCATTGAGAAAATATTCCACCCAACACATCTTTCTCCAGTGAACTGGTCAATCGAGGGAGCTTAAAACCCACCGTGCCGTTTTTCTGCGCTGGACGATTCGGTATGGAGGGTTCCTGTGAGGACAATTCCTCCGTTTCAGTATCTGTTTCGTCTCCGGAATCGGTATCGACATGCATCGCGCTGGAAGTCGCTGGCAAAGATTCCGTGCTCTCCGATAAAACACTGACGGTGGATCTTTTTGATGCATGATGCGAGACGCGCGCGTAATGCGATTGCACACTCTTTCCATTAAGCAGATTATCTGGGTTCCGATTGACAGAATTCTTCGCAGGCCGCGATGGTTTCGTAATCGTCGAAGCAGGATGCGTTTTCCCGGATGCTTGATCCACAGGCTGTAATAATTTCCGGAAGAAGCTCGTTGGTTTCGCCGATGTTTCTGCCGTGTGTTTTCGCTTCGCAGCTTTCGCGCCGTACTTTGAATCATCATCATCACTGGCGACAGATTTTCGTTTGGATCTTGCTTTCGTCTGACGTTTGGTACCATCGTTCAGTACATCCTGATACGGATGAGCTGCAGGACGGGCTGCATGAAGGGCAGGGTTTTGCGCTTGTCCCGAGGACGAACTGCAGACCGACCATCATCACGAGGATGATAGTCGACTGCCCATGGATAAACTGTGGATTCTGCGCGTGAGCCAGACGGATTACGGTCCATGTCCCGTGAATTACAACTGCAAAATGATCCAATAAGAGCAATGTGACGGAAACTCAACTTGTAGTACGGGACCTTCGTGGACCGGGAAGAATGAAGAGGGAGAAAGCTGAAACACGCAGGATAACAGTGGCGCAAAGCCTGCAAATGGATTTTAACTTTGACAGCACGTGGAGCCGTGGAAAATGTGATGTCGCAAGAGTGTGCATCCGGCTCCCGGGGAGGCTGCAACGCACACTGGCAGCATCGTTGGAAATGGAAATACCACGGACTGTAGTGGAAATGGAACTACCTGGTAGGGCGGCTGCATTGTGATGATAGGTTTCCTGTGCCCGATGCCCATTCTTGGGTGAGAATTGCCCAAAGGAAGTTTTGGTTTTGTTTAACTGATGCATGTAGTGGGAAAATTTTAATTCTGAATTCATTATTGAATTCTGCAAAATGCGTTATAGTGTACTCTGCACAGTAATGTAATTCCAGTGCGGTCGATCCGCAGGACGCTATATCTGTTATATTAACAGGTGAAAATGCGGCGGCAGAGCACTTAATTAACATATACAAGAAACTTGATCTTTTTACAAATATGGAAAGGAGAATTGTGAGTTTGTCGATTGCGTTTCGCCTAGACAATTTTATTTAATGCTACCCAAAGCTATACAACTGCACCTTGAATATTACTATCCATACAGGAGGATAAAGACGTAATACCAGAATGCAAGAATAAGTATAGAACGGGTGAATAGACCGAGGGGGTAGGCACGGCTTGAAATGTGTCAAAAAGAAAAATTTATCCACGAATCTACAAAGCCGAAGGTACAGTGAATGTACAATTATGGAAATCCGACATAGTATACGGATGCAGGGAGCTGCCAGAATACGACACACATAAGTATTACATAACACTGCAATCTTTATCGCTCTTGGGCGTTTCCCGGCCTAAGCTGTCCCGGGGGAGATTATCACTGGGATCCCTGTCGCGATTCACATCCTCGGCGCGATTACTGTGACTACTGCGCCGGCGCGGCGACCGCGGTGACGGATCGGCCGAGGCGCTGCGGCCGTTGGTGCGCACCTCGGGATTGAGCATGTGGGAGGTGCTCGTGGCTGCCAGGGGTGGCCAACTGGGGACGCCGGTGGAGCTGCGCGCCTCCAGCGGCTGCTTATTACGCACGGAGCTTCCGCGGCGATCGCGCAACCGTCCCGGAGACGGCAGTTCCTGCGACGATTCCACATAGTCCCCTTCATAGTACACCCGCACCGACTGGACCCAGAATTTATCCTGATGACCCTGATCGTACAGATACCGGCTCTCGGCGGTGATGATGATCTCGTCGCCGACGTACGAGCTGTAGCCGTGCGTCTCGATGCCGATGATGGGCGAGTGGTCGGCGAAGATCCATTCCTGGACTTTGCCGACCAGATCCTGGAGGTTGTTGAATTTCGGCTGGCGTTTCCCGTAGTGGGTGGTGTCACCGGAGCCCGGGGGGTGGGACTAACATCTTGAGGAACACGCACGGGAAGGTCGGCATCTCCGCGGAGACGAGGTGGGTCTGGCGGGCGTATATATATAGATCAGGCGGATGAAGCGCAGTAAATTCGTACAGGAACCGCTCCCCATCCCCCGATGACATGTAGAAGGTGGTCTGTGTGACTATGTTTTTATTGTCGTTAACGTGCAGGACCACCGTCTGAATGTTGACGATACGCAGACCGGGATGTTCGTCCTCTTGGTATCTGTAATGATTTCCAAAAGGTCATCAGGAGAGTTCCGTAACGAAATAGAACAGCGCACTTCAACGTGTACCATCTGTAATGATATATTTTTTTGTAAGGTCTTCGGCCGTAATAATTTCTTATCGAAAAGATATGATTACGTACTTTGACGTGCACTATAATATGAATTTGTGATGGTTTTTCAAAGGTCATCAGCATAATTTCGTAGCGAAATATGTACTAGCAACGTGTGCTAACCTTACGAACCAATAACCGGCCAGGGTCAGAACTGAGTGACAGCGGCTCAGTTTGTGCTGTCGGGATGTTACCTGCTGTCGCATTATTTGTGGAACAAAGTGGGCAATGCCTGCAAAAGTACGGAATTACTCAGAATTATTTCGTTATACAGTAATATCATTGAAATGGGTTGCTAAATAAATTTTGTTATCTGGAATCGAGAAATTTATAAGTGATTCCGTGCATGAAAGCATCGATGACAGTTGTGTAGGTATACGCATTACGTATATCTATATGGGTGCTTGCAGATATCGAAGATACAGCAATACAGCATGATGCGATAAAAAGGGCAATGTTACCGTTATGATAATGCCTGCCTCTACGTTCTAAGGTGTCACAAAGTCTCGAAAATGGGCAAAACATTTATGCTACAAGGTTTTCATTTCAAGAAAACTCTCAAAATAATTTTTAAATCGTTGGGAAATGCTGCACCTCTATGACGTTATTTTTGAGTATTACCGGAAAATCACGAAAAACAAAAATTTCCGGTTTGTCATTAGAAAAAAATACAATATCCGGTGCATTTCAACATCGATCGTTCTAATATTATATCGTACACAGATTTATTATTACGGCTTATTGCATTGTTTATAAAGTTAGCCAAAATATAATACAACATCGAGGACTGAGTTGACAAAAACTGTCTTGCGTCGGTAAGTACTAGTAAAGCGATTGTTTCAATCTGCAGTGTGACACTAATTTGTTGACTCACCAACTTCCTCCATGCGTTCCACCCTCATCCCGGGAATCTCCTCACCAAAGTCCAAATAAAACACTCATAAAAAATACAGGCAAATTTTTTGCTTTTGGCCATGAAGAGAAGCAAGTGCGGTTGGAATCAACGGCTTCTGCAAAGAAACACTACCCGGGTACTTATATGTAGTACGATGCCGGTCTCAAGCAATATTGCCATATAAAAGGGAAAAACCACGTACAGCGCTTTCCGTATATAATGGAGCGGCACAAAATCATAATCTGGTACGAACCATTTGAATGGAATTTTAGTGGGAGTGGGAGTTGTCTGCACAGCCAGGATGGGAGTGTTCAGTACTAACAATTTACCGGCATGAGTGCATTCCGGGACCACATTAAAGTAGCGCAGGTAGTGGGATTTCATCTGGCTATTACGACTCAGCGCCGGTATTAAGCACATTCTAAGGCCACGCACGAATTCCGTCCAATCTTTCATGGTTTCAAAGTAGGAAGCTGTGTAGAAAAGCAATAAACGGTCATTTGCTGGCATTTTATAATGACAAAGTGCGGTATAGTGCAGTAAAGTAACAGTCTTTGATAGTGTGTGTGCTTAAAAAAACAAAAACATTGTTCACAAAAGACAAAATAATATATTCACTAACACATCTTGGAAATATAATTACTGAATTTTACAGTTCTACTAATTGATCTATTTTTCAAAGGTCACATTTTACCCTGTGCATTCGACCGTTAGTTGGATCCACGGTTTTTGTGTTATGCTGCGCCAAAATGTCCAAGCACTCAATATTGAGATTCTCAAATTCCCAGCGTGACGACAGCCATTCACTGGCCTGTGCCAAGAGAATCCCGAATGCCTCATACGTGTGACTACTAAACAAAATGCCTACCTCCAGCATATGCGGAAAGAAATCGCGATAGGTCAGACTGCTATAAGCGAATTCCGGTGAGAAACTGACGTCCTCGTGGTTTGGTATCGGTGTGGCAGTGTTCGTCCGCTCTCGAGGTGAATTCACTGAACTGGAGCTACTCGGGCTGGCAGTGTACAGCCGGTTCTGTGTAAACAAACGGATCCTCCATTTCCTTCCAGTTATCCCGATATTGGTCTCATACCTTTGTGATCCATTTGATTTCGCCAGTTAAAATCTTTTAAACGTCCATCTAGAAATGCAGTGGCAAACTAATACGCAGTGCTGAAGTCGAAAATTTATAATGAAATATACTGTAATTTGCGTACTTTCCCACATTTTCGCCCTGCAATTTTATCTACGTTTAAACGAAAAGGTCACGAAACAACAAAAAACAAACCACATTATAGATCATCAATATTTGGTCATAATGTTATACGCTGCCAAATTTTAATAAGTACCATGGCCATAATATGAAAACGTTATGCTACCAGTTGTTATAAGTATAATTACTGTACGTATCGTGTCAGTGCTTAAATTAAAAAGCAGAATATAACAATTATAAAAGCGAAAGCCAAATCGACGGAATGTTGTCACATATTAATTATAAATCAACTGCGTTACGATAACTACAATATTTGTTATAGAGTAATTAAAGTCCTCAGTGATATTGACATTGTTAACCCATTCACAGGTCTTTCTAACCGTATGTGATCGGAGAACGCTGCAGACATTTACTCGTGATAATAACGCTGGTTGAATAAAGTCAAACGTTCATCAGTCTTCGTTGTAATAATGATGAACTAAATACGTACTATATTTGCCCTGCAGTAGGCATAACAAAGTCAGCTAACCTGAAACCACTGCCAAAAAACAGCCCGAGATTCTAGCAATTCTTAACAAAATCTGACATCCATTAACAGGCTGTTATACGTGACGGAATGCTTCAGTCTTTGTAGTACAAATCAAGCGCGGCGAAAGTTAGCTTATTCATGCTTGATAAATCTAGCTGTCGCATGTCGACATTATCCCAGCGCTGCGGATTGCCGTTTGGATCGACACCGTTAAACCTAAATCCCAAGTACCACTAATTTATATTTATATCAAAACACTTATCTGAAGTCCCGAAATAGCGGTTGGCAGTTACCATACTCACATATGGAAGAAGCTGCGAATCCCCGCCCACTGTTTAGGGTATGCCAACACCTGCACCCAGCGCGCATGAATAGCGGTGACCTTTTCCAGTACTTGTTGTGTAACGGCCGGGCAACTGTCGCTAACAGCGGCTATGAAGCGATGCCACTTCTCTGTTGCTGTCTCTGTGTCGCGGAAGCGCAGGAACGGAATCATTACATCCAGTTGGCCTTCATTTGATTCCCACATGATCGTCTTCTCTATTTTCGGCCAGGATCTGCCGGCGTTGTAGAAGAGCTTCAGGAATAGAGAACTGCTACCGGTACCGGCCATCGGAAGCGCGGTAGTTAATCAGAATGAGCGTTTTACACATTCC